ATCTGGAGGCAGTGAAGTCCAAAGGCCCACTGACTGCATCACAACATGGCGGATCAGTAGAAGAAGTGGGTACACGCCAAAGAGGGGCCAACCTGGAGAAGTAACCTTGCCTATGTCAACCCTCTCTTGTGGTAACTAATCCATCCCCATGAGACTAACCCTGAAAGAGATTAATTCATTTTAATGACCTAAAGACCTCTTAAACCACCTACCTCTCAGCACTGCCACACTGAGAATCAAGACTAAACATAAGGGCCAATTTATATTCAAAGCATAGTACTCCATATCTTTATCTTTGCACAGCTTGATAGCTCATTTCTTTTTTGTTTGTTTGCTTGCTTTTCTTTTTTTCTTCTTTGGAGACAGAGTCTCGATCTGTTGCCCAGGCTGGAGTACAGTGGCACAATCTTGCCGCACAACAACCTTCACCTCCTGGGTTCAAGCGATTCTCTGGATTCATAATCTCCAGTAGCTGGGATTACAGGCACACCACCACACACAGCTAATTTGTGTTTTTAGTAGAGATGGGATTTCATCATGTTGCCCAGGCTGGCCTTGAACTCCTAGGTGCAAGCCTGAGGCTGCACATTCTGTCAGTGCTGTTCTCCAAGAGGCCCAGACACGTGCTGAAACATGGAAGGTGAGGCCAGCAAGCAGCTGACACACATTCCACCCAGCCGCCCCCATAAGCCCATGTTCTAAACCATTTGCATTGTTCCAATAATTGCTCTTTTAAAGAGAAAATGGGCTGGGCACAGTGGCTCACGCCTGTAATCCCAGCACTTTACAAAGCTGAAGCAGGAGAACTGCTTGACTTCGGGAGTTCCAGACCAGCCTGGGTGACACAGGGAGAACTCCTTGCTACTAGAAAACAAAGAATTATCCATGCGTGGTAGGGTGCACCTGTGGTTCTAACTACCCTGGAGCCTAAGGTGTTTGAACTGCTTGAGCTCAGGATTTCACGGCTGCAGTGACTTGTGACTGTGCCACTGCAGTCCAGCCTGGGTGATAAAGACTCTGTCTTAAAAAAAGAAAAAGATAAAAAGGGTTACACTAAAAAAGGTACATTTTCATTTTTCCCATTAATGTCCTACATACATCCCCAGGGTGATGGAGGAGAAAATACATTCTAAGATAATAGCCAAATTGGAATGATATCCTTCATAACATTTTTTCAACCAAATAGATTAGTGAGGATTCATTTAAATCTATATTAAAATCATAGCTAATAATTGGATTAGTTACTGATCTAGTTCACAACCACTTGGTTGACTGTATAAAATTCTGTTGAAGATTTCTCACGTGTGATTCAGAGAAACAAAATCAACTATGTCAATAGCATATCACCAAGCTAGGACAGGCAGGGTGCTTAACTTCAGCAATTTTTCACTTCTTTTACCCCTTCTTTGTCCATCAGCCAGTGCTGAAAACAATTAAATCTTAGTATTTATCGAACTTCTTAAAATTCTGAAAAGCACTGCAGGCCTTTAAAAGTTGGATTTCTTTAATGTTCTTATCTTCTCATGCCTGACAATCTCTTCAGCCACCGCGCCCGGCATCAGCAATTTTTTTTAAAGTACATCACCAGGCCGGGCGCAGTGGCTCAAGCCTGTAATCCCAGCACTTTGGGAGGCCGAGGCGGGTGGATCACGAGGTCGAGAGATCGAGGCCATCCCGGTCAACATGGTGAAACCCCGTCTCTACTAAAAATACAAAAAACTAGCTGGGCGTGGTGGCGCGTGCCTGTAATCCCAGCTACTTAGGAGGCTGAGGCAGGAGAATTGCCTGAACTCGGGAGGCGGAGGTTGCGGTGAGCCGAGATCGCGCCATTGCACTCCAGCCTGGGTAACAAGAGCGAAACTCCGTCTCAAAAAAAAAAAAAAAAAAAAAAAAGTACATCACCAGTTAAGCTTATCATGCTAAGTAAATAAACTAAATAGAAAATAAATCAGAAGGCACTGTGTTAGAAAAAAACTTCCAAATTTAAAGTTTAGTTGTAAAAGGCTATGAGGCAGAGGAAGAAATAAACTGGAACCCTGATAAAATGTAAACTGGAATGATAATTATCACTAAAAAGGAGGGATTCAATCCAGCTGCCTGAGAACATTTCATTATATAAATATAAATTATTATCTGTTTCAGTATTGGCAGAGGAAGGGCTATACCTCCATTAGACTTTAGTCAAATGTGGCGTTCTGGTTTCTACCAGTAATATAATATACACTGGTGATTTTTCTTTTCAGAACTCACATATGTATTTCATTTGATATCATCACAACCTGAGACACAGGTCATTAACAGGGACTATGGGGCCCATTTTATACCCAGTGAACCAGCCAACTCTCGCAGTTGAGGAAAGGTAAGCTGTCCAGGTGAGGTGGCTCATCATCTGTAATTCCAGCACTTTGGGAGGCCAAGGTGGGCAGATCACTTGAGCCCAGGAGTTGGAGACCAGCCTGAGCAACATGCCAAAAAACCATCTCTACAAAAAATACAAAAATTAGCTGGGTGTGGTGCCACATGCTTGTCATCCCAGCTACTCAGGAGGCTGAGGCATGAGGATCACTGAGCCCCAGGCGCAGAGGTTGAAGTGAGTTGAGCTCACACCACTGTACTCCAACCTAGGTGACACAGCAAGATCCTGTCTCAAAAAAAAAAGGGCTGGTGGGGTGGCTCACACTATAATCTCAGCACTTTGGGAGGCCGAGGCAGATCACTTGAGGTCAGAAGTTCAAGAACAGCCTGGTCAACACAGCAAAACCCGTCTCTACTAAAAATAACAAAATTAGCCTGGCGTGATGGCGCAGGCCTGTCATCCCAGCTACTTGGGAAGCTGATTCAGGAGAATCGCTTGAACAGGGGAGGCAGAGGTTGCAGCGAGCCAAGATGATGGAATCACTGCACTCCAGCCTGGGCAATAGAACAAGACTCCACTCAAAATAATAACAACAATAATAATAGTAATAAAAGTCACTTAGAGTCATTTCCCTATTCCAGAGCAAAGATGAGCTTTGAACAAACCAAATAATCAAAGTCAACACTGGCCAGCAACGGAAGCGAGTCACAGCAGATGACTCCAGATGCTGCACTGGAAAGAACCTGTGTGACAGCCCTGCTTGAATGACATAACCTGAAGCTAATGAAATATCATACAAACAAAAATGGAGAGAAACCCTACAAAACAGCTGACCTATACTCTCCAAAAACATAAATGTCACGACAATCAAGGAACTGTCCCAGATTAAAGGAGACTAGAGAAACGGAACAATCATACATAATGAAAATCCCCCATCTTGAATTTGCCTTGGCTATCAAGGATATTTTGGAGACAACTGGCAAAATCTGCATAAGGTCTATAGATTAGATATTAATATTGAGCCAATGTTAATATCCTGATTTTGAATATTATACTACAGTTATGTAAGCTAATTCCTTGCACTTAGAAAATACACATTATTTAGAAATAGAGGCATCATGTCTGCAACCTACAAACAATTCAGAAAAAAAATTTGTATTATGTAACTGTATTCATATTTATCTAGAAAGAAAGGAGGAGAAGGGGGAGAAAGGATAAACGTAAAATGTTAATATTTGGGGAATAATATCCAAAAATTATTTGTGCTACCTCTTATAATTTTTCTATAAGTCTGAAATTGTCAAAATAGAACTTTTTTTCATAATGATATGAACTATAACCCATCGAATAAACCAGGCGTCCCCAAACTATGGCCTGCGGGCCGCATGCAGCCAACTGAGGCCATTTATCCAGCCCCCCGCCACACTTCAGGAAGGGGCACCTCTTTCATTGGTGGTCAGTGAGAGGAGCACAGTATGTGGCGGCCCTCCAACGGTCTGAGGGACAGTGAACTGGCCCCCTGTGTAAAAAGTTTGGGGACGCCTGGAATAAACCATGAATCCATATTGATACAAGTAAATTAATAAATTGAGGGTTTGATGAGGAACAGAGATGTACATAGTCTCAAATTCCCTCCCCATAGGAGAAATTCAGCAGATACCACTGTTAGTGATCAATGCTAACATCGCCAGTAACAGGGCAAATCAAAACTGTATGGTCACAGTTAACATGCAATGAGATCACTGGGTCATTTCTGTGATACTCCTGTCAAAAAAGTCATACAAACTAAATCTAATCACCATGAAACCCAACTCGGGGACATTCTACATTACTGGACTTTACTCTTCAAAATATTCAAGGTCATGAATGTCAAGAGAAGACTGAGGAACTGTTCCAGACTGAAAGAATCTAAGAGACACAACTACTAAAGACAAGCCATAGATTGGAACGGGATCCTTTTGCTATAAAGGACATTACAGAGAGTAACAAAACTAGAATGTATTAATGTTGACTTTCTGAATGCAAGATTTGCACTGTAGTTATGCAGACTGTCCTGACTTGTAAGAATACCCACTAAAGTAATCAGGGGTGATGGCATAACGTCAGCCATTTACTCTCAAATAGTTCTGGGGGGGGGAAGTCTTTGTACTAAAACTTGGAAATTATCTCAAAATTGAAGCCTATTTCCAAAAGGTTAATAAAAAATAAATAAATGGAAAAGGTAAATTAGGCAAATCTCATTTCTCCCCGAGAAAAGATCTACATAAATCAGTGTTTAAAATTAAAATTATATAAATTTGATGGCACTGTAACAACTGTAATACATCCACACATGAACAATGACCACAGTTTTTGCACAATAAAATGACATCTAAGTCCAATTCTACCACTACACAGAGTGATAAAAATTATAAAATACAAAGAAGTCATCAATTAACTGTACACTATAAAGTACTAATGACAACTTCATGATTTGGATCTTTAAACAGCTGATATTTGGGCAGTTTGTGTATGTAAAACTCAATATTCCTGGTTTTTACTGGCAAAATCCACTTACAGATTAAAGAAGCCAAGTAACATTGTTTAAAATACTATATAAATTTTGATCAGACACATAGAATATAAAAATATTTCCCTTTAATAGTTTCATGTCATATATTAATATCTAATGAGAAAAAACAGCCCAGTAACAAAATTTTATCCTTCAGATCATATAATTTTTCTTTAAAACCTGTACATACTCTCTTGATGCTTTCCAAACTAGATCTTGATTTAGAATTGACTCAGCAGTTGATCCTAGAGGAGAAGACACTGATCCAGATTCCAATTCAGCAGCAACTGGAATGAAAAAGAAGGAATTACACTCATTACCTAAAAGACTGCACAGTTAACTAAGTGGAAGTCAGTAAAAGAGCTGAGAATTTTGTCAGTGTTAATAAGAAAAATCTGTATATACAACTAATATATAAGATTACTATTAATTTGCCCATGGTTGCACATTGAATTAATTATCCTTGTAGTTAATTATCAGAGCTTCTGGCTTTCTCACTCTTCATTTATTCAACAACCATGTGCAAAGTAAGCATTGGAATTACAAGATGAAGATGATACGGTCCACCTCTAACAAACATATGCTATAATCTGAAGAAACAAACATACAATTTCCATACAGAGTCACAGACACCACGGCAGGCATAAGACAGGGCACTAACACACAGAAGGGACACCTATCCCAGTTCCGAGTCAATACTGTGGGCTTTTTGATGGAAGCAATATGTAGACTGATACCTGAAGGACAAGGAAAACATGGGCCAGATAGAAGGAAGAAGCAAATGCCCAGAGCTGGAGCTAAGGAAGATCGCTGTGGAATTCCATGTGGTCTAGGGTGGCTGAACACCAGAGCAAAGGGGCCCCGAGAATAGAAATAAGGTTGAATAAGGTGACAGGGACCACATTGTTATGAGTGTTTTTATTCCATGCTAAGGAATTTGGAACTTCTCCTGAGGGCAAAGAGAAACCAATGACAAAGTAAATGGCTGGAGATTTAAAATGTTGCCTGTCAAGTGACTGTTTATGAACTGTAATTCCAGACTAAGTAGTACTGGATCAGTCTGGGGTCTTTAGTCCTTAAATCACTACCATAATCCTGAGAAGTTGATGATGCCTCTGTTTTCTGAGAATAATTTTCACATGCTGGTTGACAGTTCTATGGGGATTGCAGAAGTGAAGAAAGTGTAGAGCCAAAAAAAAAAAGAGAGAGAGACGCAAAGACTTCCTGAGATGTTTTTAAAGCTACGGAACATGATGAATTAATGAGACATAATAAGTATACTCTTCACTATGAATGTTTGTTTTCACATCTTTCATTAGATGTGTGTAAGAAAGAATATTTAAGGTAGCATCTATTAGCCAAACAATGGAAAGGGAAGCCACTCGCCATTTACAGTTTACTTCAGAAATCAATCTAAATTTAATTTATGAATTTTGGTAACATACCTCCTTCAAGTTCTCTAGTTATATTTTTTTCCAACTCCTGCTGCATCTGAAATAAATCAAATGTTATTTATAATGTTTAAGTTAGACAAGAGCCATTACCATGAGAATGATATATCACTTACAAAATGTGGCCTGTAATGTTCTTTTTTTTTTTTTTTTTTTTTTTTTTTTTTGAGATGGAGTTTCGCTCCTGTTACCCAGGCTGGAGTGCAATGGCGTGATCTCGGCTCACCGCAACCTCCGCCCCCTGGGTTCAGGCAATTCTCCTGCCTCAGCCTCCTGAGTAGCTGGGATTACAGGCACGTGCCACCATGCCCAGCTAATTTTTTGTATTTTTTAATTAATTTATTTTTTTTTTGAGACGGAGTTCCGCTCTCGTTACCCAGGCTGGAGTGCAATGGCGCGATATCAGCTCACTGCAACCTCCGCCTCCTGGGTTCAAGCAATTCTCCTGCCTCAGCCTCCTGAGTAGCTGGGATTACAGGCACATGCCACCATGCCCAGCTAATTTTTGTATTTTTAGTAGAGACGGGGTTTCACCATGTTGACCAGGTTGGTCTCGATCTCTCGACCTTGTGATCCACCTGCCTCGGCCTCCCAAAGTGCTGGGATTACAGGCTTGAGCCACTGCGCCCGGCCTAATTTTTTGTATTTTTAGTAGAGACGGGGTTTCACTATGTTGACCAGGATGGTCTCGATCTCTTGACCTCGTGATCCACCCGCCTCGGCCTCCCAAAGTGCTGGGATTACAGGCTTGAGCCACCGCGCCCGGCCTGGCCTGTAATATTCTTAAAGACTACACTTGATTGCTCAAATATCAAAATAATCACAAATAAAATTCCTACTTGTTTTAAGTTTAGATTTTAAAAATGTGTAATGCTGTTTAATCTGATAAGAAGTACAATTAATATTGGGCTATTGCATATACATCATTTCAGAAAGGTGATGTTTTCTCTTAGTAGTACAAAGGTAAAACAACTGAAGTCAGGCCGGGCGCGGTGGCTCAAGCCTGTAATCCCAGCACTTTGGGAGGCCGAGGCGGGTGGATCACGAGGTCAAGAGATCTAGACCATCCTGGTCAACATGGTGAAACCCCGTCTCTACTAAAAATACTAAAAACTAGCTGGGCATGGTGGCACGCGCCTGTAATCCCAGCTACTCAGGAGGCTGAGGCAGGAGAATTGCCTGAACCCAGGAGGCGGAGGTTGCGGTGAGCTGAGATCGTGCCATTGCACTCCATCCTGGGTAACAAGAGTGAAACTCCGTCTCAAAAAAAAAAAAAAAACAACTGAAGTCATAGTTTGCAATGAATGCATTCTTAGCAAATGAATGTAATTCTTAGCAAAACTCTAACCTTTATAAAGCCTAATCAGTTTTTTCTTTTAACGGATTTTTCCTTAAAATAAACTTTCCAGCCAGGCACAGTGGCTCATGCCTATATTCCTAGCACTTTGGGAGATCAAGGCAGGCAGACTGAGGTCAGGAGTTCGATACCAAGCTGGGCAACACAGTGAAACCTCCGTCTCTACTAAAATACAAAAAAAATTAGCTAGGTGCGGCAGCATGCACCTATAATCCCAGCTACTTGGGAGGCTGAGGCAGGAGAATTGCTTGAACCCAGGAGGCGGAGGTGGCAATGAGCCGAGATCGCACCACTGCACTCAAGCCTGAGCGACAGAGCGAGACTCCATCTCCAAAATAACAAACAAAAAAATTTTCCATTCTCTATTTTTAGAAAATTAAAAATTTAAAATATGTTCTATGCTGTTTTTTGGTACAGAATCATCAACATATACGGGAAGAAAGTGATACTGTTATATCATGTGAAAATTCTACTGATAAAGATGTAAAGATGTAAAAATAAATATTAAGCTACCTATATATTATGAATATATAGACAGGCCTTATAAAATGAATAATGTGACAACAGCATTAGTAGGTCCTATAAAAGTAATAACTCAATACCAAATAAAGGGAGAAGCCTTTATTGAACTAATCTTATACTGCTATTCATTAATAAACACAACATAAAATATACATTTTTATATGACTTGTATTAAGGAACTACTAACATAATGTAGTTCTTCTCCTAAATATTTACTTCCTATGTGTAGTAAATTTTATTTCTTTATACTGTATTTACAAATACTTTCATAACATGTACATTTTGCTTAGATAAAAATGAAATACTCTGAACAAATTGCTTACCTTATGCTGAAGAAAACTCTCTACAAAAGGATACTTCTTGCATAACAAATTCAAGTAGAGGTTATTTTTTCCCCCTAACACTTAAAGGGTACCTGGAAGAAGTTGATGCCTCTATTCCAGCCCTGGAGTGGCCTCCCACTACATAAATTCTCTTCCAGCCTTCATTGACCCTTGAATATGTGTCTCTGTGTGTGTGTGTATGTGTGCGCGCGTGTGTGTGTGTGTGTGTTTTTTTTAAGATGGAGTCTCACTTTGTTGCCCAGGCTGGAATGCAGTGGTGCAATCTTGGCTCACTGCAACCTCCACCTCCTGGGTTCAAGCAATTCTCCTGCCTCAGCTTCCTGAGTAGCTGGGACTAGGGCATGTGCCACCACACCCAGCTAAATTTTGTATTTTTTAGTAGAGACAGGGTTTCACCACACTGGAAAGGCTGGTCTTGAACTCCTAACCTCATGATCCGCCTGCCTCAGCCTCCCAAAGTGCTGGGATTACATGTGTGAGCCACTGCGCCAGGCCAACCCTTGAATATTTTACCACATAAATGACAGAGAAATGCTAATATTATGCATTATTAGATATGCATATAAAAGCATTATGCATATTAAAGCTTTTCTACCTTTGAGAAAAGGACACCAGGCCAGACATGAAGGCTCAATGGGAAAAGGGGAAGACCCAAAATGCAGGAGGGAGTTGCTCTGGGAGGAACACCCGAAAACTGGCAAATATGTCTCTTTTATTTTATTCCTACTTTCCCATTAAATCACACATTTTCCTCATATTTCCCTTAATACAAATTTAGAATTATTGTCTCCAGTTAACACAGTGCCTGATGCAGACTATGGAAGGGAAAAGGAGAGAAAAATGTCTTGGTGGCATTAATAACTGTCCTATTGAGGTAGACATGGTCCCGTCAATGGTTTTTGAAATGTGTAAAGCAATAGCTAAGGAGAAACTGAACACTGCTAGAGGAAATAAAAAAGCTTAATAAATTAGTAATCTCTTATGCTAATAATGCATAATACAAAATCAAGAGCTACTAGGAGTAAAATAAATAAACTATGTTTTATAAAATTGCTCCTCTTTTCTCTGTGGCCTGTTTATTTCCAGGTGGGAGCTATGTTTCAGATGGTGGAGGTAGCTTGAAGTCCAACATTACCCTGTCTCAAAAAAAAAACAAACATAAAACAAAAAAAGAATTAAATGAGAAATCTGAAACCCAAAGGGAAAAGACAACATAACTAACCTTGGTCAAGTATTTCTCCATGCTATTATTTGAAGTCCGTGGATTTGAGGTAGAGATCAGTAAGTTTTCTCTTGGAATAAGTTTTCTGTTCAGATCTAAGCTATCATTAAGATTTCTAACACAAGGAAACTCCAGGACTGGCCTGGTAGTGAGAGTGGTGAATAAAGATCTGGTCTGCTGTTTTTCCACAAGAAGTTTGGTGTTGACCTCTGCTAGCCTCTCATTAGTTCTGTGAAGATTGCAGAAGACACATGCTTAGTATTTAACTTTTCCCTAAATGATTCCTAAGAGATGTGCATTTTTAAAAAAGTTATCATAAGAGTAAATGAAATTTCCCACAACAAATACTAGGGAAAAAGGAGACAGCTGAGTTGGTGATCAAAAAGAACTAAAGAGCCTCAAAGGTAGTTAGCTCCTAACATTGCTCCCAAGACATCAGAGCCAGGGACTGCCCTCTGTTTTCCACACACTCCCTAAGGCTGACCAAGTTGTTATTTTTAACCACTTTATGAATTATACTTCCCTTCATCCCTATGTTAATCATTCCCTATTTCACTAGCATGCCTTCATGTAGTAGAAAAACTATACAGGCTCGTTTGTTTACAGTGCCCTCTAGTGATAACACCGGAGATCAAGGAAAGTTAATTTATAGAGTGCTAGAATGTGCCTGAGTAGTAGTAATACTTGACCTTTCTGGTTTAAGCTGTGATTTTCAAAAAAAAAAAAAAAAAAGCTCAACTCACTAATAATTCTATTTATGGTAATGCTTACAACAATTTGATGACAATATCAATGTCTAACAGTTTCAAAAGCACAAAGCATAAAGACAGATCTAGTTAACTACATGAGAATATGAATGGAATAGCCATATAAAATTTAAAAAACAGGGGAGAGACATAAACTGTCCTGGACTTATATTTTAAAGGTAAGTTAATTTACTAACATCACTTTCCAAAATTATATTACCTAGTTGGCTTTCACTTACCATTAATCTCATGAACCTGTCTCACTAAGAATTATGCTTTCAGGCAAATCAGTGAGCTTAATTTATTTCCTATGATTCTATATTTTGACTTACTTGTTTAGTTTTTTTGACAAGGATTTTCTAACTTTTAATTCTTCTAGATAGAGTTGTTTATATTTTTCCAGTTCAGTTTTATTAAAGTCTTCTTGAGAAGTTTTCATTTTGGAGAGTTCAGATTCCAGATCTTTAATTCTGAGTTCCATTTGACTTTTCATTGAAGCAAAATTATTCTCTCTTAACTGTTCTAAGTTTTCTTGAGATGCTGCTTGTGCCTAATAAAAATTAAAAGCATATGTTTTAAAAATATACAACCTGAGTAAGACCAAGGCCACCTCCTCGGTGTCTAAGGGCTGCTTTGTTTTTAAGCCAAACTACAAAAACAGAAAGATCTGTGTGTCAATACGCATTGGTCAGAGATAAGAGGACATTCCAGGGCTCTAATTGAAAAGGGAACACAAATACACCTTCCAAAGAAATGAAAGTGAGTTTCTACTAGAGAAGCATTTTGATCCTTGATGAAGTAATCAAAACAATAAAGGCTGACTGGCAACCCAGATGTCTAATGATGGGGGAAATGTTATGTAGAAAATAAAATGATAATTGGTAACAGGAAAACCTAAGAAAGAAAATGAGTACAAATTTGTATATATTTTCTAATGAAAATTGTATAAAAATTATTTTTTGTTAGAATATTCATGGGAAGACGAATATGCTTACAATTTTTGATGTGATATTCCATTTTATGAATAAACTTGGCAAAGTAAATTAAAGCAATCATCTGTATGGAACATATAGGAACTTAGGGCTTAGTAACTGCATGTTTGTTAAGTAAAATATTGCATGTTCTAACTTAGGGATAAATGCTGTGCACATCAATATATATGTTGAGAAAAAAGGCCAAGGTCATGGATCTCTTACAGTAATTTTACCTGTTAGAGCACAAGGTTATGGAATCACCCAGAGTACAAGTAAAGGAATTTGGAATGTGATCCTGAGCCTTCCTGACTAGCTCTATGGCTTGGGCCCTGCTGTTTAACCTTTCCCTAGGTCTTTTCTTCATCTGTAAAATGAGAAACTATATTAGCTTATCACTAAGATTTCTCCCTATTCTCATTCCAAGTCTCTAAGAGCTAACATGTAGGCTCATGCCTGTAATTTTAGCACTTTGGGATCACTTGAAGCCAAGAATTCAAGACCAGCCTGGGCAACAAAGCAAGACTCTGTTTCTACTAAAAATAAGAATTAAAAAGTCAGCCAGGCATTATGATATGCGTCTGTAGTCCCAGCTATCCAGGAGGCTGAGTAATAAACATTTGTACTCATGAACTCTGATAATATAAAAAATAATGAAATTAATTAAAAATTTCAAAAAGTGAACAATTTAAGAACAATGGAAGAGTATGGTATAATTTCTAAAGCACAATTTTTTCTTTTCCTGATGGTTCTGTTTTATGCCAACTGATTTTTTTTTTTTTTTTTTTTTTTGACACGGAGTTTCGCCCTTGTTACCCAGGCTGGAGTGCAATGGCGCGATCTCGGCTCACCGCAACCTCCGCCTCCTGGGCTCAGGCAATTCTCCTGCCTCAGCCTCCTGAGTAGCCGGGATTACAGGCACGTGCCACCATGCCCAGCTAATTTTTTGCGCTTTTAGTAGAGACGGGGTTTCACCATGTTGACCAGGATGGTCTCGATCTCTCGACCTCGTGATCCACCCGCCTCGGCCTCCCAAAGTGCTGGGATTACAGGCTTGAGCCACCGCGCCCGGCGCCAACTGATCTTAATATCCAAATAATTCTCTAGTGAGAATCATTATCCTGAATGATTAATTTAGTTATAATAATGATGGGAACTGAAATATCTAAAGGGAGAAACAGATGCCATTTTCCTTCTAGAAATCTATAGAACAAACTGCTATAAGGGATGTAGAAGAAACACACACAGTGTATATGTCCAAAATACAATTTGCAGTGAATGAATGAAAGCACACTACATATAAACAAACCTGTAAAAAGAGATTGACTTCTTTTAATTTTTCTACTATTTCCTGTCTTGCTCTTTCTTCAATCTCCTGTTTATACTGTTTGACTTGACCACATTCTACCATATTCCTTTCTATATGACTTCTGAGGTTTATCACTTCTTGTTCCAACTTCTCTTTATTCTTCTGTAGTTTTTCACATTTCTTCTGTATTGTTTTCATAGATAACAACTCCTGCTGAAGAACTTGATTCTTTGTATCCAGATGCAGACATTTTGAACCTGCAGTCTCCAGTTCTGCTGTCAGATCATCAATCTGAATGAAGACAAAAATATAGTGCAATAATGAATGAAGTAGCCTGAGAACAGCCTAACATAAAACCAAGAACAAATTCACTTGCCACAAAATGTTGTTTGAACTATAAAATATTCTTCCAGCCGGGCGCGGTGGCTCAAGCCTGTAATCCCAGCACTTTGGGAGGCCGAGGCGGGTGGATCACAAGGTCGAGAGATCGAGACCATCCTGGTCAACATAGTGAAACCCCGTCTCTACTAAAAATACAAAAAACTAGCTGGGCGTGGTGGTGCGTGCCTGTAATCCCAGCTACTTAGGAGGCTGAGGCAGGAGAATTGCCTGAGCCCAGGAGGCGGAGGTTGCAGTGAGCCGAGATCGCGCCATTGCACTCCAGCCTGGGTAACAAGAGCGAAACTCCGTCTCAAAAAAAAAAAAAAAATATTCTTCCAATGTGGACCCTTAAATTACTCAGAAAATAAAAAACAAAGTTAAAGCCACCAGGAGTTACAAAAATATATTCCTTATTTTCATCATCTTTGCTACACAACATTTGCACTTGATCTTCAACTTACATTCTTCTGTGATTGTTTCATGTCTTTCCTCCTTACATGGCTCTAAGATGCAGTAGAAAGTCTCTTACTGCTTTCCCCATAAAAACTCCCTAGAATTTCCAAAAAAAAGTTCTGGGGAGATCCTATTATCTAGGCATTGTAAAAAAAAAAAAAATGGTTCCCAGAATAAGACTTTTAAAATAAGACTCTAATTAATAAATCCTGTAATACAGATTCTAATGCCATAAGCCTTTTTCTAAGCTGCAAATTTTTTATGCTAATTTGAGTTGCATTCTAAGGGGTAATAATTCTTGGTGTTAAGGCCACAGAATAAAAAACCTTGAAATAAATTCATGTACTTACAGCCAATTGATTTTAAATAAAGGTGCTAAGAACATACATTGGGAAATGGACATCTTCTTTAATAAATAGTGCTAATAAATTGAATATCCATATGCAGAAGAATGAAACTAGACCCCTAACATCATATACTAAGGTCAACTCAAAATTGATTAAAGATGTAAAAAACTAAGACCTTGGCCGGCCGCGGTGGCTCAAGCCTGTAATCCCAGCACTTTGGGAGGCCGAGGCGGGTGGATCACGAGGTCGAGAGATCGAGACCATCCTGGTCAACATGATGAAACCCCATCTCTACTAAAAAATACAAAAAACTAGCTGGGCGTGGTGGCGTGTGTCTGTAATCCCAGCTACTCCGGAGGCTGAGGCAGGAGAATTGCCTGAGCCCAGGAGGCGGAGGTTGCGGTGAGCCGAGATCGTGCCATTGCACTCCAGCCTGGGTAACGAGCGAAACTCCATCTCAAAAAAAAACAAAAAAAACAAAAAAAACTAAGACCTTGAAACTGTAAGTCTACTAGAAGAGAGGGAAAATGCTTCAGGACATTGGTCTAGGCAAAGATTTTATGGGTATTTTCAAACGCATAGGCAAGAAAACAAAAATAGACAAATGGGACAATATTAAACTGAAAAGCTGCATAGCAACAGAAATAATTAACAGAGTGAAGAGACAATCTGTAGAATGGGAGAAACTATGTGCAAACTATTCATCTGACAAGGGACTAATATCCAGAATATACAAGGAACTCAACCCAACAGCAAAAAGAATAAATAATCCAATTCAAAAGTAGGCAAAAATCTGAAACACATTTCTCATAAGAAGACATACCAATGGCCAAAAGTATATGGCAAAAATGTTCAACACCACTAATCATCAGAGAAATGCAAATCAAAACCAGCAAGTGATACTATCTTATTCTAGTTAGAATGGCTACTATCAAAAGACAAAAGATAACAAATGCCAGCAAGGGTGCAGAGAACAGGGAACTCTTAGATATTGCTGGTGGGGATGTAAAGTAGTACAGCCACTATTTTTAAAAATGTGAGGCCGGGCGCAGTGGCTCAAGCCTGTAATCCCAGCACTTTGGGAGGCCGAGGCGGGTGGATCACGAGGTCAAGAGATCGAGACCATCCTGGTCAACACGGTGAAACCCCGTCTCTACTAAAAATACAAAAAATTAGCTGGGCATGGTGGCGCGTGCCTGTAATCCCAGCTACTCAGGAGGCTGAGGCAGGAGAATTGCCTGAACCCAGGAGGCGGAGGTTGCGGTGAGCCGAGATCGCGCCATTGCACTCCAGCCTGGGTAACAAGAGCGAAACTCCATCTCAAAAAAAAAAAAAAAAAAAAAAAAAAAAATGTGAAGTTTTTCAAAAAGCTAAAAATACTACTGCCATATGATATAGCTATTCCACTATGGGGTATTTATCCAGGAGAAAGGGAAACAGCATGTCAAAGGGATAGCTGCATTTCCATGTTTATTGCAGTACTATTCACAATAGCTAAGATATGGAATCAACCTAAATGTCCATCAATAGACAGTGGATAAAGAAAATGTGGTGTATAGAGATACACAAAGACGAAATCAACAGACACTGAGGACTCCAAAAGGAAGGAGGGAGAGAGGGGGGCCAGGGCTGAAGAACTTCCTATTGGGTCTATGTTCAGAATCTGGGTGACAGGATCAACAGAAGTCCAAACCTTGGCATCATGCAGTATACCCTTGTAACAAACCTGCACATTTACCCTTTGAATGTAAAACGAAAATGGAAAATGTTTAAAAAAAAAAAAAAAAAAAAAAAAAAAAAAGGAAGATAGGTTGTGGGGGCCAGTTACAGTGGCTCACGCCTGTAACTCCAGCACTTTGGAAGCTAAGGTAGGCGGATTACCCAAGGTCAGGAGTTCGAGACCAGCCTGGACAAAACAGTGAAATCCCATCTCTACTAAAAATATAAAAATTAGCCAGGCATAGTGGCCGACACCTGTAGTCCCACCTACTTGGGTGGCTGAGGCAGGGGAATTGCTTTAACACAGGAGGCAGGGGTTACAGTGAGCTGAGACTGCGCCACTGCACTCCAGCATGGGCGACAAGAGCAAAACTCTGTCTCAGAAAAAGAAAAATGTGTTGCATACATAGGATGGAATACTATTCAGTCATTACAAAAAAAAAGAATGAAATCATGTCAGTAACATTATGTTAAATAAAAGAGGTCAGGCACAGGAAGACAAACATCTCAGGTTCTCACTGATATGCAAGTGCTAAAAAGAAAACCCAAGCTCACGGAAGTAGAGAGTAGAATCATGGGTATTAGAGGCTGGGAAAAGCAGGAGGGAGGAGAGGTGGGCAAAGGGGCGGGGAAGGGAGAAGGTGCTGGGTTGATGGCCACCAAATTAGAGCTAGCTAGGAGGAATGACAAAGAAATGATAAATGTTTGAGATGATGGATATGCTAATTAGCTTGCACATTGTATACATCTATTGAAATATCACTCTGTAGCCATAAATATGTATAATTTTGTGTCAACTAAAAATAAAAGGAGAAATATTCATCCCATGATAAAACAGAACATGGGCCAACCTCAGTGACTCATTTCTCATGAATAGAATGTGGTACAGGTAACAGCATGTGACTTCATTTTCCTTTCCTCAATGAGGAAGTACAGAGAACATTACAAAATCATTTCTAATCTTCTTAGTAGTAAAATAAATGTAGTACCCTTTGAATGTTAAGAAGTTAAATACAGCCGGGCGCGGTGGCTCAAGCCTGTAATCCCAGCACTTTGGGAGGCCGAGGCGGGTGGATCACAAGGTCAAGAGATCGAGACCATCTTGGTCAACATAGTGAAACCCCGTCTCTACTAAAAATACAAAAAATTAGCTGGGCATGGTGGCACATGCCTGTAATCCCAGCTACTCAGGAGGCTGAGGCAGGAGAATTGCCTGAACCCAGGAGGCGGAGGTTGCGGTGAGCCGAGATCGCGCCATTGCACTCCAGCCTGGGTAACAAGAGCAAAACTCTGTCTCAAAAAAAAAAAAAAAAAGAAGTTAAATACAATTTCTCCGTTACCTTACTTTAAGCCAATCTGTATAAAGACCATCTCATCTTTATGTTGGACCACAATGCTTCTCCATATCTTACCAACTGGCTCAGAAATTTTGAAATTCAAATGACTAATGTGGCTATTACTCATCTCTCATTAATTACCTAAACAAGGCCAGGTGCAGTAGCTCATGCCTGTAATCCCAGCACTTTGGGAGGCCAAGGCGGCTGATCACGAGGTCAGGAGTTCGAGACCATCCTGGCTAACATGGTGAAACCCTGTCTGTAGTAAAAATACAAAAAATTAGCCAGGTGTGGTGGCAGGTGCCTGTAATCCCAGCTACTTGGGAGGCTGAGGCAAGAGAATTGCTTCAACTTGGGAGGCAGAGGTTGCAGTGAGCCGAGATCATGCCACTGCACTCCAGACTGGCGACAGAGGGAGACTCTGTCTCAAAAAAAAAAAAATTACCTAAACACTACATGATTTTTAAGTGCTGCACTTATGAAAACTTTTCTTTGAATGGGTTGAACTATTGATTCCATGAACCATCTACCAAGCTGTACAGTATAGCTGTGCATTTCTGTTTAAGTAAACAAAAGGAAATACTAGAAACTGTGGTTTCCAAAAATGTAGGATCTGTGCCAAGAAAAGATCAGACTCAGTGTTATACCTTGAAAACTCCAGGTACCAGATCATAAGAGGATTTAACTGTAAACTGAAAGATGATCGATTAGCTCAATTTCCAATGGGGAAAGCTGACAACCCCAACTTTACCTCTCCTTCCTGGACAGTAAACATTTAAGATGATGAATTCATAGAATTAACAGATGATTCTGTGAGTTATAATGAGTTAATAAAACATAATGTAGTAAACAATAGACTATGTCAGCAGATTCTGTGATCAGGATTTGATGGAAATGGGACTGGAGAGAGAGGCACTGGGTGAGACTAAAGGTTGGAAAGAAGAAAAGGAATGAACTCTAGCTTTGTAAGCCTCACTTGCCATCGTGTAATAGGGTCTGCAAGGCATGAGCCATAGGCTCCTTCAAGAAGCAAAAAGTATAGGGGTTCAGTCAAGATGGTGAGAAAAATTGTAAAATAATAGGAAATAGTCACAAACCTTCTTGAAAGGCCAGGGGGGTTGCACAGCCTCAGTAAAAGGTTTGGCTGAAGGAAGCCTAATCCTCTTTATCTTGAATTAACAGCAGAAAAACAAATAACAAGGGAATGTGGGAGAGTTTATCTAAATAACATGTTTACTCATTTGGTCCTAAAACTAAACTTTGATCATTTGCAGGCAGGATGGCTCTCTCTCGGGGAAGTTGACCAGGTTAATTACCCTCTAGTGGTGTTGACTCAAAGCCTTCGTCATTTAATGTGTGCTGAATAAATGGCCAGTGAGGCCAGCTAGTCAGGGCCACCATAGCTGCTACAACTCTTTTGGTCAGCAGCCTGGCTCCCTAGTCTGCTCTTTCACTGAATATCTGTGCCTGGGTACATTATTCATTCATTGTGCAGCTGGGGTCTGCAGGATGGACCCCAGCAAAAAGTGAAGTTAAGACACTGCAGTACACTGACTATTATTACATAAATTATAAACATAATATGCAACTTGACTGAAAAAGAGTTCTCATTAAACTTGGTTTGGTAGTGGCATAAGAAAAGATATAGATCAACATATTAGAATTGAGAATCCAAGCCGGGAGCAGTGGCTCAGGCCTGTAATCCCAGCACTTTGGGAGGCCAAGGCAGGCAGATCACAAGGTCAGGCGTTCGAGACCAGCCTGTCCAATATGGTGAAACCCTGTCTCTGCTTTAAAAAATACAAAAATTAGCCGAGTGTGGTGGTGCGTGCCTATAGTCTCAGCTACTCAGGAGGCTGAGGCAGGAGAATTGCTTGAACCTGGGAAGTGGAGGTTGCAGTGAGCCAAGATCACGCTACTGCACTCCAGCCTGGGTGACAAAGTGAAAAAATAAAAATTAAAATTAGAATTGAGAAACCAAAAATAAACCCACACATTCAGGGTTGACTAATTTTCAGAAGGGTAACAAAACAATTAAATGGGAAAAGAACTGCCTTTCCAACAAATGGTGCTAGGACAACTGAATATCCTTAAGTAAAGAATAAAGTTGGACTCCCACCAAATACCATACATAAAAACTATAAAGCTCAAATATTTAGCTCAAAATAAAACAGCTAGAGGTAAGAGCTAAAACTATAAAACTCACAGCAGAAAATACAGGTATATATCTTGTGACTACACTTCGCAGTGGTTTCTTAGATGACAAGAAAAACAAATTAACTGGAACTCATCAAAACGTTATAACTGCTGTGGCTTGAAAAAACACTATGTAGGTGAAAACGCAAGCCACGGAGAGGGAGAAAATATTTGAAAAGCATACATTTGACATAGGATTTACACCTAGGAAACAAAAAAGCCTTGCAATTCAAAAATAAAAAGATACCAAGCTAAAAAACGGGCAAAGGATTTGAATAGACATTTCTACAAAGAATATACACACATGGCTAATAAGCACATAAAAGATAATTTGCATTAGAGAAAGGTAAATCAAACCACTTCACACCACTAGGATGGTATCTTTTTCCAATCAAAAAGGTAGAAAATAATTGTTAACAAGGACGTGGAAAACTCAGAACCCTCATATGCTGATGGAAATGTAAAATGATGCAGCCACTTTGGAAAACAGACTGGCAGCTCCTTAAAAGGTTAACATAGACAGCACTATTCACAATAGCAAAGATAGGAAATCAACCTAAATGTCTATCAATGAATGATTGGATAAAGATAATGTGGTATATACCTACAATGGAAAAACTATTGCCCATAAAAAAGAATAAAACCATGTCTTTTGTAGCAACGGGGCGGGCTGGAGGGGGGGGAACTGGAGGCCATTATCTTAAGTAAAACAAAACACAAAGCCAAATACCACATGTTCTCACTTATAAGTGGGTGCTAAATAATGTGCACACATGAACAGAGTTTGGAATCATAGTCATTGGAGACTTGGAAGGATGGGAGGAGGATAAGAAATTACATAATGGGTACAATGTATACTATTTGGGTAATGGTGACCCTAAAAGCCCAGACTTCATTCACCACTGCCCAATAGAGCCATGAAACAAAAGAACAGTTGTGCCCCCTAAATTTATACAAGTTTTTTTTTTTTTTTTTTTTTTGAGATGGAGTTTCACTCTTGTTACCCAGGCTGGAGTGCAATGGCACGATCTCGGCTCACTGCAACCTCCGCCTCCTGGGTTCAGGCAATTCTCCTGCCTCAACCTCCTGAGTAGCTGGGATTACAGGCACGCGCCACCATGCCCAGCTAATTTTTGTATTTTTAGTAGAGACGGGGTTTCACCATGTCGACCGGGATGGTCTCGATCTCTCGACCTCGTGATCCACCCGCCTCGGCCTCCCAAAGTGCTGGGATTACAGGCTTGAGCCACCGCGCCTGGCTTTTAAAAATATTAAGCATAGAATTACCATATGACCACTTTCAATTCCGAATACCAATTCCACTAGTAAGCATAAACCCAAGAGAAATGAAAACATATGCAAAAACTTGCACATAACAATTCACAGCAGTGTTATCAGTAACAGCCAAAAAGTGGTAACAACCCAAAAGTGCATTAACTGATGAGTGGGTAAATAAAATGATTTATCCATACAGTGGAATATTACTCAGCAATAAGAAGAAATGAAGTACTGATAGATGCTACAACACAGATGGACGTTGTTATGCTAAGTGAAAGAAGTCAGTCCCAAAAGACCACACATTGTGATTGTCCAGAGTAGGCAAATCTATAGAAATAAAGGGGTTGAACCGGGAAGGGGAAACAGGTAGGTAATAACTAATTAGAATGTAGGGTTTCTTTTTAGCATGATGACAATGTCCTGAAATTGACTGTGGTGATCACTGTATTACTCTGAATATACTAAAAGCCACTGAATTGTGTACTTTAAATGAGTCAATTGCATCATACGTTAATTATATCTCAATAAAGCTGTTACCAAAAAAATTGATCTGATACTAGTGACTTGGGGTTATGTAATGGTGTATTGCTTGTTTTTAGATAATTGGACAGGGTTCAAGACATAAGAGAATCAGCGGCATGCCTCTTTTATAAAAAAATGATATATTACAAAGCTATCTTTTTATGGGTGCATGGTATTCTATGGTACATATGTACCACATTTTCTTTACCCAGTCTACTACTAATGATAGATGTTTAGGTCAATTCCATGTATTTGCTATTGTGAATAGTGCTGCAATGAACATATGTGTGTTTGTACCCTTATGACAGAATGATTTCTATCCTTTGGGTATATAACCAGAAATGGGATCACTAGGTTGAATGGTAGCTCTGTTTTTAGGTCTTAGGAATTGCCACAATGTTTTCCACAATGGTTGAACTAATTTATACTCCAATCAACAGTGTATAAGCGTTCCTTTTACTCTGCAACCTCACCAGCAACTGTTATTTTTTCACTTTTTAATAATAGCCATTCTGGCTGGTGTGAGCTGACACCTCATTGTGGTTTTGATTTGCATTTCTCTAATGATCAATAATGATGACCTTTTTTTCATGTTTGTTTGGCTGCATGTATGTCTTCTTTTGAGAAGTGTCTATTCATGTATTCTGCCCACTTTTTAGTGTTTTTTTGCTTGTAAATTTGTTTAAGTTCCTTATAGATGCCAAATATTAGACCTTTGTCAGATGCATAGTTTGCAAAAAATTTTCTCCCGTTCTGTAGGTTGGCTGTTTACTCTATTGATACTTCCTTTCGCGCTGTAGAAGCTCTTTGATTTAATTAGATTCCACTTGTCAATTTTTGCTTTTGTTACAATTGCTTTTGCTGTCTTGGCCATGAAATCTTTGCCTATTCCTATGTCCAGATCTAGAAGCCATTATCCTTAGTAACCTAACACAGGAACAGAAAACCAAATTCTTCAAGTTCCACTACTAAGTGGAAGGTAGATGATGAGAACACATGGACACATGGAGGGGAACAACACTCACTGGGGTCTACTAGAGGATGAAGGGTGAGAGAAGAGAGAATAATCAGGAAAAATAACTAATGGGCACTATGCTTAATACCTGGGTGACAACATAATCTGTAAAACAAACTCCCATGACACAAGTTTAACTATAGCACAAACCTGTTCATCTACCTTAAAAGTAGAACTTAAAAGTTTAAAAAAAGCTTTTTATTAATATCAAGTCCCTAAAAAAGTTTTTAAAAACAATCTTTATTTTGCTATTAAAAGCATTGAGAGTCTATATTTCCCAAAATTAAGTCATTTTTTGTCCCAAAACTTATTAAAAATTACCTTATGTTTTAGCTTATTAATCTGAATATCCATTTCAAACGGACTAGTTTTTAAATCTCCATGGAAATTAAACTCTCCATTTTCATATTCATTTAACTTCTTTCTTGTCATTTTTAAGAGGTTCTTAAATCTGCAGGGAGGTACAAAATGAGTAAGTCGGGTTTTTAAAAGGCAAACATTTAATAATTATTTAAACAGATACTATGCTTTAGCACATAAGAGAAACAAATGTATAAATCATGATCCTCTCATTTATTTCAATCTGACATAGTCTGAAAACACTAATGAAATTACAATCTCAGGTAAATAACGTGAAGAAAAATTGTATGATATATATGGCAGATAAAGAGTTAATATTGTAATCACATGGAGTTTTTATAAATAAATTATTACTATCCATTTTAGTATGTTAATATAAAACACTAACCTATTATTAAATATTAGCTATAACTCAGAGATCAGTGTCCAAGTTGAAGAGGAAAAGCATGCTTAGGCCAGGCTCAGTGGTTCATGCCTGTAATCCCAGTACTTTGGGAGGCCAAGCCAGCTGGATCACTTGAGCTCAGAATTTCAAGACCAGCCTGGCCAACATGGTGAAACCCTGTCTCTACTGAAAATATGAAAAGCAGCCAGGCATGGTGGTACATGTCTGTAATTCCAGCTACTCGGGAGGCTGAGGCAGAAAAACTGCTTGAACCCAGGAGGTGGAGGACTGCGCCACTGCACTGCCGTCTGAGCAACAGAGAGAGACTCCGTCTCAAAAGAGAAAGGAAAGGAAAAGGAAAGAGGAGAAAGGAAAGGAGGGGAGGGGAGGGGAGGCGGAAAAGCATATACACACATATATACGAATGGTTGAAAAAGACACAAAAATACATTCGATATCCGTTGAGCACTGTTTGTAAGAAGAAAAGTAAAAAATAAAGAAAGTACACACAAAAAATACCAAGATCATTCAAAGCAGAAAAGAGACAGGAAAGAAAACATCTTTGATGTCTGAGGTAAAGGGGAACAGGAAACAGGCAGAGTTTTAGAAGAAAGGAAATAAGCAGACAGAGCATGTATAAAGAGTCAAAGGCTGCTTTCAGAAGAGATCTAGAAATCTTTGCTAGCAGAATGTTAACAAAGTAAAAGGGATGCAAACTGTGTTAGAGAAACACAATGAGAGAAAAATAGTGATTACAATCAGAACAAACATAAGTACTCAGCAAATAAATAGAAAGGCAGCCATGTTGAAGGCTTCCAAGGCAATGGGTAACATTCCATTTTTAAATCTGGATAGTAGAAACACAATTGCTCATTTTACTCTTAAATTACACATATATTTGAATATGTATGAGGCATATATGTTTCAAAACAAACAAGTTTAGCCGGGCGCGATGGCTCACGCCTGTAATCCCAGCACTTTGGGAGGCCGAGGCGGGTGGATCACGAGGTCAAGAGATCGAGACCATACTGGTCAACATGGTGAAACCCCGTCTCTACTAAAAATACAAAAATTAGCTGGACATGGTGGCACATGCCTGTAATCCCAGCTACTCAGGAGGCTGAGGCAGGAGAATTGCCTGAACCCAGGAGGCGGAGGTTGCGGTGAGCCGAGATCGTGCCATTGCACTCCAGCCTGGGTAACAAGAGCAAAACTCCGTCTCAAAAAAAAAAAAAAAAAAACAAGTTTAATAACACATATATCTCAGGTATACAAGGGAGATATCCATGGGAAATGAGTAAATTTCCATGATATATTTTAAAACTATTAAAAAAAAAAAAAAACAAAGAAAAAAGCATAAGCTAAATCAAGATAATTTTTGATGTTTCCAAAGAATGACACAGATAGGTTTTTAGGTATTAAAAGATTTGAATATCTTCTTTGAAAGGAAGGACACTATCAGAGAGAGAAAGATTACCAAAGAGAGCAAAAATATCTTCAGATATAAAAATTGAAGTAAAAGATGAAGAGTAAAGTTTACATTATATGCCAAAGGCATTGTTACTGATTTCAAAATCAATTTAATGATTTCAAAATCATTAAAGAATAAGTGTAATATTTAGGCATTCAAAAAGTTTCAGATTGTGCTACAATTTGGTTTTTTTTTTTTTTTTTTTTTGAGACGGAGTTTCGCTCTTGTTACCCAGGCTGGAGTGCAATGGCGCGATCTCGGCTCACCGCAACCTCCGCCTCCTGGGTTCAGGCAATTCTCCTGCCTCAGCCTCCTGAGTAGCTGGGATTATAGGCACGCACCACTATGCCCAGCTAATTTTTTGTATTTTTAGTAGAGACGGGGTTTCACCATGTTGACCAGGATGGTCTCGATCTCTTGACCTCGTGATCCACCCGCCTCGGCCTCCCAAAGTGCTGGGATTACAGGCTTGAGCCACCACGCCCGGCCTACAATTTGTTTCTTTAAGAAAAATTTGATGTTGGCTAGGCGCAGTGGCTCATGCCTGTAATTCCAGCACTCTGGGAGGCCGAGGAGTGCAGATCACAAGGTCAGGAGTTCGAGACCAGCCTGACCAACATGATGAAATTCCATCTCTACTAAAAATACAAAAATTAGCTGGGCGTGGTGGCGAGCACCTGTAATCCAAGCTACTCAGGAGGCTGAGGCAGGAGAATTGCTTGAACCTGGGAGGCGGAGGTTGCAGTGAGCCAAGATTGTGTCACTGCACTTCAGCCTGGGCAACAGAGCAAGACTCCATCTTAAAAAATAAATAAATAAATAACAAGAAGAAGAAAAAGAAAAAGCAGATGTTAAATGAATTTGTATCTATGTTTGAAATAAGTAAAATTATAGTTAAATCAATTAACAAATGGTTAAAATTGATCTGAAATATTAAAATCTTACCTAGTTATCTCTCTTTCTAATTCAACATTTTTTTTCATTTCTTGATCCAAATTACATTCCAGAGACTGTTTTAATTCCGTAAGTTTCTTTAATTGTTCTCTTTCATCCTCAGACTTTGAAACAAAAAATTTTCAATTATTTTTAAAACTCTAAAACACTCTCTTCTTAAAACTATTATTTCTCAGAAATTCATAAGTAACATATGTTTGGGCAAATTTTACAAACGGAGTTTATAAACCTGATGCCAACTAGAACAGATTTCAAAAATGACTTTTCTTTTTTTTTTTTTTTTTTTTTTTGAGACGGAGTTTCGCTCTTGTTACCCAGGCTGGAGTGCAATGGCGCGATCTCGGCTCACTGCAACCTCCGCCTCCTGGGTTCAGGCAATTCTCCTGCCTCAGCCTCCTGAGTAGCTGGGATTACAGGCACGTGCCACCATGCCCAGCTAATTTTTTGTATTTTTAGTAGAGACGGGGTTTCACTATGTTGACCGGGATGGTCTCGATCTCTCGACCTCGTGATCCACCCGCCTCGGCCTCCCAAAGTGCTGGGATTACAGGCTTGAGCCACCGCGCCCGGCCCAAAAATGACTTTTCTTAAAACAGCTTACATTTCTTTTCTGGAATTTAAATTACCAAAATTTATTTGTTAAAAATATGTTTACACATAAAATAATAAAATTAATGAAAATTCTTTTTAAAAAAAGTTTTAGATGAACATTCTTATTTCTAAAGTTGCTCTAGAAACATTGTCATCAATAGTTCAAGCTATTCCAGGTTTTGTTAAATCAAATCATACTAAGACAATTTTTAGAAAACCTTAATCTGGTTCCTGTTACATTTTTGATACTCACCTGACTTTAAGATGAGCTATTTCTTATTCTCTATAAACATTCTTCCATGGGTTTCAATTTTTCCTTTTTTATTAACCATTTCTCTTTAAATACTTCTCCACAATAAACAGAAACATAACTTCTTCCTGATTCTTGTGGCTTTTTTAATCATCCTGTTTTTCCACTGGACTCTCTTGTTTGTTTGTGTGTGTTTGTGACAGGGTCTAACTCTGTCAACCAAGCTGGAGTACAATGGTGCAATCATAGCTCACTGCAGCCTCAAACTCCAGGGCTCAAGTGATCCTCCCACCTCAGCCTCCTAAGTAGCTAGGATAACAGGCATGCACCCCCACACAATCTAATTTATTTTATATTTTTTTGTTTTTTCTTTTTACGGTTCACTTCCAATATTTTAATTTTGGTGGTACAGAAATGATACATAATCAGTAGAAACTGTACTTGGGAGTACTCATACAATCATTGTTTTTCCCTTTCAGCACACTTCAATAAATTACCAAGCTTTCCAACACTTTATAAAACAGATTGTGTATTAGGTGAAGTACGTTACCAGATGTGTTATGAAGATTAAATGAGTTAATATATATATTTTAAATAAACAGTGTCTGGTACCTGGAAGGAGGATAGGAAAAATGGGCTATTCTTATTGTTAATGATGATGATTTATTCAGCACCTACTGCTTAATAAATACAAATGCTCCTCAACTTACTATGGGGTTTCTTCCTGATAAGTCAATCATAAACTGAAAATGTCATATATAAAAAATGCATTTAGGCCGGGCGCGGTGGCTCAAGCCTGTAATCCCAGCACTTTGGGAGGTCGAGGCGGGTGGATCACAAGGTCAAGAGATCGAGACCATCCTGGTCAACATGGTGAAACCCCGTCTCTACTAAAAATACAAAAAATTAGCTGGACATGGTGGTGCGTGCCTGTAATCCCAGCTACTCAGGAGGCTGAGGCAGGAGAATTGCCTGAACCCAGGAGGCGGAGGTTGCGGTGAGCCGAGATCGCGCCATTGCACTCCAGCCTGGGTAACAAGAGCGAAACTCCGTCTCAAAAAAAAAAAAAAAAAAAATGCATTTAATCCACCTACCCTACTGAACCGGATAGCTTAGCCTAGCCTGCCTTAAACATGCTCAGAATACTTACAATGGCCTGTAAGTTGGTCAAGCTCATCTGTTTTACATTTTTTTAGAGACAGAGTCTTGCTATGTTGTCCAAGCTGGTCTTGAACTCCTGGTCTGAAGCGATCCTCCTGCTTCAGCCTCCTAAAGCACTGGGATTACGGGTGTCAGCCACTGTGCTAGCCAGATTCTAATGTTTTTTAATACATGGTCTCATCTAGAGATCTATTTTTTCATCGCTTGTCTTCTTTTATATTAAAATCTAATTTTCAATCTTAAAATTCTCATTTTAAAATTCTGAAAGTCATCGAGGCCCTATTTTTTTTTAGTCCTTAATGTGCTTTACTTCTCAGCAGCAACTACTGACAGTTACCATCCCTCCCCTCGGCTCTTCTGACCCCACTTGATTTTTAAATGCAGCAAATCCTCATGCTGAGTCCTGTCCCCTTCCATTCCTCTCTGTAAATTCTCTAAGAGCTCCTTAAATCTCAAGGCTTCATCCCAGATTCCCTAATCTAGATTTCCAGCCCTTACCTCTTTCCTGAGGTCTCTTCCCTCTGGTTCACTTCTCATAAACGATATTCTCAACCACACACCCATAAACTATTAATTGGTGCGGATTCATTTTGTAGATAGCTAGTCTTGTACATTTTATGTTGCCTCTTACTGGTGTTACTTTGAGTACAGTGTTATTTTCTCATCTTGGGTGGGCACACTCACCCTTGGGATGTTGACCAACGTACTTTGTCTTTTTTTTCATGCACAAAAGTACTTTTAAAACATTACATAAAATTAACGTCAAGCTATTTATATAAGGTACGTATGAAGCATAAATAAATTTCAGACTTGGGTCCTATCTCCCAGATATTTCATTATGTATGTACAAATATTCCAAAATCCAAAAAAATCCAAAATCTGAAACACTTGTGGTCTCAAGCATTTTAAATAAGTAATACTCAACTTATTTTACCACTAGAACAATAAAATTCCTTTTCAGGATGAAAGAAATTAAGACGTTGACTTACCAAATTTGCATTTAACAGGTTTTTCTGAAGCTCTTCAATTTTGTCCATTTGCTTTTTGATTGTAACTTTTAACTTGGCATTATCTTTTTCAAGCCTGCAATGTATATTTTAAAATAATTATTCTCACAGATAAATTTTTTAAATGCTGTGTAATTTCTTAAAAAACACCTGAAAGTTTAACTACATAAATTCTTAAAGATTTGAAAAGTAGGTCACTTGGCAACTCTATTGTTTTTCTAGTTGTGGTTTGCAGATAATGCACAAAATTCTAGAATAATATAAAAAATTATGCATTTCAAGGCTGGGCGCGGTGGCTCAAGCCTGTAATCCCAGCACTTTGGGAGGCCGAGGCGGGTGGATCACGAGGTCAAGAGATCGAGAACATCCTGGTCAACATGGTGAAACCCAATCTCTACTAAAAATACAAAAAAAATCAGCTGGGCATGGTGGCGCGTGCCTGTAATCCCAGCTACTCAGGAGGCTGAGACAGAATTGCCTGAACCCAGGAGGCGGAGGCTGCAGTAAGCCGAGATCGCGCCATTGCACTCCAGCCTGGATAATAAAAGCGAAATTCCATCAAAAAAAAAATATATATATATGCATTTCAAAATAGCTTAATGCTGAAATTTTTCCTTAACTTCACACAGATGTACTTATGATCATAGCTGATACAATTCTCATACTACACTGCTTATTTGCTCTATAAATAATCATGTTATTCTGTGTGCTGCTTTAAATGGTTACTTTTGCTTGTGATCTTGCATCTTCTCAACACATCTGACAGCTTCTGTATGTTGCTCCTGTGCTTCCTGCAACTAAAACAAAGAATTTTAAAAAAAGTTTACTAATAATCTAGTACAAATCCGCTTATCACATGTTTTTGTAACTAAACCTTATTGGAACGCAGTCACACCCCTTCAATGTGCATATTGTTTATGGCTACTTTTGTGCTGTGACTGTAGAGCTGATTTGTTGCAGCAGGTATCTCACGGCTCCCAAAGCCCAAAATGATACCATCTGGCCCTTTACAGAAAAGTTTAACAACCTGCGTTCTAGAACTAAAACACATTATTCTTGTTTTCAAACTATATTTTATCAGATAAATACTCAAACTTACAAAACTGGTAAAAGGGAGAAAGACAGGAAATTACTTTATGGTAAGCATTTATATTTTTGAATTCCAAGTACCACCACGTCAACTATAATTGTAAATATTTATAGATGTGAATGATATCTATAAATCACTGGCTATGCCAGTGATAATAAAAATTAACATGACATGTTAGGTGACAACTAGATGTTTCATGAAATTGAGAGGCAGTATCCACACAGAAGCTGGAATGGATGGGTGGGAATCTCAGCTCCACCAGTTACCAGTTGGGTGACCTTGAGGAAATTAACATTCAATGTCTCGCCGGGCGCGGTGGCTCAAGCCTGTAATCCCAGCACTTTGGGAGGCCGAGGCAGGTGGATTACGAGGTCAAGAGATCGAGACCATCCTGGTCAACAAGGTGAAACTCCGTCTCTACTAAAAATACAAAAAATTAGCTGGGCATGGTTATGCGTGCCTGTAATCCCAGCTACTCAGGAGGCTGAGACAGGAGAATTGCCTGAACCCAGGAGGCAGAGGTTGCAGTGAGCCAAGATCGCGCCATTGCACTCCAGCCTGGGTAACAAGAGCAAACTCCATCTCAAAAAAAAAAAAAAAAAAATTCAACGTCTCAGTTTCTTCATTGGTAAAACAGAGACAGTAGTAGTATTTACTTCACTGGAATGGTAAGAAGACTCAGTCAAGGAATATACACATAAAGTACTTAGATGAATACGTAGCATATAGTGAGCTATATTTCTTCTTTGAGACATTGATATAATAAAGCTTTTATTCTATTTTGTTATCTTTTTTCTAACAAGCCCAGAGCTAACCTAGATGGTTATTCTAAATATATTGATATCACTTTACGTGGTATCAATCTATGAATCCCAGTTCTGGCTACACATTAAAGGTAAATTTAGATTTTTTTTTAATATAGTGAGAAAAACATGAGCATTTAATTGAATAACTCCCTTATTAGATTAAGTAGTTTCTATTTTTATTTAATTACTTAAAATATATTTAGAATAACCACCTAGATTAGCTGTGGGCTTGTAAAAAGAATAATATAATAAATAACAAAAATAGAATAAAAGTTTTATTATATCAATGCCTCAAAGAAGAAATTCTTAGTATAATATAAAGTAATTTTACTGTAACAACTGCTAAAATATTTTCAATTTATACAAAGATAAGTGACACGCATATCAGACATTATTCCCCTTGTAGGCAAATTTATAATTAGACAAGATTCTTTCTCATGAAAAAAAAAAAAAAAAAGTGAAGTTAAATTAAGGACAAATTGTTCTACACAGACTAGACAAAAAATGCTTAAGTGTAAGGTCAATGAGAGCCAGAACAGTCAGAGAAAGCTTCCCAAAGGAGGGGGAATTGTACGCCAGTGCGCCAGGTCTGAATAAATGAGGCTTGATGAACAGAAACTGCAAAGGCAGGAAGAACAGCAGGAGTAAAGCAGAGAGACGGTTAAATCAGCCCAATTAACCCTGAGGATAAAACCCAGTGACAGGAGAATAAAAACATATGTCTTATAAATAAATGTTCATACTAGCATTATTTACAGTAGCCAAAAAGTAGAAACAATCTAAAGGCCCATCCACTGATGAATAGATAACCTGTATAGCCATACAATTGTCGAATATTATTTGACAATAAAAAGAAATAATGTACTGATATGTGCTACAACACAGGTGAAACCCAAAAACATGCTAAGTAAAAGAAGCTACAAATAAAAGACTGCATATTGGCTTGGTGTGGTGGCTCACGCCTGTAATCCTAGCACTTTGGGAGGCCGAAATGGGTGGATCACCTGAGGTCGGGAGTTCAAGACCAGCCTGGCCATCATGGTGAAACCCCATCTTAAAAAAAAAAAAAAAAGGACTGCATATTGTATGACTCTATTTACATGAAATGCTCAGAACAGGCAAATTTTTTTTTTTTTTTTTGAGACAGAGTCTTGCTCTGTTACCCAGGCTGGAGTGCAGTGGCGTGATCTCAGCTCACTACAACCTCCGCTTCCCAGGTTCAAGCGATTCTGCCTCAGTTTCCTGAGTAGCTGGGATCACAGGTGCACACCACACCCAGCTAATTTTTGTATATTTAGTAGAGACGGGGTTTCACCATGTTGATCAGGCTGGTTTCAAACTCCTGACCTCAGAATCTGCCTGCCTCAACCTCCCAAAGTGCTGGGATCACAGGCATGAGCCACTGCATCCAGCCTAGAACAGGCAAATTTAATGAGACAAAGTAGATGTTGGTTGTCTAGGACTGGGCAAGGTGGAGGGACATAGATGGAGATGGTGGTAATGGCTAAGGGATGTGGGGTTTCTTTTCAGGGTGATAACAATATTCTAAAATTGACTGTGGTGATGGTTACACAACTCTGTAAATAATCTAAGAGACACTGAATTGTACACCTTGAATGAACTGTATGGTATGTCAATAATGTTTTTGTTTTTAAATCCAATGGTGGGATCTAGGTAATTTTCTTAATTCTCTAGTTTAGAAGTACATACAATATATGATCTAAATATTTCTATGTTTTCGTAATACATTTTCAATGAAAGGAAAATAAAGGAAATGCCAATTTCAGCCGGGCGCGGTGGCTCAAGCCTGTAATCCCAGCACTTTGGGAGGCCGAGGTGGGTGGATCACAAGGTCGAGAGATCGAGACCAACCTGGTCAACATGGTGAAACCCCGTCTCTACTAAAAATACAAAAAATTAGCTAGGCATGGTGGCACGTGCCTGTAATCCCAGCTACTCAGGAAGCTGAGACAGGAGAATTGCCTGAACCCGGGAGGCGGAGGTTGCGGTGAGCAGAGATCGCGCCATTGCACTCCAGCCTGGGTGACAAGAGCAAAACTCCGCCTCAAAAAAAAAAAAAAAAAAAAAAAAAAGAAAAAAAGGAAATGCCAATTTCAAATAGTTTAGAAGTTAACCTAAAACATTTGCATTTTGGAGAAAAGTTAATGGCCTTTCTGTACACATTAACTTGAAATCCATAAAATAAATCGACACAGATTCTGTATCCACTCACAAAAGTGAAAATAAGAAATAGGACAATTTTCGCCGGGCGCGGTGGCTCAAGCCTGTAATCCCAGCACTTTGGGAGGCCGAGGCGGGTGGATCACGAGGTCGAGAGATCGATACCATCCTGGTCAACAAGGTGAAACCCCGTCTCTACTAAAAATACAAAAAGTTAGCTGGGCATGGTGGTGCGTGCCTGTAATCCCAGCTACTTAGGAGGCTGAGGCAGGAGAATTGCCTGAGCCCAGGAGGCGGAGGTTGCGGTGAGCCGAGATCGCGCCATTGCACTCCAGCCTGGGTAACAAGAGCGAAACTCCGTCTCAAAAAAAAAAAAAAAAAAAGAAAAGAAATAGGACAATTTTCTGGAACATTCCATTAAACATTATCCTCTAACTTAATCTGGCTTGCTTCACCATGACAATAGAAAAATCACTATGAAATAGTGTTTAACAGTAAAAAAAACTCAACTTCCGCGAGGAATGATGTGTAATTCTCAAGTTTGCTAAGGCTAAATATTACTTTTTTTAATGTGCAATTATAAGAAAACATGGCAGAATGAGAGCCATAGTTTAATAAACAAGATGGGTGTGGTGGCTCACATCTGTAATCCCAGCACTTTGGGAGGCCCAAGCGGGTGGAACACCTGAGGTCAGGAATTTGAGATCAGCCTGGCCAGTATGGTGAAACCCCAGCTCTATTAAAAATACAAAAATTAGCTGGGCATACTGGCACATGCCTGTAATGCCCAGCTACTCAGGAGGCTGAGGCAGGAGAATCGCTGGAATCTGGGAGGCAGAGGTTGCAGTGGGCTGAGATAGTGCCACTGCACTCCAGCCTCAGCAACAGAGTGAGACTCTGTCTCAAAAAAAAAAAGAAGGAAGTGTTTTATAACGATAAAATTTAAATTAATTATAATGAAAATTCAGAAGAAGGCTATCCACTGAAACGAGTATGATAAAACACTTTATATTTAGCCATATATATAAATATTAACTGTTGACATGTTAAATTTCATACATACTTGATTTCTGATTTGACCCAATTTCTTCTTTAAATCCTGTGTCTCATCTTCTAAATTAATACGATAACGTGATGTAACCTCCAGTGAAGCCTCTGACATAGACTGTTTTTTTAGGGTATCAGCCAGTTCTTGTTGAAGCTGTCTCACAAAAACCTGACAAGACATTTTTGTTACTGATTTTATAAATCACCTTATTATTGTTATATTAAAAATAAATAATGTTAATAATATTTAACTGTGATATACGTAACTTAAAAAATATTACCATATACATTGATTCACTTTCTTGTCCTCTTATTTACACATTCCTGTTTATTACCGAATTCAGTTAAGGACACAGAAAGTGTTATCTTCCTGCCAAATAGGTCTGACGTTACTTAAACAACAGATTCAGCTCACTATTCGGTCATCCCCTGATGAATTTACAATGCTTAACAACCTCCTGAAGTCTCGAAATAATTAGGTGAATGGAACTGGTAGTGATTAACTGTGCCCTATGAAACATTTTCTCTCTTTTTTATTAGAAACTCAAATCAACTTCAGAGCTCCTCACATATTCAATCGCTTGCTCAAATTCTTCCAATAGATTCCTATCTCAGAATACAGGTAAATTCCAACGGCCTTAGAGGCCCTAGATAACCTGACCTCCACCTGCCTCCCTAACCTCAGCTGCTATGGCTCTCCCCTACTCACTCCACTGGTGACCCCCTATACACTGAAATGGTGATCCAATATAAAACTAGTAAATCACAGCCGGGCGCGGTGGCTCAAACCTGTAATCCCAGCACTTTGGGAGGCTGAGGCGGGTGGATCACGAGGTCGAGAGATCGAGACCATCCTGGTCAATGTGGTGAAACCCCGTCTCTACTAAAAATACAAAAAATTAGCTGGGCATGGTGGCGCGTGCCTGTAATCCCAGCTACTCAGGAGGCTGAGGCAGGAGAATTGCTTGAACCCAGGAGGCGGAGGTTGCGGTGAGCCGAGATCGTGCCATTGCACTCCAGCCTGGGTAACAAGAGCGAAACTCTGTCTCAAAAAAAAACTAGTAAATCACTACACTTACCTCTGTACTGAACAAAGTTACACCCAAATGATAGTCATTGAGCCTTGAAATGAAAATTATGAGCAAGTTATCTGCTCACAATATATTCAAAGTAAATCATAAATACCAGTGGGGAGATTAAATCAAATATGGTTGCTAAAATTCACCACATTTTTCCTAAATTATGGTTTAATAAAAAGTACATGCTTTAAAGAATTGAGAGATCAAAACAATATGTAATTTGAGATTGAAATATTTTTAGACTTGTCAAATTGAGAAGAATAAAAATAAAATCACATCAACTGAAATATATAAAAAGCTACTGACAGAAAAGTATTAAGAGATATACCAATATACTTCAGGTTATCTAGGAAATCTATTAACTGTCAAAATAACACACTTAATTGAATCTTAATTTCAAAATACTCATTTCAGGTACGAGCATTTCCATTTATCATGGTGGCAGAAAAATGGAAATGTTCTTAAGATGTAGCAACATAAAGACATTAAAGTTACTACTTCAGCAGTAAAAGACTACATTATTCACATTAGTTTACTATTCATACTAGTCTCTATTTACAATTCATAACTTAAAATTCAAAATTTCATAGATGATATAATGTCTTTACTCAAAGTAAAGCATCTCTCAGCTCTTTGACTTGCTGAAAACAATAAATGTTTCTAAATGGATAAATAAACTTATAATCTACTTATTTTTATATTTAACTATATCTAACCTTTAGCCATAACCAAATTTTTTTTTTTTAAACGGAGTCTCACTCTATTGCCCAAGCTGGAGTGCAGTGGTGTGGTCTCGGCTTACTGCAACCTCTGCAGCCTGGGTTCAAGCAATTCTCCTGCCTCAGCCTCCCAAGTAGTTGGAATTATAGGTGCCTGCCACCATGCCCAGCTAATTTTTTTATTTTTTTTATTTTTTATTTTTATTTTTATTTTTTTGAGATGGAGTTTCGCTCTTGTTACCCAGGCTGGAGTGCAATGGCGCGATCTCGGCTCACCGCAACCTCCGCCTCCTGGGTTCAGGCAATTCTCCTGCCTCAGCCTCCTGAGTAGCTGGGATTACAGGCACGCGCCACCACGCCCAGCTAGTTTTCTGTATTTTTAGTAGAGACGGGGTTTCACCATGTTGACCAGGATGGTCTCGATCTCTCGACCTCGTGATCCACGCGCCTCGGTCTCCCAAAGTGCTGGGATTACAGGGTTGAGCCACCGCGCCCGGCGCAATTTTTGTATTTTTAATAGAGAGGGGGTTTCACCATCTTGGCCAGGCTGGTCTTGAACTCCTGACCTTGTGATCCACCCACCTCAACTCCCAAAGTGCTGGGATTACAGGCGTGAGCCACTGCTCCCGGCCCCAAATATTATTTTAAATTTTATTTCAGGAGGTTTGAAAAATATTTATCTGTCTTGATACTTACTTCTCTTTCTGCCTTTTCATTTTCATATTGATACTGTCTTTCTTTTAGGTGATTACATTCACTGATTAACTCCTTATTTCTTTCTTCTAGCAGAAGACTTTGCTTTTCGCTCTCAGCTTGCAGTTTCTGCACAATAGCATGAAACTGCTCTTGGATATTAATCACTGTCTTCTCTTTATTGTCAGCCTTGTTGTGGGCATCTTCCAGTTGTTGTTGAAGCAACATATTCTCACTTTGTAGTTGAGACAATCTCTCCTCTACAGACTCCTGCTTTCCAATGTATTTATTCACTTTAACTTGTTCATTTTGATACTTTTGTTCCATTTCCTTCATCTGACACTGTGTTTGGCTTAAGTCTGTTTGTACCCGTTCTAAACCCAAAGTCTTTTCTCTGAGGGCATTTCTCGCGTGATGCAGCTCAATTTCTAGGCTATTGAGTTTACTTTCAGTTTTAGAAAGTTGTTGAGAAAGAATCTCATTGTTATCTTTTAGGTTAGACACATCAAAATTCATTCTGTCCTGTAAACGAGACCACTCATCTCTTGCTCTCTGGAAAGCAAGTTCTAGGTCTCTTTTTGATGTCTCACTTTGATCACGATCATGTATAGCAGCAGCCAGTCTAGCACGGTATGATTCAACTTCTGTTTCCAGTCTGTCCTTGCTTTGCTTTTCATTCTCCAGTTTAGAATTTAGCATTGCATTCTCTGCTGTCAGAACATTAAGTCGTCCATTATACTGGGATATTGTTTGTGTTAATGTTTCCTCATTCTGTTTTATAGTCTTCTGAAGGTCTTCATTCTTTTCTTTTGCAATTTCAATGTCCTCAAAACATTTCTTTTCTTTTTCCTGGTTTTGATTTTTTATTGTGTCTATTTCTAGTCTTAGCATAGCAATTTCTTCCTGTAACACACTATTTTTATGCAATAGGTCTTTTTCTTCTTCATGACTATGAGAATTCTAGTAAAACAAAGGAAACTTTTAGCTAGCACCCAAGAAAACGACATATCATGATTTCCTCTGACATTAAAGAATCATATGTACATTTTACAATAAAGGGTTACAATAAGTATATATCCAACTGAAAAAAAAATTGGATCAAAACTCAAACCTTATAGAGCATAAACTCCCAAAAGTTCAAAAATCTATTTGACGGTAATTAATTCATGAAAGTAAAAAAGAAACCGCTAGAGAATTTTTAAGAATCTCAGAATTGGAAAGGCCTTTCCCTGAATTACAACAAATTCAAAAGCATAAAAGATTAATAATTTGACTACATTAAAATATTGGGTTTATACTCATCTCTAACCCATACACCACCCCATAGTAAGAGCCTTGGCTCTGCATATATTTAGACAGACCAAATTTCCCAAAATTCTTTAAGTTCCTTTTTTCTGAGAATATTCTAGAGACATTCTACTTTTCTAACATGTTTACAGTCAGTTATAACAACTACATTTATTAATGAATAATAAAACTAGGCACTGTACTAAGCACTTCTACATATATCAATGAACTCATTTAGTATCACAATTCTGAAAAGGAAAGGTTAAGAAAATATAAGCAAACTGTACAACTTTCCCAGGTCTTCTGACTCTATTTGTAGTGTTCTGCTAAATCACAATTACTTCTGTGGTATAAATATTTAAATACAAAAGAAGCCTTTTATTTCAGAACACTAATGGTAAATAAGACAAAATTTGTAGAGCTCCTCTTAGAAAATCATGAGATTGGGCCGGGCGCGGTGGCTCAAGCCTGTAATCCCAGCACTTTGGGAGGCCGAGGCGGGTGGATCACGAGGTCGAGAGATCGAGACCATCCCGGTCGACATGGTGAAACCCCGTCTCTACTAAAAATACAAAAAATCAGCTGGGCATGGTGGCGCGTGCCTGTAATCCCAGCTACTCAGGAGGCTGAGGCAGGAGAATTGCCTGAACCCAGGAGGCGGAGGTTGCGGTGAGCCGAGATTGCGCCATTGCACTCCAGCCTGGGTAACAAGAGTGAAACTCCGTCTCAAAAAAAACAAAAAAACAAGAAAATCATGAGATTATCTGTTGTTGCAATAACTTTCATTTACCCTTCATATTGTTTGAAACCGTAATAATGTGAAACAGGTAGAAATAGCTCAACTGTTTTACTAGGAACAAAATACTTATCACTAAATTATCACTAAATATATATCATGGCATATCACTGTTTCAAAAGCTCTTATTACTGAAGTAAGATACTACTTGCAGCAAACTATTATCTTCTCAAAAGTGAGAAGAATCACAGCCACAATATGGTCACTGAACTAGCTGTACTTTTCCTCCCTTCCTATGGGTAGAAGTAATAAACTAACCTCTCCATTAGTATAACAAGGTGATGAAATCACTTCCAAAAACTTGAGCATCTATTGTTAGTAGCAAAGGTTTTGAGAATGTGGAAAGAGCATCAATTCCTATGGAAGATACTATTAAAAGTTTCTCCTTCGGATGAGGCCATTCTGAATGTCATTACTTGACTGCTGCAGACAGTTGGTTTTTAAAACATATACACATACAAATACATATACACACATATTTGAAAATGACTACAAGAAATACCTCAGAATTCATTTTCTTTTGAGTCATTTCAATCTCCTTTTGTTTGGAAAGGTGATTGGTCAGAATTCCATCTTGTAACACTCTGGCATTCTGTTCTCGAGAAAGTTGCCTCTGAGTGTCATTTCGCTCTTGTACGACCTAGAGATACATTAAGTTTTTGGCCTATTAGCATTTTTTTTTAAAGTCTAAAAGGTTAATCAAGAGCAGAATTAAAAAAAAAAAAACTTATAAAAAGGAAATAGTATATTAAAACATAAGAACATTTATTACTCAAGAATTACTCAAATTTCAATCATATAAATGACAGCTAAATTCAAAGAGCAAAAACAGTTCTTAAATGCAGACAAATATAGAATTGCAAAATAAAATGTCCTCACAAAACATTTTACTAGTTTCATCATAATTTTAGGGCTATTTAGCCTGTATTTTAACATAAAATGCCTAAATTAACATTTATTTTAGTGATTAAACTCAAAGTACCCTTCATTCCTTCATTCAGAAAGCAGAATGAGCTTCTATTATGTGCCAAGATTTATCATGAATAATTTGTTATAAATGTAATAGTTCAGTTTAAGATGAGATAATATTTTTGTTTTAAACCTACATAATATATTTTAAATCAAAAGGATGTTACAAGTAATACTGATGAAATAAAGTTTAGAATATAAAATTTTTACCAAAAATTAATTTACCTGATTCAAATTACTTTTTACAGTCCTTAATTCCATCTCCAGTGTTTGGAGAGTCAGTTCAAGTTGTTGTTTCACTTCAACTTCTTTCCTATATTGTTCTTCTTTCCCTCTTAACTGTTCCCTAATTTTTTCATACAACATATCAGCATTTCTTCTCTTCTCTTCTTCTTGGTTTAAGCTAAATCTGCAGTTAAATATGCTTATCTTAAAATTTGTTTTGTTAGAAAATAAAAAGTTCATGTGTGATCTGCCACTTCATATGTTGGTTTATTACCCTAATAAAATTTCTTTTTTTTTTTTTGAGACGGAGTTTTGCTCTTGTCACCCAGGCTGGAGTGCAATGGCGCGATCTCGGCTCACCGCAACCTCCGCCTCCTGGGTTCAGGCAATTCTCCTGCCTCAGCCTCCTGAGTAGCTGGGATTACAGGCACGCGCCACCATGCCCAGCTAATTTTTTGTATTTTTAGTAGAGACGGGGTTTCACCATGTTGACCAGGTTGGTCTCGATCTCTCGACCTTGTGATCCACCCGCCTCGGCCTCCCAAAGTGCTGGGATTACAGGCTTGAGCCACCGCGCCCGGCCTAAAATTTCTATGTTACTGAATATTTTTCTTTTCTAGTTCTCGGGTTTTTAATTTCTCACTTCGGTCTTTTCCAAGAACATACATACTTGAAAGGAAGTGATGAAGAGACATTCTGCTAAGTGGTAAGTTTCTGTTACGAGTACCTCTGGTAAATGTTATGGAAAAGGATATTGGAAATCATTCAGTAAAGATACAAGTTGAAAATTATTATCCTTTTGGCTGGGTGCCGGTGGTTCATGTCTATAATCCCAGTACTTTGGGAGGCGGAGGTGGGCTGACCACTTGAGGTCAGGAGTTCCAGACGAGCCTGGCCAATATAGTGAAACCAAATCTCTGCTAAAAATACAAAACATTAGCTGATGTGGTGGCAGGTGCCCTAATCCCAGCTACTCAGGAGGCTGAGGCAGGAGAATCACTTGAGCCCAGGAGGCAGAGGTTGCAGTGAGCCGAGATCGCGCCACTGCACTCCAGCCTGGGCGACAGAGTGAGATTCTATCTCAAAAAAAAAAACAAATTATCATTTCTTAAAACAGTCATACTTACTCCTCAATTAGGAAAGATAACTTACAGTTAACTAACAAGAAGTTACTGTTTATTAAAATATTTATATATTCAATAGAAATAAATTTTTGTTTTTATGAAATATTGCAAGTGTCCCTAAAAATTATTATAGTTAGCCGGGCGCGGTGGCTCAAGCCTGTAATCCCAGCACTTTGGGAGGCCGAGGCGGGTGGATCACGAGGTCGAGAGATCGAGACCATCCTGGTCAACATGGTGAAACCCCGTCTCTACTAAAAATACAAAAACTAGCTGGGCGTGGTGGCGCATGCCTGTAATCCCAGCTACTTAGGAGGCTGAGGCAGGAGAATTGCCTGAGCCCAGGAGGCGGAGGTTGCGGTGAGCCGAGATCGCGCCATTGCACTCCAGCCTGGGTAACAAGAGCGAAACTCCATCTCAAAAAAAAAAAAAAAAAAAAAAAAAAAATTATTATAGTTAAGAAAACACCCTCAGATGTCTTTCTTACAGCATATATCTACAGATTAGTATAATTAAAGACTGGGCTACAGAGCCTAATATTGGTTACCCCATACTTTCTATGTTTCTTTTTCTAGTAACACTTTCAACTTATCTTCTTGATTATTACATGTTGCAAAACAATTTTAAAATCTCTTTTAGAACAAAACAGGATCTCATATTTAAGTAAACCATAAAGAATAATATGTGTTTTCAACACAGAACTTTGAATTAGTTTTACCTGTGTATGAGAGAGAGAGATCACTTTCGTAATCACTTAACCTTTCTATTTTTTTTTTTTTTTTTTTGAGACGGAGTTTCGCTCTTGTTACCCAGGCTGGAGTGCAATGGCGCGATCTCGGCTCACCGCAACCTCCGCCTCCTGGGTTCAGGCAATTCTCCTACCTCAGCCTCCTGAGTAGCTGGGATTACAGGCACACGCCACCATGCCCAGCTGATTTTTTGTATTTTTAGTAGAGACGGGGTTTCACCATGTCGACCAGGATGGTCTCGATCTCTCGACCTCGTGATCCACCCGCCTTGGCCTCCCAAAGTGCTGGGATTACAGGCTTGAGCCACTGCGCCCGGCCTCCTTTCTATTTTTTAATTCATGCATCTTAAGAGTAAAGCTATAAAAATTTTCTTAGTCTTCTGGGTTGGAAAAAAATAGCCATTTCATTCTCTATTGATTGAAATGTAAATTAACATAAACTTTCTTGAGAACAATTTAAAAATTTGGATCAAAGGCCTTTTAAAAAAAAAAATTCCTATACTTTAAACAAATAATTCTATATTGAAGAATTTATCCAAAGTAAATCATTAGAAAAATAGAAAAAGATTTATAAAAAAGTATTCCTTCCACCATTAACTATAATACAAAAAATTTTGAACCCAAAACTCATTCTATTAAATAAATGAGATTTCCATATGGTAGACTTCTACATACCCATTAAAATGATTTAAAATAATATATATTTAGTAGAAGTACATAGTTAAGAACTCGTTATATTATTTCCAAGAATTTCACACTTCACAAGACTAAGAAGTCTTCTTCCCTGCTAAGCCCCAAAAGGTAAGTCAGCAATTACAAGAATACTCCTATATATCTTTAGTACAAAGTAAATAAACATTTCTTTAAAATTAGGCTATTGTACCTTAAAGAGCACAGTTCTCGTTCCCATTCAACTTTTTGATGCTCTAACTGTGATTTTATTTCTTTTGTTTCAGATAGCTCCTTCTGTAGTACATTAACCTTATCTTCCATTTTTTTAGTTTTTACTCTAAGTAGTTCACAGTGATTTTTTTTAAGTTCTAATAATCTTTCACATGAAAGAGCTGCATCATGGATTTTCAATAGGGTAACAGAATCTGTAACAGAGAGAAAACAAGATAGAAATAAATATATGAGTACTTTTCGCATACAACGAACTGTACACTATAACATTCACTGACCAAATATATACATACTGAGGGCCTACAACGTGGAAGACATTAAACTAAGCTCTGCAGATAAAACAGACAAGACCTCTGCTCTTGTTTAACTTCAAGTACAGTGAAGAAACAAAGACAAAAAAAGTGACAATCATAAATTCGGATAGATGCTGTACAAAAACAGAGTTCTAATGACCACAAAAGAGAATTTGACCTCTGGGCCCAGGAAAGATTTCCCTGAGGGAGAGGTGGCTACACTGAGAAATGAGGCATGAGAAGGCAGCAGTTAAGCAAAGGGGGAAGAAAAGCACTCCAGCCAGTCTATGGCATGTGCTGAGGCTCTACTGCAGTCTGCTTCAAGAACTGACTTTCCTTCTTTTCTGAAACGGCCAAAAACAAAACAGACAAAATACATGAAACACTGAGTTTCAAGACAGTGGACTCAGGCAATGAACACAATGATCCCTGACAGACAAGAAACAAAGGAAGTGGCCAGGCACAGTGGCTCACACCTGTAATCCCAGCACTTTGGGAAGCCAAGGCAGGTGGATCACCTGAAGTCAGGAGTTTGAGACCAGCCTGGCCAACATAATGAAACCCTGTCTCTAATAAAAACACAAAAATTAGACAGGTGTGGTGGCAGACACATGTAATGCCAGCTACTCAGGAGGGTGAGGCAGGAGAATTGCTTGAACCCCGGAGGCAGAGGTTGCAGTGAGCCGAGTTTGCGCCACTGCACTCCAGCCTGTGCGACAGAGCAAGACTGTCTCAAAAAAAGAAACAAACAAAGTAAGTCTTATGAAAGCCCAGAGCCTGGCCTTCAGTTTCCAGGCCATGATGCAGGGAGGAAAAACTTACATAGAGTCCAGCAGACTCCTTGAGTGGAAGTGATGAAGCTGAGAGTCCAGCAAACGTAAAGTAGACAGAGACCACAGGACACTGGAGAGGAGCAACAGGTACGGAGGCAGAACCCTGGAGATCTACGGAGATCCCCTCTTGGGTACTGAGCAGAGTAATGAACAGTGAATGCATGGTAGGAAACTACCTGAAATCAAAGAAACCCCACCTAAAAAAAGGAGAGGAAATCCTGCCTGGTGTTCCCACAGCACCAGGAAAAGTGTTCGTTCCCATGGTCAAGCTGGAAAAACTCATACTTCTCAGGACAGTGAATAATCAGAAAGATATTGCCTCAGGAGTGGGGAATTAGCCCAAATCATAAAAGCAAGATTGGAAAAAGTCAAGCTGTTTATACGTAACTCAACTGTACCCCACAATAAAGCTCAAGATGATAAGTAGAGGCATGGAAGATAGTTTTTAAAAACCAAATTGCACCTGTAGAGATGCAAATTATAATGTCAAAGATGAAAACTAAATTAGATGAAAATAAACACAGATTAACCATCACAAAAGATAAGATTCATAACTTTGAGACATCAGTGAACTATGGAAAAAAATCCAAGCAGCTAATATGTAAACCCCCAAAAATGGAGGAAGAAAGACAGAAAAAAAAAATGTGAAGAAAAATTGGCCAAAACTTTCTCAACTTCATAAAAATTATAATCCCACAGATTCAGAAAGGATATGGCTGGGACAGAAAAAAATGAAAGCATACTATTATAATTATATAATACGTCAGAACTATAACAAAATTATACCATATATGATGTTATAATACTACTTGAAGGTGGACTGTGGTAAGTTCAACTTATATACTATAAATCCTAAAGCAACCACTAAGACAGCAAAACTAAGAGTCATAGCTAATAAGCCAAAAAAAAAAAAAAAAACAAACAAAAAAACCTGAGATAACTCAGGAGCATCTGTAGATCAATGAAACATAATAGAGTCCAGAAGTAGACCCACATGTATGGAGCCAACTTATTTTTGCCAAAGGCACAATGGCAAATGCAGTGAAAAAAGACTAGCCTTTTTGACATATGATGTTGGAACAACTGGATATTCCAAAAAAATGAACTTGAATCCATACTTCAATCCACACAAAAATATGAACTCAAAATGGATCACAGATCTAAATATTAGACCTAAACCTAGCCGGGCGCAGTGGCTCACACCTGTAATCACAGCACTTTGGGAGGCTGAGGTGGGTGGATCACTGAGGTCAGGAGTTTGAGACCAACCTGGCCAACATGATGATACCTAACCTTTATTAAAAAATATTTTTTAAAAAAATTAGCTGGGTGTGATGGTGCATGCCTGCAATCCCAGCTACTTAAGAGGCTGAGACACAAGAATCACTTGAACCCAGGAGGCAGAGGTTGTAGTGACAGTGCCCTCCAGCCTGGGTGACAGATGATGAGATTGTGTCTCAAAAAAATAAAAATAAAAAGACCTAACACTATAAAACTTCTGGGAAAAAGCATAGAAGAAAATCTTTGTGACCCTGTGTTAAGCAAAGACTTCTTAAATATGATACAAAAAGCAAAATTCATAATTGAACAGATAAATTGGACTTCATCAAAAGCAAAAACTTCAGCTCTTCAAAAGATAACCATTAAGAAAATGAAAAGTCAACACAAAAAATTAAAAATCTAAATTTAAAAAAGAGAATGAAAAGTGAAGCCACAAACTGGGGGAACAAATCCCTGCCAAAAAACATACCTAAAAAGAGAATAACATCAAGAATATGTTATATAAAGAATTCTTCAGCTTTGCACAGTGGCAGCATCGAAGCCAATGAGGTTGTTTGTTTTAGGACAGAGTCTCACTCTATCACCCAGACTGGAGTAAAGTGGCTCCAGCTCGGTTCACTACAACCTCTGCTCACTGAGACCTCTGCCTCCCAGGTTCAAGTGATTCTCTTGTCTCAGTCTCCCATGTAGCTAGGATTACAGGCATCTGCCACTATGCCCAGCTAATTTTTGTAATTTTAGTAGAGACGGGGTTTCATCACGTTGGCCAGGCTGGTCTCAAAATCCTGACCTCAAGTCATCCGCCCACCTCGGCCTCCCAAAGTGCTGGGATTACAGATGTGAGCCACCATGTCGGGCCACCAATGAGGTTCATCCAAGGCAGGATTATTGTTAATTAAAAACTTTTCCACTAGAAAAAATAATAAAAAAATTTTTAAAGGAACTCTTAAAATGCAACCAGTAAGAAAATAACCTACTTTTTTGTGGGGGTAGAGGGGACAAAGTCTTGCTCTGTCACCAGGCTGGAGCGCAGTGGCGCAATCTTGGCTCACTGCAAACTCCGCCTCCTGGTGGGAAGTCCAAGTGATTCTCCTGCCCCAGCCTCCCTAGTAACTGGAACTATAGGTGTATACCACCATGTCCAGCTAATTTTTGTATTTTTTATTACAGATGGGGTTTCATCATGTTGGCCAGGATAGTTTCAATCTTTTGACCTCATGATCTGCCCACCTCAGCCTCCCAAAGTGCTGGGATTACAGGTGTGAGCCACCATGCCAGCCCAACAACCTAATTTTTTTTTTTTTTTTTTTTTTTTTTTTTTGAGACAGAGTTTCGTTCTTGCTGCCCAGGGTGGAGTACAATGGCATGACCTTGGCTCACTGCAACCTCCACCTCCTGGGTTCAAGTGATTCTCCTGCCTCAGCCACCCGAGTAGCTGGGATTTCCAGGCATGTGCCACCACGCCCAGCTAATTTTGTATCTTTAGTAGAGATGGGGTTTCTCCGTGTTGGTCAGGCTGGTCTCGAACTCCTGACCTCTGGTGAGCCACCCACCTCGGCGTCTCAAAGTTTTGGGATTACAGGTGTGACCCATCTCGCCCAGCCCCAACAACCTCATTTTTTAAACAGCAAAAGATTTGAAAAGACAATTCACCAAGGAAGATTTACAGATGGCAAATAAGCACATGGAAAGATGCTCAACATTATTAGTCATTAAGGTAACATATATTGAAACCATAATGATATCCACAATATACATCTATCAGAATAGAACGGCTAAAAATTTAAAAATTTTAAAAACAGCAAACTAGGTGTTTGCGAGAATACAGAGCAAATGGGCCTGTCATATACTGTTGATGGAAATGGAAAATAGTACATACAAATACTTAGAACACAATTTAGCATTTTCTTAATAAGTAAACATAAAGAGGGATGAGGGAACTTTTATGGATGATGGCAATGTTAACTCTCTTGCTTATGGTGACGGTTTCCCATGTGTACACATATGTCAAAACAGCAAACTGAACATTTTACATATGTGTAGTTTATCATGTATCAATTATACATAACAAAAGCTATTGCTTACAAGAACAAACTTCTAAGAAAGTGGCTGGAACACAGAGAAAAAAGGGTATGAAATAATTCAGGGTAAAGCCAGATGATTCGGATCTTTAACCTTACAGCAATGAAAAGTGATAGCTGGGTTTTATTATAATCAGGTCTGAATTTTTGGAAATTTATGATTACGGTTACAGAGTAGACAGAGTTTCAGGAGGTAGAGTAGCAGGGAAAACAGTTATAAGCTTATTGTAGTATTCCAGTGGGGAGACAATGGTAGCCTGACCTTGGGTAAAGATACAGGAGAGAAGCAGAGTCAACAAATAGTCTGGGAGTGCCATTCACACTGAGAAAAGTACAGAGGAATTTTCCTAAGTCTTTGGCTAAGAGTGTACAATATTCAATTGTTCTCATCCTATTTTAACATAAAGCATATTTGTTAGATCAACATTCCTAAAACACATCAGCGCTCTAAGATAAAGGGTGCCATGCTAAGTGTGCTAAGCATAGCATAATGTATGCTAAGTGTGCATAGATTACACTTTATTACATTACATACATTATGCTAAGCATAACATAATGCATGCGAAGTGTACATACATTACAACGGGATACATAAAAAGGCCCTTAATTTCTGCAATGGTCCCACCTTTACACTCCATTCCAAGTTGTTCAATGAGCAACATAAAATTCTTGTAATTAGAGTGGGGCAGTTCACAATCCTCTGAGGCTGTTTCAGATGACTGAGTTAAATCATCAACATCATCCATAGACTGTATTTGGTTTTTGACCTATGAAATAAATAACACTATTTCAAAATGTCCCCAAAATATTTATAGCATATACAGAAGTGGTAATTATCCATCTTTCTATTTGAGCAAAAAACACAGGTATTTCTTAAAAGAACTAATTTTTGTTAAAAGGATAGATATCTTTAAGCCGGGCACAGTGGCTCACGCCTGTAATCCCAACATTTTGGGAGGCCAAGGCAGGCGGATCACCTGAGGTCAGAAGTTTGAGACCAGCCTGACCAATATGTGAAACCCTGTCTCTACTAAAAATACAAAAAAATTAGCCAGTGGTGATGGGCACCTGTACTTCAGCCTGGGAATCCATCTCAAAAAAAAAAGGATATTTTTATCAATGGCTAGTGCTTCTTAGTCATTTTTTAAAGTAAATGTCTGTACAACAAAAGATTTCTTTTGTGTGTGTGTGTGTGTGTGTGTGTGTGTGTGTGTGTGTGTGAGATTGGGTCTTGCTCTATCACCCAGGCTGGAGTACAGTGGCATGATCACAGCTCACTGCAGCTTCAAACATCTGGGCTCAACCAATCCTCTCACCTCAGCCTCCGAAGTAGCTGGGACTATAGGTGTACTCATCATGCCTGGTTAATTTTTTCTTAATTTTTGTAGATACAGGGCTCCCACCATGTTGCCTAAACTGGTCTCAAACTCCTGGACAGCAATCCTCCTGCTTTAGCTTCCAAAGTGCTGGGATTCTAGGTGTGAGCACTGTGCCCTGACCATTTTATCTTTTATAACGTGTTTTATTAAACAATTATTTTGATAATTTATTTTTTACAGTACCTTGTTCTTTTCATTAGATGTTTTCTTAGTGGGCCTAAAGAGAAAAAAAAAAAAAACCTTTCAGGCAAATGGTAAATATGTAAAATACAAGGAATATCTAAAACTATTGTTTTTTTAAATAAAATCTCTACATTTATAATTTATTTACCCTAGTCATAAAGTTTACAGGAATCTTTTTTACAGGTAATGTAAAACATAATAACTTTCTACAAGAGGTATTAAACTATAAACAGAAAGAGTAACAGTAAGGAACAAGAAAAATACACTAATAATATCATAACAAATTTAGATCAAGCTTTCTGACAGTCAAAGCAAAAGGAAAACATAGCGTTACTTGCATTAGTCAACAGAAACATACCAAGTTTCTTTGCTACTGTCCTTTTCAATAAAAACAAGCTTTCACTGGCATTAAAACCTATTTGGAACATATTACTTAACATCCTTACATGAGGAGAACCCTTTTTGAATGACAGTATTAGTTAGATTTTTTTAGGACTCACAATGCAGGTACTATGCATTATTCTAAGCACTGTACATATGTTAAACTCATTTTAATCTCATAACAATCATGTGAGGTTGATAACATATTAAGTATTTTATAAAGGAAGAAACTAGGCACAGAAAAGACAAGTAACTTGCTCAACCACATATAGCTGGTCAGTAGCAGACCCAAAATTCAAACCCAACAATTCTAGCTCCAAAACGTATTTTGCTGTGCTGTCAAAGTAATGTTTAGTTTCAAGTATTTTTAAGTGATATGACAGCAGATGAATCTATATTATCATTCTATTTCCGGCTATAATTATAAATAGTAATTTCTGAATATTGCTAATATTTTTTTAAAATAAAAAGGCCTGCTGGGGGCGGTGGCTCACACCTGTAATCCCAGCACTTTGGGAGGCTGAGATGGGCAGATCACCTGAGGTCAGGAGTTTGAGACAAGCCTGACCAACATGGAGAAAACCCACCTCTACTAAAAATACAAAATTAACCGGGAGTGGTGGCACATGCCTGTAACCCCAGCTATTCGGGAGGCTGCAGCAGAAGAATCGCTTGAACCCAGGAAGTGGAGGTTGCAGTGAGCAGAGATCACACCATTGCACTCCAACCTGGGCAACAAAAGCAAAACTCTATCTCAAAAAAAAAATTAAAATTTAAAAAATTAAAAGACCTTATATCTAGCCAAGTTGGAAACCTATTTTAAATAAGCTAAACATTTATTTTTTCTAAAGAAATTCATCAACGTTCATTCATTCATCTACTCAACTTGATTCATGCATTCAAAAATCCTTATGAAGCTGGGTGTGGTGGCTCACGCCTGTAATCCTAGCACTTTGGGAGGCTGAGGTGGGCAGATCACTGGAGGTCAGGAGTTCAAGACCAGCCTGGCCAACATGGCAAAACCCTGTCTCTACTACAAATACAAAAAATAGCCGGGTATGGTGGCATGCACCTGTAGTCCCAGCTACTCGGGAGGCTAAGGCATGAGAATTGCTTGAACCTGGGAGATGGAGGTTGCAGTGAGCTGAGATCATATCACTGCATTCTAGCCTGGAAAACAGAGCAAGACTCTAACTCAAAAAAAAAAAAATCTTTATTAGCATACAATACATGTCAATGACACTACTGGCATAAGGCATCACGGTTTTAAATATTTTAGAACTTTATAATCTAAAAGTAATAGTCTGTGATAGGTTGTCAATAGTTTAATTTTCTACAGTACATAAACAAAATCCTCCCCTTCTCCCCAGAATCTAAACAACTATTAAGTTAATACACCTGATCTTTTAGTCTTAGAAAATCATAGCTGTTCATGATGCTACTGTCAAAAGTACTCTGATATCCTCAATCATCAAGAAATGTTTAAATTCAATTCAGTATAACCTACATGTTTGTATGTTTATTAGATAATTTTTAAAAATTCACATGAGAGTTTAACTTTTATATCATCAACACATTCAATTATATTAGAATATTCCATTTCTGAAACAGTTCTAAATGAACAACCTCTTAGTGAAAAACTACATAAACAGAAGTTCTAAGGACAATTAGTTTATTATAAATCTTTAAAAGATACTGGATCAAGCTTTCCGATGCTTAGACATGCAAACAAAACTAAATTTCATAAGCATTTTCTTTGCTACTAGCTTACTCCCAAAAGCATATAAATATACTTAAAAGCTTCCATTTTAAAATAAAAACAGAAGAAGACTCCCTTGAATCCCACATTCTTCTTCAGTTACCACCCGTTTACCTATTGCCTTTCCATCCAAGTTCTCTCAAAGGCTGTCTATGCTCATCCACGACAGTCAGGGCTCCATGGTGACCATTTATTGAAACTGCTCCTTATCAAAGTCACTCATCCTCATCTTAATCATTCAGCAGTCTGGATATAGTAAGAGTATTCTCTGACTTAGGGAGACTACATTATTCTATTTTCAGGAAAAAAATGACTGCTAACCTTCCTCCATAGAAACATATTTTATTTTGCTTGTGTTTTGTTTTTCCTCCACAAAGAAATAAAGAAATTGTAGATTTTACCTTCCTTCATCCTCATCTATTTCACTTAAACTGCTGTCATCATCCACTTGTAGCAGGCCACCAGTTAGTAAGCTGGCCTTCTCAAACACCAGTGAATTCACAGATTCTTTTGAGGTAGGTTTTCCTTTCTTTACTTCCTTCATTTGCAAGGCAGGACCACTACTTTAAAAAATTCATGGGAAATGACAGTAATGTAAGAAAAAAGAAACAAAATGCAGAAAGAGTTAAGGGAAAAAAATTAAAATTAAAAATCCATTAAAAATCCAATGTTTTCTAATAATTCTGAGAAATAATAAAAAAATAATGTTTATAAACTTCCAATATTTGCCCTACCTCAATTCACTCATCAATTCAAAAAACATGAATTATCAGCAACATAAGAAGAAATGTATATTCCTCACTTCAAAAACCACAGTTTTATAATACCATTATGATGAAATGTGATATGTAAGAGTTGATATATGAAAAGTTATATCTAAGCACAAGGACAGCATTAAAACAGAAAAGGCAAAATAATCGAAGAGTTCACAAGACAAAAAAGTGGGAGAAAACCATTCTACTTAGAGAATAGAAGGTGAGCATCGATTAGGCATATGATGTCTAGATGTTTCCCAGGAACTTAAAAAGAAAAGAGAAAGAAACTAGAGAGAGATGAATGCTACACTAAACTTGAATGCTACAGTAAAAGGCTGGAGCTCACTGCCTACAAGCAATGACCTTCATACATAGAAGTAGCAATTAGATTTAGGCTAATCTTTGGTTTTGTTTTTAAATATCACAATGTTTCATTTAAACAAAGTGTTTTTTTTTTTTTAAATGAAGTTTTTTTTTTTTTTTTTTTTTTTTTTTGAGACGGAGTTTCGCTCTTGTTACCCAGGCTGGAGTGCAATGGTGCCATCTCGGCTCACCGCAACCTCCGCCTCCTGGGTTCAGGCAATTCTCCTGCCTCAGCCTCCTGAGTAGCTGGGATTACAGGCACGCGCCACCATGCCCAGCTAATGTTTTGTATTTTTAGTAGAGACGGGGTTTCACCATGTTGACCAGGATGGTCTCGATCTCTCGACCTCGTGATCCACCCGCCTCGGCCTCCCAAAGTGCTGGGATTACAGGCTTGAGCCACCGCGCCCGGCTTTAAATGAAGTTTTTAAAATAGCATGAGGAACATGTAACAATAAAGAAGAAATCAGGAAAATATCCTGGGTAGGGGAAAAAACTTACTTTTAGAATAGCCTATATGCCATTATATGTAGTTCCAAAATAGCTATATTCTGATTAGTTGTGATTTTGTTTGAAAATAAAATAATGAGCTGGCAAGGTGGCTCATGCCTGTAATCCTGGCACTTTGGGAGGCCAAGGCAGGTGGATCTCAAGGTCAAGAGTTCAAGACCAGCCTAGCCAAGATGGTGAAATCCTGTCACTACTAAAAATACAAAAAAACTAGCCTGGTGTAGTAGCGCAGGCCTGTAATGCCAGCTGCTTGGGAGGCTGAGGCAGGAGATTCACTTGAGCCTGGGAGATAAAGGTTGCAGTGAGCTGAGATTGCGCCACTGCATTCCAGCCTGGGCAACAAGAGCGAAACTCCATTTCAAAAAAAAAGAAAAGAATTGGTAACTGTTATAGACTTTAGCCTAGTATCTAATCCTAATATAAATAGTTGGATTTACCAGCAGAAAAATTATAATTTTTTTTTTTTTAAGATGAAGTGTCACCCTGTCACCCAGCTTGGAGTGCAGTGGCACAATCTCAGCTTACTTCAACCTCCACCTCCAGGGTTCAGGTGATTCTCCTGCCTAAGCATCTGGAACTCTGACCTCAAGTGATCCACCTGCCTCAGCCTCACAAAGTGCTGGGATTACAGGTATAAGCCACTGTGCCCAAGCATAACTACTTTTTTATAGGGTAAAAACATGCACAAGGATATCACTATCATACACCTACATAATTTACAGAGACTGAAATTTCCCACTATGTTATGTTAAGAGCTGAGCATTAGCTGAATGTTTACTGAAATGTTTACAAGGACTACAGATCCCTCTGTGCAATCCCTTGGCAATATTCAGATTAATTTGAGAGTCCAACATTAGGGATACTATAATAAATATCCTTCAGATACATATGTATATATGTAACATGTTTATATAAATATTCTTAACATACATATATTATTTATTTTTAACATGTTATATACATATTATATATAGGCTTACTGTATATTATCCATAATATATAATAAATGTCCTTAATTTGTGTGTGTTTGTGTTTTTATGTAAACCGTATTTTCCTGTAGAATCTAGTTCCAGAAGTGAAGCTGTTAGGTTAAAGATAGGGAATATCTGAAATTCTGATATATACTAAATAATCCTTCAAAAAGGATTTACCAATTTCATTTACCAACAGTGTATGAGAATGCCTTTTTTCTCACATTTGCCATCACTGGGTATTTTTTTTTTTTTTTTTTTTTTTTTTTTTGAGACGGAGTTTCGCTCTTGTTACCCAGGCTGGAGTGCAATGGCGCGATCTCGGCTCACCGCAACCTCCGCCTCCTGGGCTCAGACAATTCTCCTGCCTCAGCCTACTGAGTAGCTGGGATTACAGGCACGCGCCACCACGCCCAGCTAGTTTTTTTGTATTTTTAGTAGAGACGGGGTTTCACCATGTTGACCAGGATGGTCTCGATCTCTCGACCTCGTGATCCACCCGCCTCGGCCTCCCAAAGTGCTGGGATTACAGGCTTGAGCCACCACGCCCGGCCTGGGTATTATTTTTTAAATAAAATTAGAAAAACAAGTATTTCATTGTTTGTTAATTTGCATTTTTCTTTTTTTTTTTTTTTTTTTTTAGACGGAGTTTCGCTCTTGTTAACCCAGGCTGGAGTGCAATGGCACGATCTCGGCTCACCGCAACCTCCACCTCCTGGGTTCAGGCAATTCTCCTGCCTCAGCCTCCTGAGTAGCTGGGATTACAGGCACATGCCACCATGCCCAGCTAATTTTTTGTAGTTTTAGTAGAGACGGGGTTTCACCATGTTGACCAGGATGGTCTCGATCTCTTGACCTCGTGATCCACCCGCCTTGGCCTCCCAAAGTGCTGGGATTACAGGCGTGAGCCACCGCGCCCGGCCTAATTTGCATTTTTCTAATTACAAGGCATGGTTGCATATCCCTTGCATGGTAAAAGCATAAAATTTATTAATCGTGAATATTAGTCCAAATTAGAATCAGTTTTATAGTACAGCAACAATTCTCTGCTATTAAATATGCTATTGGCTTACCTAACATACTCTTTATTTTCCTTCCTAGGAAATTGTTGATGATCAGTTTTTCCACTCCTTCTTTCTTGAATTAATCTGTCATCATCATCAACATCTTCATCATCTTCATCATCAGTAGCACTATCATATATGTTTGCTGATACTTCCATTTCATTATTTCTGTATTTCTTCCTTTCTTCTTCAACCTTTAATGAAAGTTTGATACTAAGAAACTGCTATTACTTTCTTAAATAAAGAGAATTTGTTTTCATTGAGTTTATCATTTGACTCAGTTTAACTGTGGTGACTTTAGCCAATAAAAATATTTTCTGCTTACTTTAATAGGACCATTGTATATATAAATGTTATACAATTATCAGCTATAATTATCATAATTTTATCCATGAAATTTTTATAAATTCTGCTTCATTTCTAAGTGAAACAGAATTTTCCAAAATTTCAAGGGCTCTTCTTAATTTTGTGCTTTTATTCCCAACCAATCTTCACTATCTGCTATGAATTTTCACCCCATTTTACTGGTAGAAACAGAGAAAAAAGACAAAGATACAAGATGCATCTTCTGGCTTTACCACCTTGATTTTATACTACACAGCCAGATTTAGAGGATGTAACACTGCTCCAGGAAAAGAAAGCAATCTTTCCCCTTTCTGCCCTAAGCTGTTGTTTTCCCCAGTGTCTTTTATAATTTTCATTTGGATCCTGGGATATCAACAAAGTGAAGGTGCTCAGTGAAATACAGAAACTAAAGTTTGCCACAACATAAAAAACAGAGTGAAACTGCTGAGTTGCTTGTGTGGAATTCTGGGAAATGAGATACTTTCCAAATTTCACATTCAATAACCATACAATTTTATAGCTAGAGAATATACAGTGTAAGTGTTAATTATCTACATTAGCCCCATTATCTACTGATAATGAGAGTAAAACAAGAAAGATTAAATGATCCATTCAAAGCTCCTAAAGTGGCATTATCTAGCATTTTATGGCACCAAAAGAGATGCTGTAATTCTATAATGCTGAATCAGATAAATTACCAGATAAATTCATCAGATTTAATCAGATGAATTAGAAGTGTGACACTGGCAAAGTAATTTAATGCCATAACAGGGAGGTAATTTAATGCATAGTGTGTGAGGCCTCATCTACTTCTACTGCTAAAGAAGAGGATCTGCAGATTACTGTTTATCTTTAGGACTCAATGTACAGAACTCAGCTTTCTATTTTGGCGTTAAATACTAAATTTCTGGCCAAGGATTTATGCTACTTATATGGTTTACATCCCCAAACTTATCATACTTTATTAAACAACCTAATGTAAAGGTCTGATTCAATAGAAATATCTGACTGATGATTTTTAAAATATGTGAAAGTATATGTATTTGTTGCCCAAAATCTTTAAAGTGATCATAATGGAATTATAAGTTCCAACAGTTTAAGTCAAAAAGATAAACTTGCACACATGAAAGCACGTTAAATAGGTTCTTTTGGCTGGGAATATTTGTTATAACACTCAAGGCTAGATACATGTTTACATCTCTTCTCAGTCACTGCTTCTTTCCCACTGTATTGCCATGTTGTTTAAATAAAAGATTCATCTTTAGGTCAATAGGGAAAAAAACACCCTAGCACTTACTACCTTTCATAAAGCAATTTCCTTCACACTTATCCTGGTTCACAAGGTCACATGGTATATGGCTAAATTAGTTTTCCCAGTCCATATGCCACCTGGAAGACTGATAGACTTCTTAGGTTGATTAAGGAACAATGATTGTGGGAATGTTTTCCTTAACTCCTGTTACTTAGCAGAAATAATTATTTCTACACACGATTACCTATTTAGGTAATGCCATTTTATACATGAGCTCTTCATAAGCAGAAAATCAGAATGGATCAGATAACTGATAGAGAAAAAACAAAGAGTAGCAGCAAGCAAACCTCTACCTCTTTTTGAAGTTGAACTTTTTCTTTCTCCAAAGCCCGGAACTCTACTTTTAACATGGCTATTTCATTTTTAAACCTTTGAATATCTTGCTGTAATTCTTCTTTTAGAGATACTTTTGATGTTCTCTCACTATGTGGTGGAGAAGACCTCACATTTTCTAATTCAGGTTCTATGCTTTGATAGTTATTAGCACTGCAATTACCATATAACGGCTTCTGGAACAAGTTCTGTAGTGGTTTTGTTTGCTTGTAAGCATCTGTACCAGCAGAAATACTATGCCTTTTTATTTGAATCATATGCTTCATTTCTTTGGAGCAGATCAAATCATAAGGTCTTTTTGGATCACTAGACCGAGGCACATGTCCAATGTCTAATTTCCAATTAGTGGCATTTTGGTTCATATTTTTTGTTATTTGCATATCAAACTCTTCTTTCATTTCACCTGTAACTACTTGTGGGTTCCTTACTTTTTCATTTTCTGTATCATTATAAAAATTCTCACCTGTGTTAAAAACATGCTCAGTGTCTGGTTTGTTATTTCCTCGGACTAATTTATTTTCATTTAAATAAGGCTTAGAAAATGACTGGCAAGCATATTCTGGGGACCGAGAGTATGAAGGAAATGGAAAGACATTTTCAAGACTGGGTTCTTTTTGTTCAGGCAATGCGTGGAATACTACAGAGATAGTAGAATCTTTTTCATCACAATCAAGTATATTATTTGTCAAAGAAGAGGGTATTTCCTTAAAATCTGCACCTTCTTTAGAGCTATCATGTAGTGGCTCTTTCCCAGGACAAGCAGTAATTTTGTATTTTTCACAAGTTGCACCACAGCTCTGCTTTAATTCATTTGTGATGAGTTTTAAATTATTTTTCCACTCTAATTTGCCTTGTTTGGTCGATATCTCTTCATCATTTTGCAAACAAGAAAGTCCTGAATATAAAGATATATCCTCTCTATCACACTCCTTATTCAGTTCTGGTTCTTGAGATATTTTTTGCAGACATTGTGAAAGTGGAAGATTAATTTGCTTGTTTTGTTTTTCAGATGTCTTTTCTGTCAGGGTACATGTTTTTAAAATAACTTTATCCTTAAGTAATCAAGTATAAACAAAGAAAAATTAGGAAATAATTAAAACTGAACTGTTAAACTTCTTCATCTATGTTTAGTTACTCCTAAATCACTGGATTGTAACTAAGAAGCAAAAACTAATTTGCCTTAGCCTAAAGTAGGAGAAAAACATGAACCAGCAAAGTTAACTTTATCACTGTTTCTTTGGATTAAACTTAATTAATTATGTGTTAAATCTACTGAAAATAAATTAGCAGATGATTTGTAGTATTATAAAGGCATCCTGACTTAAAAAGATTTTACCTTACCATACTACAAATACTGAGCCCCTACAGTGTATTTAAGTACTTTTTCTAAAGATTTCTAACTGGAGAGCAGAGAAACTTTAAATTATTAGGAGCCAAAATAAACACCAATCAGAACAAAAAGCAAATTCTTACATTTTAATTGAAATTATATACCGTAATGTGGTGTTATGCATCTGGATTGACTATCAGCTTAAGTCCAATACTTACATAAGGTTCATTAATAGTAGATTTAAAAATTCCATAGTATTTACTGATTTCCTAGACGGAAATAATCAGAAAGTTATTGTTTATATCCTAACAATGGAAAGATCCCATTCTGAAAGGAATTAATTCAGTAATTAATTAATTCTGATTCTCTTAATAACTGGGTTGATTTTATGACCCCATTCTTTCCCTGAATGTAGGTGCTGAAGTCAACAGAGACCACAAAGCAGAATAAATCTTTAACTTTGGAATTAGTGACCAGCAATATAAGAATGTAAATCCTGGCTGGTAACGGTGGCTCATGCCTGTAATCCCAGCACTTTGGGAGGCCGAGGTGGGCAGATCACCTGAGGTCGGAAGTTCAACACCAGCCTGACCAACACGGACAAACCCCGTCTCTACTAAAAATACAAAATTAGCTGGGCCTGGTGGCACATGCCTGTGACCCGAGCTACTTGGGAGGCTGAGACAGGAGAATTGCTTGAACCCGGCAGGTGGAGGTTGTGGTGAGCCGAGATCATGCCATTGCACTCCAGCCTGGGCAACAAGAGGGAAACTCCATCTCAAAAACAAAAAAAACCGTAAATCCTGAACCACTGGGAATGATTCCTCTTTTAAAATGAATCCCACTCAGTGGCCATCAGTGTTAAATTTTTCATATTTTCTACTGCTTAATAATATGATTCAATATTTGATGCTACCATCTTTATCACATAAGGAAGTTATAAAAATGAAAGAAGAAACAATACTCAGGAAATTTCTGGCTTCAATTTCAAGGGTAAAGGGTAACTATAACAAAAATAAAAAACAAAAGATTAGCTATAGTTTTACTACACATTCTAAGAATATTTAGTCAAAATGTGTTTAATACTAAACATTAAATAATGATCTATTGATTATAAAAGGCTAGTCTGAAAGGCAATTTCATTTGGACTATGTAAGAAAACAATATTAAACCAGAAGTTTTTTAAAAAATTGAATACCTGTGACTGTTTATTTTCACTTCCTTTCCTTTCTTGCTCTTCTTCTGATGTTACTTCTAAGTCATGTTCAGCTGAAAAAAATCCAAATGTTTAGTTAAATGAACTACTTAGAGCAGTTAGGTAAAAGGTATAGTCTTTATAGAAACAGAAAATAACATTTATTTGTATTTTGTAAATTGAGAGGGTTTTTTTCTATTAGTTTTTGAGACAGGGTCTCACTCTGTCACCCTAGCTGGAATGCAGTGGCACAATCACAAGAAGTTTCAAGGAAGCCTAATCTTTTTTTTTTTTTTTTTCTGAACCGGAGTTTTCACTCTTGTTACCCAGGCTGGAGTGCAATGGCGCGATCTTGGCTCACCGCAACCTCCGCCTCCTGGGCTCAGGCAATTCTCCTGCCTCAGCCTCCTGAGTAGCTGGGATTACAGGCACGCGCCACCATGCCCAGCTAGTTTTTTGTATTTTTAGTAGAGACGGGGTTTCACCATGTTGACCAGGATGGTCTCGATCTCTCAACCTCGTGATCCACCCGCCTCAGCCTCCCAAAGTGCTGGGATTACAGGCTTGAGCCACCGCGCCCGGCAAGGAAGCCTAATCTTCAGTGGAACATTGACTTCCCAGTAAGAAATAATTCTAACTATCAACTTAATGAAGTATCTAATTAAAACTTCAACCATTATCCAAAACTTCAACAAACCACTTGGGGAGACTAGCAACACTGGGGAGACTAGCAACACTAGATGATACCAGGTTAATGCCTCACAAATTCATTCACCCAACATAAATGAGCAAAACTGTCAGAAACAAAACAAAATCTTAAGACAAAGTGGAAATATATAAAGTAACACTGTATAATGTTTTCTATAACTGTTTTTTTTTTTGTTTTTTTTAATGTAGAGACAGAGTCTTGCTCTGTTACTCAGGCTGGAGTGCAGTGATGCAATCTCAGCTCACTGCAACCTCCGCCTCATGGGTTCAAGCGATTCGCCGGTCTCAGCCTCCTGAGGAGCTGGGACTACAGGCGCACACCACCACGTCCAGCGAATTTCTTTTGTATTTTAGTAGAGACGGGGTTTCACCATGTTGGCCCTGCTGGTCTCGAACTCCTGAGCTCAGGCAATCTACCCACCTTGACCTCCCAAAGTGCCAGGATTACAGGCATGAGCCACTGCACCTGGCCAACAGTACCTTTTTAACAAGGCACAAAAGTGTTGTTCATTATTAGAGTTCCAAAATTACTATTACTTTTTACATCTTTATCATTGTACATCCCACTCCTTATATCTGATATTTTGACAAATTTCTTTTCATATTTTAAGACTCAGACTGCTATGTGAAGTTTTCTTCGATTATAGCCATCTTTCCCCAGATAAACAGGTGTCTCCTTCCTTGGGGCTGGCTTCGTACCTTATCTTTGTACTGTATCTTTTCCACCTGAACAGTAACTTATTTCTCCATATGTCCATGCCCTTGCTCCTAGACTGTAGGGCACAATCTTTCAAGTTATCTTATAAAAAGTCTATCTATTTTACTCAATAATTATTTATTGAGTTCCTGCTAAGTGCTAAGCACTGGGGTTTAAAGAATGTAAGAGCCGGGCGCGGTGGCTCAAGCCTGTAATCCCAGCACTTTGGGAGGCCGAGGCGGGTGGATCACGAGGTCGAGAGATCGAGACCATCCTGGTCAACATGGTGAAATCCCGTCTCTACTAAAAATACAAAAAATTAGCTGGGCATGGTGGCGTGTGCCTGTAATCCCAGTTACTCAGGAGGCTGAGGCAGGAGAATTGCCTGAACCCAGGAGGCGGAGGTTGCGGTGAGCCGAGATCGTGCCATTGCACTCCAGCCTGGGTAACAAGAGCGAAACTCCGTCTCAAAAAAAAAAAAAAAAAAAAAAAAAAAAAAAAAAAAGAATGTAAGGAAGACCAGGCACGGTGGCTCACGTCTGTAATCCCAGCACTTTGGGAGGCTGAGGTGGGTGGATCACTTGAGGCCAGGAAAACCCCTGTCTACTATAAATACAAAAATATAAAAATTATACAGGTGTGGTGATGGGTGCCTGTGATCCCAGCTACTTGAGGAGGCTGAGTCAGGAGAATCACTTGAACCCAGGAGGCCGAAGTTGCAGAAAGCCGAGATCATGCCACCGCACTCCAGTGAGACTCCATCACAAAAAGAAAAAGAAAAAAAAAAAAGAATGTAAATAAAAGGCATCAAAGATGGCGTTGCTAGAGAACATGCCTGAGTTGAGACTTATAAAGTGAGGTTAGCCAGACTAAAGGGAGTGGAGGGCAGGAAAGGGTAACAGCATGCAAGACAGCAACGACAGAGGGAAAGAAGCCTCAAATAGCGTATGTATTTGTCTAAAATACAAGCACTAGAGAGGAGAGCATCACCAGCAGCTAAGAAATCCCAGAGAAAAGGGCAGAAAGGGGAAGGGCTAAAGATGGAGAGTTAGGCAGAAGTCAGATGATAATAGCCTTATATGTAATCTTACGATGCTTGAATATTTTTGTTTTCAAGAGGGACTCATGGTCCTATCTGCACTGGAGGCAGATCACCCTAAATACTGTGGGGAGGATTAATTTCAGGGGCATATGAATAAATAAAGGGAGATGAATTAGAAGACAATATTGTAAAACAAGGATAACGCAGGCCTAAACTGAGGGAATGTTCCCAAAAATATTTAGGATATACAATATCAGTGCCCAATATAAAGCAAATTTTTATTAAATGAATAAATGTATATATTTGGGTCCCTAGAGAACTAGACTCTATTCATTACTTTATAAAAGGTATTAAATGAGAAGTGAAATGATCTACAGGAACTGTTTAAGTTGTTTACTTCATGCTTTTTCTGTTTCATGTCTTCCTGTGTTGAGGGATTTCATTTAAAGTATTTTGTTTTAAAAGTCGTGTTTCAGCCGGGCGCGGTGGCTCAAGCCTGTAATCCCAGCACTTTGGGAGGCCGAGGCGGGTGGATCACGAGGTCGAGAGATCGAGACCATCCTGGTCAACATGGTGAAACCCCGTCTCTACTAAAGGTGCAAAAAACTAGCTGGGCGTGGTGGCGCGTGCCTGTAATCCCAGCTACTCAGGAGGCTGAGGCAGGAGAATTGCCTGAACCCAGGAGGCGGAGGTTGCGGTGAGCCGAGATCGCGCCATTGCACTCCAGCCTGGGTAACAAGGGTGAAATTCCATCTCAAAAAAAAAAAAAAAAAAAGTCGTGTTTCAGCCAGGTGCAGTAGCTCACGCCTGTAATCCTAGCACTTTGAGAGGCAAACGCAGGCAAATCACACGGTCAGGAGATCGAGACCATTCTCACCAACATGGTGAAACCCTGTCTCTACTAAAATACAAAATAGCTGGGTGTGGCAGCATGGGCCTGTAGTCCCAGTTACTCGGGAGGCTAAGACAGGGGAATTGCTTAAACCCAGGAAGCGGAGGTTGCGGTGAGCCAAGATCGCGCCACTGTACTCCAGCTTGGTGACAGAGCAAGACTCCATCTCAAAAAAAAAAAAAAAAAGTCTTGCTTCTTGGATCTACCAAGCTCATGAAGAAATAAGAGCAAACAAACATATGTATAGGTAAAAAGTCAGCAAACTGCAATGCCATGCATGTGCCTATGCAACAATCCTGCATGTTCTTCACATGTACCCTAAAATCTAAAACGTAATAAAAAAAAAATATATATAAATAATAATAATAATAATAATTACTGGCCAGGCATGGTGGCTCATACCTGTAATCTTAGACTTTGGGAGGCTGAGGTGGGCAGATTACCTGAGGTCAAGAGTTCAAGACTAGCCTGGCCAACATGGTAAAACCTTGTTTCTAACAAAAATACAAAAACTAGCCAGGCATGGTGGTGCACGCCTGTAATCCTAAATACCTGGGAGCCTGAGGCAGGAGAATTGCTGGAACCTGGGAGGCAGAGGTTGCAGTGAGCTGAGATTACACCACTGCACTTCAGCCTGGGTGACAGAGTGAGACTCTGTCTCAAAAAGAAAAAAAAAATTACTTTCATCATTTTTAATAATCAAAGGTAACACACACACACACACACACACACACACACACACACACAATCTGCTAATCAGAACTCCTGGTTGCCTTTAGATCATCAGTTTAATAACATTAAGATGAAATGATTAATGCAAAAATGTAATTGACATGTTTGCAAATAAAGCTTTCCTCTAAGTAAAGATTAGAATTCCAATAAGCATTTGAAACACTGGGGAAATCTTAGTGTCTCATAATTTACCTCTGTGAATCCCTAACAAGTATAGAGATTCCAAACTGGAAACTTTAAAACATAAAAGTGGAAACATCTAAGTTAAAGCTTACATTTTAAAAATTTCTTATTCTTATGCTTGTATATATCTTTTATCCAAATGTGAATACCAGCAATATCATCTACATTATTTATGTCAAATCATTCCATCAGGCCAGGTGCACTGGCTCACATCTGTCATCTCAGCACTTTGGGAGGCCGAGGTGGGCAGAACACCTGAGGTCAGAAGTTCAAGATTAGCCTGGCCAACATTGTAAAACCACATCTCTACTAAAAATACAAAAATAAGCCAGGTGTGGTGACACGTGCCTGTAGTCCCAGCTACTCTGGAGGCTGAGGCAGGAGAATCCCTTGAACCTGGGAGGCAGACACTGCAGTGAGCTGAGATCGCATCACCACATTCCAGCCTGAGCAACAGAGAGTGAGACTCTGTCTCAGTTTAAAAGAAAAAAAAAATCCTTCCATCAAATTTCAGGGTAAAAAGAATTAGGAATAAGAAAACTGTGAGCATTTCAAATATTTTAATGTACTTCCTTCCAGAGTTAAATATGTATTGCAACATTTACCTGCTTTGGATGTTTGTACATTCTTCATTCCTCCTGCTTTATTTGGAACAGAATCTTGCATTTCAATGGTAGGCTGAATGGATTTTGAAACAAAATGATTAATAAATAATTTATATTTTATACAATATGCATTTGATAATTCAAGATAAAAATATAAAACTTATTACCTTCAAGTGACGATATCTCTCAGGAGACTCTAAAAAGCAAAAGGGACATATAATCAATTATATGCAAATATGACAAAGCCAATCATAAATTCATGCAGTGTTAGTATTGACATGAATCATCATGCTTGGTTTGAAAATGATTAACTGTTGGGATGTTTTTCATTTTGGTTAGGACAGCAACATGACAGAAGTATACTGAAGAAAAACATAGGAACATAGGTCTAATAAAACATGCAGTTTTCATTTGAACATGGGATTCTGTCCCAAGTGACTATAACTAAAATAAGAAAGTGCACATATGCCAATGTGAGCAGGCTCATCAATGCGGAGAAAGGCGATCTTTAATCAGAGGAGCAAAGCATGATCCTGAGAGGAAAAATGTCAAGACCTATGGTACAATGCTACAGGATATCTTTAATGCAACACATCAGAATCATTTACACCATTATACTACAAGTATTTATCATGTGCTTCAATTTGTCCTGTAATTTGGGAAGCACACAGTTGTGGTGCCACTTTAGTTGAATATATAACTCATCTCTCATCAGAGAAAGCACTGTGAACTGATCAGCTTGGATATACACTTGTAGAATAACAGTTAACAAAAATACTCATTTTTTTCCATACCCATGGGGGCTACTGGCATGCCTACATTTCTTGTATCCTCTAGTTTAGCCATCTTAAAGTTTCTTGATCCACTCATACAAGAAGGTATATAAAACATACCTAAGAAATAATGTATAATAAGCTTTCAATATTAAAATATTTATTAAAAGAAAAAATTGAATTGCCACAGAATTATTAGCTATTATTTTATATTTCAAAATTAGTGCAGTTTTTAAAATCAATGCAGTGTTTGTTGAAAATAACAATTTTAGTATTCAAAGAATTATCAACTGTAATTTTTTCATTTCTAAAATATGTTAGCCTCTAAAGGAGTTTATGAAACAGCTATCATATCAAAAAGCAATTTTCTTTAAGAAAAAAGTCAATGCTTCTATATTCAAATTTAACTCATTTGATTAATTAATATCAGTGCAACACAGACCTTTTTTTTTTTTTTTTGATAGAATCTCACTCTGTTACCCAGACTGTAGTCAGTGGCACAATCATGGCTCATCGATCACTGTAGCCTCAACCTCCAGGCTCAAGCAATCCTCCCACCTTAGCCTCCTGAATAGCTGAAACTACAGGCCTATGCACCACCATGCCTAATTTTTGTATTTTTTTTTTAGATGGGGTCTTGCCATGTTGTCCAAGCTGATCTCAAACTCCTGGGCTCCAGCAATCCACCGACCTTGGCCTCCCAAAGTGCTGAATGACAGGTGAACCACCATAACCAGTCCAAAGCAACATATATCTTTAATGTCTGACAGTTACAGAGAGGAGATAAGAATCACCCAATTCTAGCATGCTTCCCATAATCTCTGGAGCAGAAATGATCTAACCATCTAAGTGTAAATACACTGAAGCCATCTGAAATGAGTTCTTTCGAGTTTCCTCATTATTAACTCCAAAATAACCTAGCTAACTTTTTTCTTTCCTCTCTCTTTCCCCACTGACAATGTTTCTTCTTTTGCAAAAGTAATCTCTAGATCTGTGGTCTTGATTCCTCCCCTTCTACATTCTTTTCATGGAATATTTTCAGCATTTCTTTCTTCTTCATTTAACAATAGTATCTTACATCTATAATTTCTATTTCTTCATCTCTTTGTTCCTAACCCTATAGCTAGAAACGTGCTCAGAAATAAAAAGAAAAATAATGTTTTAACTTGATCTGTTATGCCTTGAATTGTTGTCTAGTGACTCTTCTTTCAGATTTCTCTACAGGGAAGTCTACACCCTTACTACTCAGAGTATGGTCCAAGGGCCAGAAGCATCAGCGTTTTGTGAGAACTTATTAGAAATGCAGAACCCCAGGCCTGCTGAATCAAAATGTGCATTTTTAACAAGATTCTCAGCTGATTTATTACATTTTAAGAAGCTCTGGTCTATACTGAGTGTGCCTCCACATTCTTTTTTTTTTGAGACAAAGTCTTCTCTGTCGCTATGCTAGAGTGCAGTGGCGCAATCTCAGCTCACTGCAACCTCCGCCTCCAGGGTTCAAGTGATTCCCCTACCTTGCCTTCCCAAGTAGCTGGGACAACAGGCATGCAGAACCACACTGAGCTAATTTTTTGTATTTTAGAGATGGGGTTTCACCATGTTGGCCAGGATGGTGTCAATCTCTTGACCTCGTGATCCACCCACTTTGGCCTCCCAAAGTGCTGGGATTACAGCTGTCAGCCACTGTGCCCAGCCCGACATTCTTTCATATTATCGTATCCTTTTGGAATCTGGCATCAAGTTCCTCCCTATCATGTCCCCCAAACTGAAACTGTATTACAAGTCCTAAAGTTGCTATGGGCTTTTTATCAGAGTATGGCTTCCTTGATCTCTCCATAAGCAACCCTACTCTCTTCTTTCCAATTACCTTCTTTTGGCCTTTGAGACACTGTCCTATAAAGTAACACTTTCTTTTTTTGAGACAGAATCTCGCTCTGTTGCCCAGGCTGGAGTGCAGTGGCGCAATCTCGGCTCACTACAACTTCCGTCTCCAGGGTTCAAGCTACTCTCCTACCCGAGCCTCCCAAGCAACTGGGATTCCAGGCATGCACCACCATTCCTGGCTAATTTTTGTATTTTTAGTAGAGACAGAGGTTTCACCATGTTAGCCAGGCTGGTATCAAACTCCTAACCTCAGGTGATCTCCCATTTCGGCCTCTCAAAGTGCTGGGATTACAGGTGTGAGCCAGCATGCCCAGCCTGAAGTTACATTTTCTATGACATCAAATTATAGATACATATGGCTGACCATATATGCTTGTATTCATCTATGACAGAAAGATGGTCCAGTACCTCCATCCTTGCCTTCCCAACAGTGAGGGGGATAGAAAGAGTGCAAAAATTTTGCTCTACTTCTCTGACAAGTTTTGGTACTGGAAGCTCATTTTAAACTCTTCCTACCTTTCTAATACCCTGACTTTCCATTTTCTAAAGAATTAATTTATTTTTTATTTTTTTGAGACAAAGCCTCACTCTGTCGCCAGGCTAGACTGCAGTGACGCAATCTCAGCTCACAGCAACCTTCGCCTTCCAGGTTCAAGCAATTCTCCTGCCTCAGCCTCCCGAGTAGCTGGGATTACAGGTGTGTGCCACCACACCCAGCTAATTTTTGTATTTTTAATAGAGATGGGGTTTCACCATGTTGGCCAGGCTGGTCTCAAACTCCTGACCTCAAGTGATATGCCCACCTCAGCCTCCCAAAGGGCTGGGATTACAGGCGTGAGCCACCGCACCCGGCCTGATGTACTATTATAATTATTTTATTTTGCCACTCTCCATTTCATATACTTGCTTCTTTGTTCTTCATTCACTCTCTATACTCTCTGCCTTCCTCATTCTCATTTCCTCTTTTACTCATCTCCTCTTCCTTATTTCCTGGCTCTTCTCAGATCTTAATGTATTTTGAAACGGATCTAACAATTCAGCTCCTTTAGTGACAGTAGCAATTTAACCTGTTGCTGACACCTAAGATATACAACTTATCACAATTTCACCTCTTTGTTCTTACTATCCATTTAATAGGTGATTTTCTTTGGCTATTAGAATATATCAACAATCATGTTGTTAAATAAACACTCTGTCCAACGGCTTTATTAAAATAAAATATATCTCTTACCTTCTGCTTGTTCATTGCCTATATTTTTTTCTTTTCGATCTGCAGCCCCAGCTAAAGGATCAACATACTTCTGTGGAAAATTCTCAGAGATACTCTGTTAAAATTAATATCAATAATGAGTTTCGCCGGGCGTGGTGGCTCAAGCCTGTAATCCCAGCACTTTGGGAGGCCGAGGCGGGTGGATCACGAGGTCGAGAGATCGAGACCATCCTGGTCAACATGGTGAAACCCCGTCTCTACTAAAAATACAAAAATTAGCTGGGCATGGTGGCACGTGCCTGTAATCCCAACTACTCAGGAGGCTGAGGCAGAAGAATTGCCTGAACCCAGGAGGCGGAGGTTGCGGTGAGCCGAGATCGTGCCATTGCACTCCAGCCTGGGTAACAAGAGCGAAACTCCATCTCAAAAAAAAAAAAAAAAAAAAAAGAGTTTCAATTTTACAAAAAGAATGATCTGCTAAAGATCTTCTAATCACTTTCAAATATAATATAAATATCCTATTTTAAAAGCAATTAGACTTAAGATTAGTGTGTACTGAAAATCAAAACATTTCAATAAAGAACTTCACATATGCTCTCTAGATTAAGCTTATCTTTCATCTTTAGATGGCTATTGACTCTGCAAACCAAACACAGAAGGACTAAGGACACATATTAACAGAAAAAAAGTTAACTTATGTGCATAGTCCAACAAGCAACTAATATCAAAAGACTTAATTCTATTTTGTATTCCCCACCAAAAATAAGAGGTCATTCTGGGGAGCTTCTCTGAACCTATTCTGGTTCAGGGGCTGCCTGATTAAGAGGGGAAAAAAAGCATATTTTTTTTTTTTTTTGAGACGGAGTTTCGCTCTTGTTACCCAGGCTGGAGTGCAATGGCGCGATCTCGGCTCACCGCAACCTCCGCCTCCTGGGTTCAGGCAATTCTCCTGCCTCAGCCTCCTAAGTAGCTGGGATTACAGGCACGTGCCACCATGCCCAGCTAATTTTTTGTATTTTTAGTAGAGACGGGGTTTCACCATGTTGACCAGGATGGTCTCGATCTCTTGACCTCGTGATCCACCCGCCTCGGCCTCCCAAAGTGCTGGGATTACAGGCTTGAGCCACCGCGCCCGGCTAAAAAAGCGTATTTTTAAAAATAGAATATTCTTGCTATAGTACAGCATTAAACATTTAAAATATTTCTAATTACAAAAATTTTTAGTGTTAAGATATTTGGCGTAATAAAAAAACTTTGGAATACATCATGGTAAGTATAAACAGAATACTGCAAAAGATGCTTCATTTAGGTAAACAAAAGCTTGGAAAAATCTAAATACTTTGTGTTAAAACTTTTACTGAGGGGGCTGGGCGCGGTGGCTCAAGCCTGTAATCCCAGCACTTTGGGAGGCCGAGGCGGGTGGATCACGAGGTCGAGAGATCGAGACCATCCTGGTCAACATGGTGAAACCCCGTCTCTACTAAAAGTACAAAAAATTAGCTGGGCATGGTGGCGCGTGCCTGTAATCCCAGCTACTCAGGAGGCTGAGGCAGGAGAATTGCCTGAACCCAGGAAGTGGAGGTTGTGGTGAGCAGAGATCGCGCCATTGCACACCAGCCTGGGTAACAAGAGCGAAACTCCGTCTCAAAACAAAAAAAAAAAAAAAAAAAAAAAAAAGAAATAATTTCTAGGGGAGGGATAGCATTAGAAGAAATATCTAATGCAGATGACGGGGTGGCAGATGCAGTAAACCACCATGGCACGTGTACACCTATGTAACAAACCTGCACGTTCTGCACATATACCCTAGAACTTAAAGTATAACAACAACAAAAAAAGAAATAATTTCAAAGAAGTATAGCAAGCCTTCATAAAAACAGAAGAATAATAACATTTACATATTAAGTATCTGAAATGTGCCAGGTATTTATTTGCACATTTTCTTTTCTATACAGTATAATAATAAAAACAACGATAAGTTACCCCACTTCCTGCTTCTTGGTCATTCCAAGATATTAAGAGCAAAATGATAAACAGATGTGATGATTGTGCCCTCTGCCCAGAATGCTCTCCTCCTAGCCTTTCACATGGCTGCTCCTTCTCTTCCTTTAGTTGGCAATCTAACGTCACACTCAGAAAGATACTCTCTGACTACAGAATTTCACTACCACTTCAATCCCCATCCTAACTACAAACTCTCTCAATTTTCTCTAACCTAATACTCTGTTTTCATCATACGAAGTACCTATAGTGACTTATAAGTGTTTGTGGTTTACTTGTTTTTCAGTTCCTGCTACTAGAGCGTAAGCCCTCAGCTTGTATATTCAGTGTCTAACAGCCTAGTACGTAGTCAGTACTCAATAAACAAAAATCTATTCGAGGTCAAACATTTAAAATCTCATTAGGAAGGTCTTAAGTGTCAATTTACTATATTCCTATAGAATATCTCCAGTAACTGTCTACTGAAACTTACACCCCAAATTAGAAATCCACATGCCTGTTCCAACTTTCCCATTCTTTTCTTGACAGTACTGCCTACAGGTTTACAAAAAGTACCCTCAATATTTATTAAGTCATTGAAAATGATTTTGAAAATCATTTCTACTTATTATAACACCACTCAACCAAACTGTCATTATTCTCCACATTCTTCCTTCTCTTGAAATGTTCCTTGTAGATCCATACAAATATATATTAATACTTTAAAGGCCTAGGTGTGCCGGGCGCGGTGGCTCAAGCCTGTAATCCCAGCACTTTGGGAGGCCGAGGCGGGTGGATCACGAGGTCGAGAGTTCGAGACCATCCTGGTCGACATGGTGAAACCCCGTCTCTACTAAAAATACAAAAAATCAGCTGGGCATGGTGGCGTGTGCCTGTAATCCCAGCTACTCAGGAGGCTGAGGCAGGAGAATTGCCTGAACCCAGGAGGCGGAGGTTGCGGTGAGCCGAGATCGCGCCATTGCACTCCAGCCTGGGTAACGAGAGCAAAACTCCGCCTCAAAAAAAAAAAAAAAAAAAAAAAAAAAAAAAAAAAAAAAAAAAAAAGGCCTAGGTGTTATGTTTTCAAATTCCAAGTTGTCAAAAAGAAAACAAAAAAACTGCATTCCAAACTGTTTCTCTCTGAATCTCATTAGGACTTTTACTCATCCATACATAACATAGAGTCATACATTTGGCCATAGGTTGACCTGAAATAATTCTCCAGTTTTTAGATAAACAACTTCAGAATGCACACTGATCCCTTGTGACTTCTAAGCCTTTTTTTTTCTTTTGTCTTTTCTTTTTTTTTTTTTTTGCACTTTCCTACACTGGATTCTTTTGTTTGTTTTGTTTATTTTCTTTTAAACTGGATTCTTTGCTTTTAATTTTATGACACCCGTTATTGAATACACTGGATTCTTAAATGAATCTTGCAAATTAGTAGAATTGATACAATGCTGCAGTCATACACTTAGCACATACTTTATTAATTATGAACTGAAAAATATAAGAAAGAAGTTCCTTATGGATCTACACAGAGGCAAAAAAGTCAAGTCAAAGTATCTCTTTTATGTTTTAACATCACCCACTGCTTATATTTTAAAGTAACAGTAACAATAGACAGTACCTCAGAATCCCAAGGTGATTCTATGTCTTCCTCTTGTCCTAATCCTAATGCAGACATCATATCTATAAAATGTTATACACAGATATATTCATAAGAACATTTAGTATACGTTTTAAACACATATATATACAAAAATAAAAAATAAACAAAAAAATTAAATACATATACAAGTCTATCTCCATTCATGAGTAATTCAATAAAATAAAAATAATAGCAAAAAAGTATTTCACAAGGTTGACACAGTCTCAGGAAAAAATTAGTATTATGAAGAAAGACAGCAAAATAAAAATATTGTTTAAATGAATATAATATTTGAGTCTGTATATGTTAATTGGTTGTCTTAGAATAGAATTTTTTTTCTTTTGAGACAGATTCTTGCTCTGTTGCCCAGGCTGGAGTGCAGTAGAGCGATCTCAGCCCACTATAACTTCCATCTCCTGGGTTCAAGCAATTCTCCTGCCTTAGCCTCCTGAGCAGCTGGGATTATAGGCACACACCACCACTGCCAGCTAATTTTTGTATTTTTTTGTTTGTTTGTTTGTTTTTTTGAGACAGAGTTTCCCTCTTGTTACCCAGGCTGGAGTGCAATGGCGCAATCTCGGCTCACCGCAACCTCCGCCTCCTGGGTTCAGGCAATTCTCCTGCCTCAGCCTCCTGAGTGGGTGGGATTACAGGCACGCGCCACCATGCCCAGCTAATTTTTTCTTTTAGTATTTTTAGTAGAGACGGGGTTTCACTATGTTGACCAGGACGGTCTCGATCTCTCGACCTCGTGATCCACCTGCCTCGGCCTCCCAAAGTGCTGGGATTACAGGCTTGAGCCACCGCGCCCGGCCTAATTTTTGTATTTTTTTTTTTTTTTTTGAGACGGAGTTTCGCTGTTGTTACCCAGGCTGGAGTGCAATGGCGCGATCTCGGCTCACCGCAACCTCCGCCTCCCGGGTTCAGGCAATTCTCCTGCCTCGGCCTCCTGAGTAGCTGGGATTACAGGCATGCACCACCATGCCCAGCTAATTTTTTGTATTTTTAGCAGAGACGAGGTTTCACCATGTTGACCAGGATGGTCTCGATCTCTCGACCTCGTGATCCACCCGCCTCGGCCTCCCAAAGTGCTGGGATTACAGGCTTGAGCCACCGCGCCCGGCCAATTTTTGTATTTTTAATAGAGACAGGGTTTCACCATGTTGGCTAGGCTGGTCTCCTGACCTCTGGGGATCTGCCCACCTTGGTCTCCCAAATTGCTGGGATTACAGGTGTAAGCCACCATGACCTGGCCCCTAGAATAGAATTTAAGGATAGAAAAATATTCAGAGACATCCACTAACTTACCACTTCTATTATTTTTGGGCACTTCATCAACATAAGTCAAATTGTCATTATCTGTTTGCTCCAGTGGAGGACTTTCAGTAATATCAATACCATTTTCTTTTTTTCCAGTGGCTGGCTTTGTTGCTCCTTCCTATATATATATATATATGTAAAATAAAAAAAAAAAAACTTCAGAAAACACTGTATTTATTCACTTACCCATTCAATCAGTCACTGTACTCGTCGGTTCTTATACAACCATAAAGAAATATCTGGTCATCCAAGATGGGGGCATACTTTTTTTTTAAAAGAAACACCTGACTGGGTAATTTATGAAAAAAAGAGGTTTCATTGGCTCATCGTTCTGCAGGTTGTATAAGCATAGCAGCTTCTGTTTCTGGGGAGGCCTCAGGAAGCTTATAATCATGACAGAAGGCAAAGAGGGAGCAGGTGTCTCACATGGCAGAGCCAGGGCAAGAGAGCAAGGTGAGAGGTGCTATACACTTTTAAAGAAGCAGATCCCATGAGAACTCACTTGCTATCTCAAAGACATTACCAATGGGGATGGTGCTAAACCATTCACTACAAATCTTCCCTGTATGATCCAATCACCTATCACCAGGTCCCGCCTCCAATACTGGGGATTACATTTCAATATAAGATTTGGGGCAGGACACACATCCAAATGGTACCAGTCAGTAAGACAATAAGCACGTATTGTGTCTATCACATCACAGGCACTATCCTGGGAAAAACTAAAAATAGAAACAGAGGACAGATTCTTCCCTATATTAATCAAGTGGGGATAGAGATAAACAAAAACAAAGAAGAACAGAAAAGTATAATTCATTAGTTCTAAAACTGAAGTGAATGAAGGGCAGTAACGGCACAAAAGAGAACAGTCAGTTCCACCTGGGAAGCTCAGGAAATGTTGCAAAGACAGGTCCATACTATGAGATAGACCCAGTGCAGTGATATGGTTTGGCTCTGTGTCCCCACCTAAATCTCATCACAAATTGTAATCATCATGTGTCAAGGGAGAGACCAGTGGAGTGGTCACATTTTCTTTTGGCAGCCTCAAAATAAAAAGTAAATTGTCATAATAACATATGAGAAATAGTTAGCAGGTAGAAAATAAGGAACTTGGTGAGTGACTGGATTCATAATTTGAGGGAAAACTGTAATGCAAGATTTCTCCTGCTTCAATGTTTCAGTGCTACTTCCTAGGTGTTATTTACTGGGAGAAGGAAACCAGCAGACAGCAGATTACAAAGAGTTGGGTAAAGGTCAGAAACAATGTCTTCAGTTGGGGCACATTAATATAAAATTCAAGGCATCCAGGAGACTTAGAAAAATTTCAGGATTTTTTTTAAGAGACAAGGTTTCACCGTGTTACCCAGGCTGGTCACCAACTCCCAAGCTCAAGTGCTCCTCCAGCCTCAGCCTCCCCAAGTGCTGGAATTACAGGCATGAGCCACTGCACCCAGCCCACCCAGGGGACTTAGAAGACAGATTTGGATAAATACATTTGGAGTAGAAGTAGATGACTTCAGGAAAAGCATATGGTCTTAAGAAGATAAATATTTGTAAAATACAGTAAACTGGTAGAATAATATGAACCTATACAGAACTCAGAACTTTTGAAAATGAAAAGACAAAAAGAAAAAAAACCATGGTATTCAAGGTTTCAATTGCATATTTCAACATTTGAGGCTGGATGCAGTGGGCCCCACCTGCAATCTCTGGACTTTGGGAGGCCAACATGGGAGGATCATTTGGGCCCAGGAGTTCGAAACAAGCCTGGGTAACATAGTGAGACCCCATTTCTACAAAAAATAAATAACTAGCTGGGCATGGTCGTTCATGCCCATAGTCCCAGCTACTTGGGAGGCTGAAGCCAGATCCAGAACATTTAAGCTTCAGTGAGCCTTGATCATGCCATTGCACTCCAACCTGAGTGACAGAAATTCTGTATTTAAAAAAAAACAAAAAAACAAAAAAAAACAAGGCCAGGTGCGGTGGCTCATGCCTGTAATCTCAGCACTTTGGGAGGCTGAGATAGGCAGATTACTGGATGCCAAGAGTTAGAGACCAGCTAACATAGCAAAACCCCATCTCTACTAAAAATACAACAATTAGCCACATGTGGTGGTGCACACCTGTAGTCCCGGTTACTAAGGAGGCTGAGGCACAAGAATTGCTTGAACCTGGGAAGCAGAGGTTGCAGTAAGCTGAGATCCTAACACCATACTCCAGCCTGGGCGACAGAGCAAGACTCCGTTTCAAAAAAAAACAAAAGGAAAGAAAAGAAAGCTATGATTATCCAAGATGAATATTTAAAAGTCTTCAAATATAGCTACGATTATCAAGCAAGACCAGTATACACATGAAGAGAGAAAAGGACTAAGAAATCAAGTCGACAGGATTCTGAGTTTTAGAGATGAACAAATTTATGAGCAAAGTTTAATAACTATGATACTAAAGTTAACAAAGCCTCCTGATGATAATATAAAATGTCCTCATTGCTGGAAACACTTTTAAAAGTAAAAAATATCTTCCAGAGATAATTTCATAAATTTCCTTGGCGATCTTTTCTTCCTTCTGATTCTGTAATAGGTAGTTTATTTTAGAAAACAATCATAAATTTTGATCACTTTCATTTTGTGTGTGCACATGTATCCATTACATACAGATATTAATTATGAGCACAAGATAAATCAGAATATCTATAGAAACAAATAATTGCTGGATTCATTTCTCTAAGAAAGTTTATACTGAAATTTATTTTCTCTCTTTTTTTTCCCAAGATGACGAATGGGAGGCCAGGGGGACAAGAGCGAGACTACATCTCAAAAATAAAAATAAAAATGTTTTGCCGGGCGCGGTAGCTCACGCCTGTAATCCCAGCACTTTGGGAGGCTGAAGCGGGTGGATCACGAGGTCAAGAGATCGAGACCATCCTGGTCATCCTGGTGAAACCCCGTCTCTACTAAAAATACAAAAAAGTTAGCTGGGCATGGTGGCACGTGCCTGTAGTCCCAGCTACTCAGGAGGCTGAGGCAGGAGAATTGCTTGAACCCAGGAGGCGGAGGTTGTGGTGAGCAGAGATCGCGCCATTGCACCCCAGCCTGGGTAACAAAAGGGAAACTCTGTCTCAAAAAATAAAAATAAAAATAAAAAATAAAAATGTTTTGAAATAAGTAACAATGCCACTAATTATCAAAACCTCTGTGATATAGAAAATCAGTGCTAACATCACATCTTAGGAAACTAGAGAAACAAGAATAAACCAAACCCAAAACTAGGAGAAGAAAAGAAATAACAAAGATCAGAGCAGAACTAAATGTATTTATAACCAAAAACAATACAAAATGAAACAAAAGTTGGATTTTTTTGGAGTTTTTTTTTGAGTTGGAGTTTCACTCTTGTTGCCCAGGCTGAAGTGTAATGGCATGATCTTGGCTCACTATAACCTCTACCTCCCAGGTTCAACTGATTCTCCTGCCTCAGCCTCCTGAGTAGCTGGGATTATAGGCACCCACCACCATGCCCAGCTAATTTTTTTGTATTTTTAGTAGAGACACGGTTTCACCATGTTGGCCAGGCTGGTCTCAAACTCCTGACCCTCAGGTGATCTGCCCACCTAGGCCTTCCAAAGTGCTGGGATTACAGGTGTGAGGCACCATGCCCGGCAGTTTTTTTTTTTTTTAAGATACACAGTTGATAGATCACAAGCTACATTAACTAAGAAAAGAAAGATGATTCAAGTAAGCTCAAGTAGGAATGAATGTGGAGACATTACAACTGATACCACAGAAACACAAAAGATCATTCAAAACTACTGTGAATACCTCTATGCACACAAACTAGAAAATCTACAGGAAATGGATAAATTATTAGAAACACATAAATCCTCTAGCTTGAATCAGAAAGAAATAGAAATCATGAATAGACCAGTAATAAGCAGTGGGACTGAATCAGTAATTTTAAAACTGCCAACAAGAAAAAAGCCCAGGGCCATACGGAATCACAGCTAAATTCTACCAGACATTCAAAGAAGAACTGGCAAGAATTCTACTGAAACTATTCCAAAAGACTGTGAAGGGGGAAATCCTTCCTACTCATTCTATGAAGCCAGTATCATCCTAATACAAAAGCCAGGAAAGGACATAACAATAAAAGAAAACTGCAGACCAATATCTCTGATGACTAAAGATACAAAAATACTCAAGAAAATACTAGCAAACCAAATCCAACAGCATATCGAAAAGCAATAATTCACCATGATCAAGTGGGTTTCATTCCAAGGATGCAGGGATGGTTCAACTTAGGCAAGTTAATAAATGTGAATCATCACATAAACAGAATTAGAAACAAAAACCATATGATCATCTCAACAGATGTATCATTATATGGATTGTGGGGGAAAGGGAAGGGTATGGGAAAACAGCTTTTTTCTTTTTCTTTTTTTTTTTTTTTTGAGACGGAGTTTCGCTCTTGTTACCCAGGCTGGAGTGCAATGGCGCGATCTCGGCTCACCGCAACCTCCGCCTCCTGGGTTCAGGCAATTCTCCTGTCTCAGCCTCCTGAGTAGCTGGGATTACAGGCACGTGCCACCATGCCCAGCTAATTTTTTTGTATTTTTAGTAGAGACGGAGTTTCACCTTGTTGACCAGGATGGTCTCGATCTCTTGACCTTGTGATCCACCTGCCTCGGCCTCCCAAAGTGCTGGGATTACAGGCTTGAGCCATCGCGCCCGGCCGGAAAACAGTTTTTTTAAAAACAGCTTACCTCTGTAAGACCAGGGTTTGCTAACGACTTGTGGAAAGGTTTCGGAAGAGGGTCAGGTGATGGATAGGTAGGATGAGAAAAACCTTGGACTTGGATTGATGTTGTAGGAAGGCTTTCAATCACAACTTCATCTTGACTATCGGAATCTCTATCCTCAAAAGAAGTTCTATTTCCTGTTCTCACAATGCCATATGTTGCTTCTACTACAGTAAAAACAAAATACAGAGTAAATGAAAACATATGTAATTAAGACTCAATGAGTAACAAGAGAATAAGCAGTCTTCAAACAGCTTACAATTTTTCTTGGATTGCTGAGAAGCAGTCATCAGCTTTGCTAAGCTTGGTTTTGGGACATTCTAGAAAACAAAAATAAGAGTAACAAGTTTTAAAAATAACAAGCATCAAATTTGATAACATAATTGTAATATTCACAATTAACACAAAAAACACAGATTTTGGAATCACTCAGATGTAGCTTTAAACCTCAAGCCTCCTATTTACTACATCTTCCCATGGGGTAAGGATTATGTGAGACGATACATATATTCTCCAAAGGTTACTACCTTTAACCATAGTTGATTATTATATAAATACTATGATATCTAGTCAATTATTTTCTTAACCACATTAGCCCAGAATGAAAATTTATTCCTAGGTAGAGTATTATAAAATTAAAACATTAGGACATTTAAATTAATTAAATATTTTCTGAAATGTGTATGCATGATTTATATTTGCATGAATTACTTCTTGTGAGAGAAACTAAGCATTTTGTTCTTAGTATATCTTATTTAAGTAGGTTGGCATTGCAAATACTATAGGCTGGTTCTATTCTGTTTGTCACAAAGCTAAAAAAAAAAATGATTATATAAATTCAGCTCCTTACAAGAAAGACAGAAAAAAACAAAAATAATCCTTGTGAGTCAATGATTGCTGAATAAAAGCCGCACATCGCTACTGAATAGAAAGGTGCACCTAAATATGCTACAAATGAAGACAAACATGGACTGAAATAACAGTCACTGAAGAAATGTACGCTGCAAGGAAAAGTTTAGGCTGAGATAAATCATTTTTAAAAGAAGAAATTGCAGGGGGAAAAAAGAGAGGCATGACTAATCAATCAAGTGTGAGCTTAAGTCAAGAAAGAAAAGGAAAAGCTTTAAGCATACAAAGGCACATGGAGAAGCACAGATCTGTAACACAGACTTTGGTTCATAAGATATCCCTGATAATACTGATTAGGATTTAGAATCAGTTTTTTAAAAAGTATTTCTGTAGTAAAGAGTTTAATTTTAAGTCATCCAATTAGTTAAACATGGTCATCTACTACTTCCTGAAAGCTGTAACGTTCTTATTACAGAGAAAAATGAAAAAAGATTTTAAAATCAGAGTAGGAGTGATTATCCATATAAACTTTGACCAAATTTTGTATTTCCTCTACTGTAGGAAAACGTTTCCCAATACGATTTTCCTATCACTATGTATTTTCCGGTGTGGTTTTTTTTTTTTTTTTTTTTTTTTTGGCAATCCCCACTCTATCACATTATTTATCAATCCTTTGTTATTTACCAAAGTTTTAAAAAAAAGAATTCAACTGGTTATATTTCTATAAAATGGCTTCCTCTGACCACTTTTCCATTACAAACAGAAAACAGTGATAAGTAGACCACTGCTAAATTTTAAGAGAATACTATACAAAACTAGATTCAGAGTGAAAAAATGAATTTCATGAGAGAGCACTTTACCTTGGTATCAAAATTGACGTCTTCATCATCTGAGGTAGGCCATGAATCGTCAATACCTGGTTTGCCAGAAAGCCTTTAGAATAAAAATATACCAAAAAATGAGTGAATTAATTTCTTTAAAAACAAAACAAAAACCTCCTAGTTCAATCTGGATGCCCTCTCCAAAAAAATAAGAATAAAAATATGGTGAAAGGTCAACTATCTGTATATTAAGTGATGTTTCTTGATATAGTTTAAATTTGGTTTTTGAAAAAGATTTTAGTTACCTATTGCTACCTCTACCTCTCCAAATCTATTAAATATTCAATAAAGACAGCCTTAGCTCTATAACAAATAGTGACAGCCAAGATATTGGCAGAGCCTGGGAACATTTTGTCTTCACAAATCGTCTGTCCTGAAGACTGAACTGAAAATCCAATTAATGGCTGATATAACTTTTGTTACCTGAACCAGAACAAACCTGATAATCTAAAACAAGGTGGAGACCAGATGCAGTGGCTCACGCCTGTAATCTCCTAACTTTGAGAGGTGAAGGCAGGCAGATAACCTGAGCCCAGGAGTTCAAGACCAGCCTGGCCAATGTGGCGAAACTGTTTCTATTAAAATACACAAATTAACCAGGCGTGGTGACACATGCCTGTAATCCCAGCTACTCAGGATGCTGGAGCAAGAGAATTGCTTGAACTCAGGAGGCAGAGGTTGCAGTGAGCTTAGACTGCGCCACTGTAGTCCAGCCTGGGTGACAGAGCAAGATGCTGTCTCAAAATACACAAAAAAATAAATAAACCAAAGGCCGGGCACGGTGGCTCAAGCCTGTAATCCCAGCACTTTGGGAGGCCGAGGCGGGTGGATCACGAGGTCGAGAGATCGAGACCATCCTGGTCAACATGATGAAACCCCGTCTCTACTAAAAATACAAAAAATTAGCTGGGCATGGTGGCACGTGCCTGTAATCCCAGCTACTTAGGAGGCTGAGGCAGGAGAATTGCTTGAACCCAGGAGGCGGAGGTTGCGGTGAGCCGAGATCGCGCCATTGCACTCCAGCCTGGGTAACAAGAGCGAAACTCCATCTCAAATAAATAAATAAATAAATAAACAAACAAACAAACAAACAAACCAAGGTAGAAAGATACACTGTCCCTTCTCCACTATCTATCTCCAGTTCAAAGACTAATCTGTGTCACTCAAAAGTGGCAGTCTTGGTTCTTCAACATGGAAGTCACTTAAGGCCTCATTGCTTCCCTTTACTCTAAAACAGGATAGGGAGTCCCCTGAAATGTTTGAAATGTTTGAAAGCTAGAAGGACAAAAGTCAAAATACAAATGCATGTGCTATTATTGGGGCTACTCATCCCAGAAACATTAAAAGTTATAAAATCCATTATTTTCCCTAGAGAGGTCCTGCCTTGTTCCGGTCCACATAAACTACCAAGCCCTTAAAAATCTTTATAGGCACTCAGATACCCAAAGAAAAAGACTGCTGGAGAAATAGTCCTAGTAGTCGCACCTATATTTCTCTAACTACTATATAAACATCTTCCCTCCTATGGGCTCCCACTTACAGATCCCTCTTCTGCTGGGGTCCATGGCATCTCTAACCTTTAAGTATTCATCCTATGAAAGCACAAATTCCTGAAAGGATGGTCTCAAATGCCCAAGAGTAGGAGCTCTCTACTTCCTGCTCCTTGAAAACAAGTTAATGGAGTCTCAGTCATCTGTCACCAGCATAGCCATGTTACCAACTACCCAACTGAAGCTCTATGACTGACTTGCCAGCCAATCCTACTCCTGCGCTACCCTACATGCCCATGGGAAGGACATCAGAGAATTGGGAAATGAGTCAGAGGTGAGGGGACACCCCTGGGCCACAGATCTATGTAGTTCAGCAGCCTCCAGCTCCAAAGTACTTAAGCCACCACTCCATAAATTGAGGTAGAAGTAGTTATAGCACATTCCTATTGGCTGTAGAGACTCTCCTCAGTGGCTCAAATTATTTTAACATTTTTCAGTAGAAACCTTTAAAGTTTGTCAGTTCTTCCAATTATACAAAAAAGCAGCAACCTGTTCAGGACTCCCCTGAACGCCCTATTTTAATATGTCTTTCTAGATAATTCCCAATATCTTTAATCCTTCATTCCTATCATTTATCATTATCAAATTTGTCAGAAACCTCGATATTCTGATCTCTTTTCCAAAAGCCCTGTTCCTATCCAACCCAGTGTTATTTCTCTTCAAACTTGGTCTTCCTCTGTTAATTCTATTCTTTGCTCTTCCACTGGATTCACTATATCTATGCACCATTTTTATTTTATTTTATTTTTGAGAGGTAGTCTTGCTCTGTTGCCCAAGCTGGAGTACAGTGGCACCATCTTGGCTCACTGCAACCTCCACCTCCCAGGTTCAAGGGATTCTCCTGCCTCAGCCTTCCAAGTAGCTGAGACTACTACATGGCCATGCCAGCCTAATTTTTTGTATTTTTAGAAGAGATGGGGGTTTCCCCATTTTAGCCAGGATGATCTCAATCTCCTGACTTTGTGATCCACCCTCCTCGGCCTCCCAATGTGCTGTGATTACAGGTGTGAGTCACTGCACCCGGCCCACTCAACTTTCTGTTATTCAAATATTAACCTGTAGCATCATAAAGAAGGAAGAGTACTGCGCTCTGAAATGAGTTTGGATGTCATATCCAAATAAATCAATTTAATCTCTTTGAGTTTCAGGTTCTCCATCTGAACCACTTGACCAAAATGTTAAACACAGATTGCAATACTAAATGGCATTTTGATTAGTCTGATTCCTTAAATTCCTGAAATTCTATACGCTTTTGATTCTGTTGATAGAAAATGAGAAATACTTAGCTGGCAGAAATTGAAAAAAATAATAGAACACTGTTGGCTGAACAGAGAAAATGTTATATATATACACAACATTTTATATACATATGTTACATATATATGTTTTATATATATATATGGGGTGTGTGTGTGTGTATATGTGTGTGTATTTATTTATGTACGAACACACACACTCACCCCATAGAATACCATGCAGGTTTTTTTTTTAAGAGAATCAAAATCATATCCTTTACACAACTCAGATGGAGATGGAGTACTAGCCTAAAGGAACACCAAACTGAGAAGTCAGTAGGTAGAGACATAAATCAGAAACATCCACTAACTAGACGCTAAGTGTAATTAACACAATATGGTCTATATGTAGACAGCCTTCACTTACAGTAAAATAATTCCTTTCTAAGACTTGTCTCATTTGCTTATGTAAAATGTATGGCCCTGTGGCCACAGTTAAGTGAGATCTGGCCTAAAACCTTTGATGATAAAGACAAAGTACTAGTTACCATGGCAATTATCAAACATATTAAGACAAACTGTTGGACTGACCAGGCTCCTAAGAAAAACTCTAACAGTTAACATGTAACTAAATGTAGCTCTCTGAATTGATATGATTTGGACCTGTACCTTGATCCAGTGCTGCACAGGTCTCTATCAATCTATGTTGAGGGGCAAGAGAAGGGATTTGGGAGCCAAGCGAGCTGATGGTCAAATCATGGTCAGTTGCTTGCTAACTGTGAGGTCATGGGCCAATTAAGTAACCTCTCTGAACTACACCATTGGGTTATAATAGCACAGATACTTTGCAAAGCTGTTGGGATGACTATATGGAGCAGCACATAATATGGTGTCTAGCCCAGAGTAGGGCACTCAACAGATAGTTTCTTTTCTCTGTATTCCTTTAGTTAATATATTTTTTTAATATGTAAAATACTACCTGCTTAAGGAATCTTCAGAGCTCTCATCCACTACAAAAAAGAGAAAAGTAAAACACATTTTAAATCAACAATAGAAAAACATATAATATAGAAAGCATAAGACTGTCATGCTTTGTTATAAAGCATTCCTCTGAGACCATATCTGGATATAATATAATTAATATCCTATATAAATATTCACATGCATAGAAAAAAGTAAATCTTCCCTGCAGACCTGCTGCTCTTCTCTATTCACCCGACAATTCCAGTTTAAATGCTTGTGCACAACCGAGAAACCTATGAATCATCTGAGATTTCTCTCTGCCCCCTAACTTTTTACACTCAATAATCACTAAATCCTACTAACTAACCTCTTTTCTGCCTCTGCCTTACATTTCCACTGCCCCTGGAAATATAAACATATTTACTTAATATGTTACTTATTTACTTAATATAATATTTACTTAGTATGTTTATATATCTTTTTTTTTTTTGAGATGGAGTTTCACTCTTTTTACCCATGCTGGAGTGCAATGGCGCGATTTCGGCTCACCACAACCTCTGCCTCCCGGGTTCAAGCAATTCTACCTCAGCCTCCTAAGTAGCTGGGACTACAGGCGTGCGCCATCATGCCCAGCTAATTTTTTTGTATTTTTAGTAGAGACGGGGTTTCACCATGTTGACCAGGATGGTCTCGATCTCTTGACCTCGTGATCCACCCACCTCGGCCTCCCAAAGTGCTGGGATTATAGGCATGAGCCACTGTGCCCGGCCATTTATATCTCTTTTTTTTTTTTTTGAGACGGAGTTTTGCTCGTTACCCAGGCTGGAGTGCAATGGCGCGATCTCGGCTCACTGCAACCTCCGCCTCCTGGGTTCAGGCAATTCTCCTGCCTCAGCCTCCTGAGTAGCTGGGATTACAGGCACGCGCCACCATGCCCAGCTAATTTTTTGTATTTTTAGTAGAGACGGGGTTTCACCATGTTGACCAGGTTGGTCTCGATCTCTCGACCTTGTGATCCACCCGCCTCGGCCTTCCAAAGTGCTGGGATTACAGGCTTGAGCCACCGCGCCCGGCCCCCGTTTATATCTCTTAAACATGGAATCTTAACTGATGGCTTTCACAAAAAAAAAAAAAAAAAAAAGACAACATGCACTCTTAGTGTTATTTCTTAAATGAAAAAAAAAAATTTACGCAAAACTGATTTAAAAAGTCGTCACATGAAGAGAAAGACCAACATTTCACAATGAATAAACTGGTCAGGCATGGTGCCTCATGCCTATAATCCCAGCACTTTGGGAGGCCAAGGCCAGAGGATCACTTGAAGCCAGAAGTTTGAGACCAGCCTGGCCTAACATAGTGAGACCCTATCTCTAAAAGAATAATATAAAATGAACAAACTGAGCTTCCTAACTTTATGTATTTCACCATGGATGGTAAAAACCTCATAATGGATGAATACTAATCCAAGGATTAGTGACAAGGAAACTATGGCTTTGACTACTGCAAAACCTTCCTTTGTTTCCCAATCTCTTTACCTGGTTACCTTCCATCTATCCTGTATATGAGGGGCCAGCAAAGTAGAGGCCACAAGCCAAACTCAGCCAGCCATAAGGTTTTGTAAATAAAGTTTTATTGAGGCACAGTCACGTTATTCACTTACATATTATCTATGACTGCTTTCACATTACAATGGCAGAGGGAATAGCTATGACAAAGACTATATGGCCTAAAATATTTTCTGTCTGGCATTTCACAGAAAGGCTGTCCATCCCTGCTTTATACCACAGCCAGAATGCCAGACCCTGTCTTGAAAAAAATAATAAAATGAAATAGGAAGTCCAATGCAAGCTTCTGAGTTTTCTTCCTATTTAAAAGAAATGTGAAGAAAAGCAGCCCTTCTAGCTGTTAGAGCTATTGTTTTGTGAGAACATGTTTAGAGCTGTTGCTAATTAACCAACCATGAAAGGAGATGTGAACAAAACACTGCCAATGGCACAGCTAAAAGAGGGAAAACAAGTGGGATACAATGACATCACTGAACCACCAAAACAACTTTACCACTTCTAGTTAAGTCACCCATTATTTGCAGCCAAAAGCATTCTAACTGATAAATTTCCCATGGCCTACAGGCTAAGATCTACACTGAACTATTAAAAAACATCTTTCATAAGGTTGTCTTAGCTAGTTATTAACCTCATTCCCAACCACTTCCATATTACACTTTTTGCACTAGCAAAATTGAACACCCATAAACTCTGTGAAGTTTACTCAAGTGTCTGAGCTTTACATTTGCTCTTCCTTCTGCCAAACATGCAATCTTGTCAGATGTTCCTTCTGTTAAGGATCATTCTTCTGACTTTTTACCTGGCAAACTTCTACTCACTCTGCATGCTTAACTTATATCCCACCCACTGTTTTAAACCTTTAATTCTTTGCCATAGACTTAAAGTGTCTGGCACATACTGAACACAATAAATACATAATAAATGATAAACATAAGCTCTAAGGACATCTAGCACACAATAAGCCCTGAATAAAGTAGTAAATAATAAAAATTACAACGATTGTGACAAGTGCCTGATTCTATTTTTTAAATGTGTGTATTTTGTGGTTAGCTGTTGATTTGAAAAAAATAAAAAATATCCTGGGCATGGTGGCTCATACCTGTAATCCCAGCATTTTGGGAGGCCGAGGTGGGTGGATCACCTGAAATCAGGAGTTAGAGACCAGCCTGACCAACTTGGTGAAACCTATCTCCACTAAAAACACAAAATTAGCCAGGCATGGTGGTGCATGCCTATAATCCCAGCTACTTAAGAGGCTGAGGCAAGAAAATCGCTTGAACCTGGGAGGCAGAGGTTGCAGTGAGCTGAGATCACACCACTGTACTCCAGCCTGGGCAGCAAGAGTGAAACTACATCTCAAAAAAAGAAAAAAGATATAAAATGTTTCCATTCTGAAATATTTAAAAAAATGCTTAGTACCTAAAAGACACTTGATGGTTGTTAAGTAAACAATTATAGAAATCAATTAAAATATTTTCATTGAAAAAACAGAAATACCGGGCGCGATGGCTCAAGCCTGTAATCCCAGCACTTTGGGAGGCCGAGACAGGTGGATCACAAGGTTAAGAGATCGAGACCATCCTGGTCAACATGGTGAAACCCCGTCTCTACTAAAAATACAATAAATTAGCTGGGCATGGTGGCATGTGCCTGTAATCCCAGCTACTCGGGAGGCTGAGGCAGGAGAATTGCCTGAACCCCGGAGGCAGAGGTTGCGGTGAGCCGAGATCGTGCCACTGCACTCCAGCCTGGGTAACAAGAGTGAAACTCCATCTCAAAAAAAAAAAAGAAAAGAAAAGAAAAAACAGAAATAAAATAGGAACAGCTGTATTCCATTATGAAAACTTTAAAGACCAAAACTATATCTGTTCCATATTCATGTTTCTTGAAACTTGCAAAACCTAACCTATAAAAGTTCTTTTCTGCTTTTGTACATCAACAAAAAATAAAATAAAAATAAAAGTCATTTGATAAATATATACTAAATTAAAGATGTCCTCAAACAGTTAAGATTACACAATGCATTAGGTGTTACATCCAGGTGGCATAGTAGCATTTTTGTTATGATGAAACATTTCTGGCTGGGCACAGTGGTAATCCCAACATTTTGGGAGGCCGAGGCGGGCGGATCACCTGAGGTCAGGAGTTTCAGACCAGCCTGGCCAATATGGCAAAAACCCATCTCTACTAAAAATACAAAAATACTAAAACACAAAAATTGGCTAGGCCTGGTGGTGGGCACCTGTAATCCCCACTACTCGGGAGGCTGAGGCAGGATAATCGCTTGAATCTGGGTGGTGCAGTTTGCAGTGAGCCGAGATTATGCCACTGTACTACAGCCTGGGTGACAAGAGTGAAACTCCATCTTAAAAAAAAAAAGGAAGAAAACATTTCTGCCCAGCACAGTGGCCAACAACTGTAATCCAAGCGCTTTGGGAGGCTGAGGTGGGTGGACTGCCTGAGGTCAGGAGTTCAAGACCAGCCTGGCCAACACAGTGAAACCTCATCTCTGCTAAAAATACAAAAAAAAAAAATTAGCCAGGCGTGGTGGTACACACCTGTAATCCCAGCTAGTTGGGAGCCTGAAGGAGAACTGCTTGAACTGGAAAAGCGAAGGCTGCAGTGGGCCAACATCATGCCACTGCACTCCGGCCTGGGCAATAGTGAGACTCTACTTCAAAAAAAAAAAAAAAAAAAAAAAAAAAAAAAAGAGGCCGGGTGCTGTGGCTCAAGCCTGTAATCCCAGCACTTTGGGAGGCCGAGGCAGGTGGATCACGAGGTCAAGAGATCGAGACCATCCTGGTCAACACAGTGAAACCCCATCTCTACTAAAAATACAAAACATTAGCTGGGCATGGTGGCGCGTGCCTGTAGTCCCAGCTACTCAGGAGGCTGAGGCAGGAGAATTGCCTGAACCCAGGAGGCGGAGGTTGCGGTGAGCCGAGATTGCGCCATTGCACTCCAGCCTGGGTAACAAGTGCGAAACTCCATCTCAAAAAAAAAAAGAAACATTTCTGTAATTACTTTATTTTACTTTTTCCTGTCTTTTTTTAGAGTCTCTCATTGGACATTTTTGCACTTTCATTATTATTCACTGAGCCCGGAGTTGGGATATTTGAATATTAATTATGATAATCTTTTGGCTAATGAGAACAGTGTCTTGTTCTAACAAAATTACTGTTATTACGACACTTACCCAGCAGACAGAGGAACACTTCTTGTTCTAACGAAGTAAATATACCTCATTCTATTTCAACTTATGCTGAATACAGTGAGTAATAATGAGATTTTGTTGGTATAAGAATATGCAACATGACTTGTACTTCTCAACAAGGAATTGCTTTTCTGACTTCTGTATTCAGTATCTTTAAAAATAATCTCCTGGCCAGGCACAGTGGCTCACCCCTATAATCCCAGCATGTTGGGAGGCCAAGGTGGGCGGATCACGAGGTCAGGAGTTTGAGACCAACCTGACCAACATGGCGAAACCCTGATTCTACTAAAAATACAAAAATTAGCTGGGCCTGGTGGTATGCGCCTGTAATCCCAGTTACTTGTGAGGCTGAGAAGAATCATTTGAATCAGCGAGGCCGAGGTTGCAGTGAGTCGAGATCGCACCACTGCACTCCAGCCTGGGCAACAGAGCAAGACTCTGTCTCAAATAATAATAATAATAGTCTCCTATTGGTATTGGTGCACACTGGCTGAGTTCTGCAGTTCTTGTTGCCATTTGTTTATGGTACCAGAAGGTATTGTTGAGTTCCCAGTTTTAAAGATAGTTCATCTTTAGTGACACAAATCACTATGTAATGACCCTTGAACAACACAGGTTTGAACTGCACAAGTCCACCTATATGTGGATTTTCTTCATTTCTGCCACTCCAAGACAGCAAGACCAACTCTCCTCTTCCTCCTACTTCTCGGCCTATCACTCAACATGATGACAACCAGGATGAAGACCTCTATGATAATCCATTTCCACTCAATGAGTAGTAAATATATTTTTCTTCTTTATGATTTTCTTAATCATAATTTCTTTCTTGTAGCTTACTTTACTATAATAATACATACACAAAACACGTTAATTGGCTGTTTACATTATCATAAGGCTTGCAGTCAACAGTAGCCAATTAGTAGTTAAGTTTTGGGGGAGTCGAAAACTAATGCAGATTTTCAACTGCACAGGGATCACCAGTCCTAGCATGCACACTGCTCAAGGGTCAACTGTAATTAATATTCATTTAATAAACACAAACCATTTATTATAAAAATTAAATAGAAGATCCATTTTTATAATAAGTCCAGTTCATCATGATGTGATTATAGAAAAAACATAAAACATGCTAACTTAGAAACCTTTTTTCTTCTTTATACAAAAATTTCATATAGGAATTTAGGGATGATAATTAAGTAAATGAATTTTTTCATAAAGTACCATTTGACATCATAAATATCTACAAGTAGCTGCTTTTTTTTTTTTTTTTTTTTGAGACGGAGGTTTGCTCTTGTTGCCCAGGCTGAAGTACAATGGCACAATCTTAGTTCACTGCAGTCTCCGCCTCCCAGGTTCAAGCAATTCTTCTACCTCAGCCTCCCGAGCAGCTGGGATTACAGGCATATGCCACCACACCCAGCTAATTTTTTGTATTTTTAGTAGAGATGAGGTTTCTCCATGTTGGTCAGGCTGGTCTCAAACTCCCAACTTTAGGGGATCCACCACCTCAGCTTCCCCAAAGTGCTGGGATTACAGGCATGAGTCACCGCACCTGGCCGATGTAACTTCTTAAATAATTCTGAATTCTAGATTATTAAGAGAAATTAAGAAAAAATACACGTGTACCTTATATACTGATTTTTTTAACTGCTTTTCTGTGATCAACACTCCCTTACTTTTACTGTTTTATCCATGATACTATTACCAAGAGTAATTCATTATCAGAAGTCTTACCTGAATCACTATTTTGAGAAGAATTTTTAGGTATCCTTTCTTCTTTGCATTCTGAAATTAGGTGGTGACTGCTATATACAGAAAAATGTAATAAAATTATTTTAATACTGATACAAAAAATACTTACCAAATATCTCACATTCTTAAAAGTATTTCAGCCAATATCAGAGCTAATAGCAGAACTTTATCCCATATACTTCAAATATATAAGCTCTACAAAATTTCTTGTTAAGCTTCAAATTAAATAAGAACAAGAATAATGAGAAACAGTTATGAAGTGAGGGCAGTGTTGCTGAGCAAATTAACTAGAGTTAGCTTGACATAATGGAAAGTGTTCTGAACCCAGAGGAAGTCCTAGCTCTGTAACCAACAGCTGTTGGTTCTTGAACAAGATGCTTCTCTTAGGCTCAACATCTTCTTCCAAAAAATAAGGATTTTACTGCCTTATTTCACCAGGGTTATAAAGATTTAACAAGATATCATTTTTTAAATGTACAGAGAAATAATAAAGAAATTGAATAATTTGTTCCTGAATTTTATTGCTAAAACTATTTTGGAGTCCCAAATAAAACCCACTGAGTGTTTCTCCAAAAGTTCTAATATTCAAATGTTGCCATTTTCAGAAAATGTTACTAAGTCCTAATTTTGGTTATTAGTTATTCTATTCTTTGTGGTCTTCAATCTCAGGGAATTTCATAATTTGTAACTGAATTCACTTTTAAATAAAGCATCTCATTAAATTAGATAACATAATTGTCCCCTATTACTGAACTAATGGATCACAGCAGGGGCAGAAAACTAACAGATATCAAGACCTGACTTAGATGACGACTATTCCTTCTCTACCTCCTCAAACTCTGAACCAGCAGATCTTTGTTAGAATGATGCTTAATTTTCATGTTCATCATTCCAAATGATGTGGAAAACAAACCCTACTTTTATTTAGAAACAGGCTGTCATTCCATCACCCAGGCTGGAGTGCAGTGGCACCGTCATAGTCCACTGCAGCCTGAAACTCCTGGGCTCAAGCAATCCTCCTGACTCAGCCCCCTGAGTAGCTAGGACTACAGGAGTGCGCCATCACACCTGGCTCATTTTTATTATTTTGTTGTGCTGTTAAGGTCTTGCTATGTTGCTCAGGCTGGTCTCAAACTCCTGGCCTCAAGCAATTCTCCTGCCTTGGCCTCCCAAAGCGCTGGAATTACAGACATGAGCCACTGCATCAGGCCCCTACTTTTAAGTTCCATGAAGGAGATGAGAATTGACATTTTCTCATTTCTGCGATACCTACTAACAACATACTTACACATAACATCCCACATGTTAACTCCATTCTCATTTCATAGGTCACCTTATACATGAATATTTTTGTCATGAAAATCACAATTTCAATACTGGGTGCCACCCTTTTGCTTTAACTCACACTGTTAGCAAATAATAAAATGGCCTTCCAGGGACTGTGCAAAATACGGAATGCTTCAAGAATGTATGTGTCATCCTTATACAGGGGCCATGCTGACCTTCTCTGTATTGTTCCAATTTTAGTGTACGTGCTGCTGAAGCAAGCGCAAAGCCCTACTTTTATACATGGATACTGATGAGTCATGGAAGAGGCTTAGCTCTGTTCAATCCAACTAACCTACTTTAGGCTCAGAGAATTCTGTTGAATGGCTTCCTTGTGAGGTACAATTGTAAAATATTTTTAAAATTTAAGGTAGAGATCCAAGTAGCTTGGGAGATTTTCATTATGAAAAACAGATCACTTGAGGGGCCAACCACAAGTTAGTACCTACTACTCTAGGGAAGGGCAATATAGAACCTTTCACTGCCTAAGAAAAGGTGCTACACAGAATATAAAAGGGCTTTAGAGTATAGACCTGTTAGCAAAGAAGAAAGGAAACTCTGTTCTCTTCCTGAAACATTATTTGAACCTCTCTGACAGAACAATCCCAATTAATATTTGCTAAAGAAAAGACAAACAAAAGCCTCAATGGCTAACTTACCATGAAAGTCAAGGCTCAGATATGGTCTCCACATTAAGGGTCTGAGTGTGAAGGGAAGGTCAATCTGTGTGTGGCTAAAGCTAGGAGGCCAGCTGCCAGAGCAGGGTGCTAGTGCTTTGAGAACAATGGCTGAGCCTATAAATACATGTATGTGAACTTAAAAAAAAAAGTCCTAACTTTGAAGTCTACATATGAATTACCAAGAAGACTAAAGAATCTCAATCAGTAAGAGCATCCTGGTAGCAAAGGTCAGTCATTTCCAGACGGCAGGACCAGTTTCAATGGCAACAATGCAGCCATAGAATCACTGGTAACAAAAAAATGATTAGAATGTCCTTTTTTCCCCTCCTTCTGACTTATAAAAGAGGACTGCCTTCCTTGGACTTAAAGGAACCCCTTCGGTTCTTGAAAAATTTAAGGTGGAGGGCATAGCAGATGGCCCCCAGGGGACAGTTCAAGGTTTTCTGCTAAACTGAACATTTCAAGACTCAAATAACCAATTAGAAAAATTAAACATGTGATACTATTTTTATCCATGAATAGGGGTTATAATGGGAATGAAATTAATGATATTGGGGTCCCTATGGAGTAAGTTCGTAAAATCCTGAGATAAAAAATCCTACATCCAGTTGGACACAGTGGCTCATGCCTCTAATTCCAGCACTTTGGAAAGCCGAGGCAGGCAAATTGCTTGAGCCTAGGAGTTCAAGACCAACCTAAGCAACATGGCAAAACCCCATCTCTACAAAAAACACATAAAATTAGCCAGGCATGGTGGTATGTGCCTGTAGTCTCAGCTACTTGGGAGGCTGAGGTGGAAGAATCTCCTTAGCCCAGGGGTTGAGGCTGTGGTAAGCTCTGATCATGCCACGCACTCCAGGCTGGGTGACAGAGTAAGACCCCGTCTCAGAAACAAAACAAAACAAAAGAATTCTACACCCACTGCCGCTTCTAACTAGTCTAGCCTTTTGCTTGATTTCTGACTAATGAAGCAGACTAATTCACTGCCATTCCAAAATTATCTGAGCCAAACTATGAAATCTCAACTGATGTATAAGATGCAATCATTATAATTATTTTAAACCTCTATTTAGTGTTAACTAGCCTTTTATTGTAAATATTTACATACTAAACCACTAACAACAGCATATTTTTCTGTAGTCCATCCCTAGACATATTAAGAAAAAACATCAAAACTCTGCCGAATAAAAAGCCTGACTATACTTGATGATTCATAAAATAGAGCAGGCATGAGGGGTGCTCTAAAGTAAGAGAGAGATGGCCAGGCACGGTGGCTCCTGCCTGTAATCCTAGCACTTTAGGAGGCCGAGGCAGGCAGATCACTTGAGATCAGAAGTTCAACACCAGCCTGGCCAACAGAGTGAAACCCCATCTCTACCAAAAATACAAAAATTAGCAGGAAATTGCTTGAATGCGGGAGGCAGAGGTTGCAGTGAGTCAACTGTGCCACTGCACTCCAGCCTGGGCAACCGAAAAAGACTCCGTCTCAAAAAATAAATAAAACAAAATAAAATAAAAGATAATTTCACACTTAGAAACTTTGATAGTTATACAGATAATTTGATATACTTCACCAATTTAGTATCTTGCCTGTCTATGTAGAATTAACTATTTACATCTACTAACAGACATAGGCATCTTGGGTGCTCACGGGTTCATCTTTGTAAATTATCACCAAGGCTAAAAGGAAAGGACAAAAAAGAGGCCTGTTGTCTCACTGGGGTATTATATAGTAGAAGTCTTTTGATGGGCAAAAACCTATGCTGAGTTTACTTATCTAAAGCAGACAGGAGAGAGATCCAAGATGGCCGTTTAGCAGCAGCTCAGGATTGCAGCTCCCAGTGAAGGCGCAGGGAGTGAGCAGACGCCAGACTTCCAAATAAATTTTTGTTGCCCACGGACCAGAAGATTCCCAGTGGAGGAGCCCCACGGGTCACCAGCGCAACTCTTTCCGCCGGCAAAGGCGGGGCTGTTTTGCCGGCGTTCCGGCGCGGTGGTTGTCAGTGCGGAGTATGAGGGACTGGGTGCCCTTTCGGTTGGCGTTTGGAGCTCCAGGAAGGCAGAGTCGCCCATTCAGCTGACTGAAAGGGGGACTGAAGCGGGGAGCCAGACGGGGAGATTCTCAGGCAGAAAAGCGCCGCGAATCTCAGCTCAGCTGTTTCAGCTGGCGCAATTGCCACACGGGAAATTGCATAGATCCTGGCGCCTTTTCAGCAGGTGACTGGGGCACCTGGGAGAGAATCGACCGTTCAATTAGGAAAAGAAAACAAGGGGGCTCCGAGGCAGGGAGCCAGGTTATTGGGCTCAGCTGGTCCCACCCCACAAAAAAGCAGCAATTGGAAATGCTGACTGTTGCTGAGAGTTTCACGGCAAACACTGCTAAACCCGGGAAAGTCCAGCTCTGTGGAGAAGAGGTATCCGCCGAAGGGAAACAAAGAAACAGAAATAACATTACCGACAAGTTGGACGTCCACTCACAGACCCAATCTGAAAGTCAGCAATTACAAAGATGACAGGTGGATAAATCCACGAAGATGGGAAGAAACCAGTGCAAAAAGACTGAAAACATCTGAAATCAGAATGCCTCTCCTTCTTCAGGGGATCGCAGCTCCTCATCAGCAAGGGAACAAAGCCTGATGGAGAATGAGTGTGATGAATTGTCAGAATCAGACTTCAGAAGGTGGATAATAAGAAACTCCCGTGAGCTAAAAGAACATGTTCTAACCCAATGCAAAGAAACTAAGAACCTTGAAAAAAGGTTTGACGAAATGCTAGCGAGAATAGACAATTTAGAGAGGAATATAAGTGAATTAATGGAGCTGAAAAACACAATACGAGAACTTCATGAAGTATGCACAAGTTTTAATAGTCGAATTGACCAAGCAGAAGAAAGGATATCAGAGGTCGAAGACCAACTCAATGAAATAAAACGAGAAGACAAGATTAGAGAAAAAAGGGTAAAAAGGAATGAGCAAAGTCTCTAAGAAATATGGGACTATGTGAAAAGACCCAATCTACATTTGATAGGTGTACCTGAATGTGATGAAGAGAATGAATCCAAGCTGGAAAATATTCTTCAGGATATTATTCAGGAAAACTTTCCCAACCTAGCAAGGCAGGACAATATTCAACTCCAGGTAATACAGAGAACACCACAAAGATATTCCTCAAGAAGAGCAACTCCAAGACACATAATCGTCAGATTCACCAGGGTTGAAATGGAGAAAATGCTAAGGGCAGCCAGAGAGAAAGGTCAGGTTACCCACAAAAGGAAGCCTATCAGACTCACAGCACATCTCTCAGCAGAAACCCTACAAGCCACAAGACAGTGGGGACCAATATTCAGCATCGTTAAAGAAAAGAACTTTCAATCCAGAATTTCATATCCAGCCAAACTAAGCTTCATAAGTTAAGGAAAAATAAAATCTTTTGTGAACAAGCAAGTACTCAGAGATTTCATCACCACTAGGCCTGCTTTACAAGAGCTCCTAAAAGAAGCACTACACATAGAAAGGAACAACCAGTATCAGCCATTCCAATATTATACCAAAAGCTAAAGAGCATCAACATAATGAAGAATCTACATCAACTAATGGGCAAAACAACCAGCTAGCATTAAATGGCAGTATTAAACTTACATATATTAATATTAATCCTTAATTTAAATCGACTAAATGCCCCAATCAAAAGACACAGGCAAATTGGATAAAAAGCCAAAACCCATCAGTATGCTGCATGCAGACCCATCTCACATGCAAGGATACACAAAGACTCAAAACAAAGGGATGGAGGAAGATTTACCAACCAAATGGAGAGCAAAAATAAATAAATAAATAAAAAGCAGGAGTTGCAGTTCTCGCCTCTGGTAAAACAGACTTTAAAGCAACAAAAATCAAAAGAGGCAAAGAAGGTCATTACATAATGGTAAAAGGATCAATGCAACAAGAAGAGCTAACAATCCTAAATATATACGCACCCAATACGGGAGCACCCAGATACATAAGGCAAGTTCTTAATGACTTATAAAGAGACTTAGACTCCCACACAATAATAGTGGGAGACTTTAACATCACATTGTCAATATTAGACAGATCAACAAGACAGAAAATTAACAAGGATATCCAGGACTTGAACTCAGACCTGGAACAAGAAAACTTAATAAACATTTATAGAACTCTCCACCCCAAATCCACAAAACATAGATTCTTCTCAGTACCACATCACACCTACTCTAAAAGTGACTACATAATTGGAAGTAAATCACTCCTCAGTAATTGCATAGCATTTCACAGGTTTAAATGAAATATTGGTTGGCTGCTTGTTTGTTATTTTTCTCCCTTATTCCTTCCTGTCTCCATTGTTAAGCACAATTAATGCCATAAAAGAGGTTTTTTTTTTTTTTTTTTTTTTTTTTGAGACGGAGTTTCGCTCTTGTTACCCAGGCTGGGGTGCAATGGCACGATCTCGGCTCACTGCAACCTCCGCCTCCTGGGTTCAGGCAATTCTCCTGCCTCAGCCTCCTGAGTAGCTGGGATTACAGGCACGTGCCACCATGCCCAGCTAATTTTTTGTATTTTTAGTAGAGACGGGGTTTCACTATGTTGACCGGGATGGTCTCGATCTCTTGACCTCGTGATCCACCTGCCTCGGCCTCCCAAAGTGCTGGGATTACAGGCTTGAGCCACCGCGCCCGGCAAAAGAGGTTTTTAATACCCATTTTTAGACTGCATTCTAGCCTGGGCATTAAGCAAGACTCCCGTTCTCTCTCCCTCTCTCTTTCTTTCTATCACTGCACTCCAGCCTGGGAGACAGAGACGCTGTCTCAAAAACAGTAACAATAATGCCAATAAGTGTGGGCTAGGCAATGAATTAAATGCTGTATAATCTTACTGAAATACAACCACCTTGAAGGATATATTTAGTATCTTCCTTTTCATATCAGAGAACATATATGGAGATAAGTAAGGTCCCCAAATTTACACACTTAGCAAGTGGGAAAGCAAGGAGTTAAATCCAGTCTTGTGTGATTTTTAAAGCCTCTTTTCTTTTTATCACCCATCTATGACTAGTCTTCAATAAAGGAAAAGCTTATCCAATTAAGGCTGTTTTTCTTCCCTTTGCCCACACCAACTAAAAATAAAAACATGAAAATATACTAGAAATAGAAAAGGAAAAAAATAATGAAACTATAGTATCTGGTAATAGCAATTAATAATCACTTAGGGATAACTTAACATTGGTATTCTTCAAAGAAAGCAACTTAAAGCAAAGAGGCACCCAAAAGACAAAATGATTTCAAACTCCTATTCATGTTTAATATAGCATTTCTAAAGGAAAAGTACAAAAGCAGAGGTTAGGACAACACCATAAAAGGGTTAAGAAGTTCAATATTGAGTTAAAAAGTAAACTAAAAGTTAAAGTCCACATTTTATAAAACTAATAAAACTGATAAGAAACCTCTTTAGCTAACAGAACACATGACCAAAAACATGAGTTTACAAATAACATCAGTCAATATTATAAGATGAATCCTACTATACAATCTTCTTTTTATATTGCCCGATCCAAGCAAACTGCTTTACTACCTGATTTGTGTTGCTATTTGTCACTATATTCCCGTAATTGTGTTAATCTTATTAATTTAATATTTCTAACTTGAGAAACAGCAACAGAATCACTGCTGCCCTTCTAGAACAACAGGCAAGTTTAAAAAACTCTAACACGCTACACACAGGTTTAAAAAACCTCTAACATGCAACATGCAGGTTTAAAAAAAACGACTGTACCTTTCCAATCTATCCACTCCACTTGCATTTGCTTTTTTCTTTATTAAAAATTCCACCATTTGCTGCTTTTTTCCACTTACTGCAAGTAAAAGTGGCGTGAGGTCATCCTGTAAGACAGCCAAACAATTTAAAATGCACAAAATTACATTATTTCTCAGCTGAACTGAAAACCTTATGTCAGATCCTATGAACTGAAACATATAAAATAGAAAACAAGTAAGGCCAGGTGCCGTGGCTCACGCCTGTAATCCCAGCACTTTGGGAGGCTGAAGCAGGTGGATCATGAGGTCAGATCATTGAGACTATCCTGGCTAACATAGTGAAACCCCATCTCTACTAAAAATACAAAAAATTAGCCAGGTGTGGTGGCACATGCCTGTAGTCCCAGCTACTCCAGAGGCTGGGGCAGGAGAATCACTTGAACTCAGAAGGCGGAGGTTGTGATGAGCCAAGATTGCACCACTGCACTCCAGCCTGGGCAACAGAAAGAGACTCTGCCTCGGGGGGGAAAAAAATTGCCTTTAACAAATTGTGTTTTCACAAATATTTACAATAAATGCATAAAAGAAAGGTGTACTGCACAATGTTTCTTTAAAAGTATCAATATTTAAAGTAAAATCTTAGACAATTAAGTTATTTTAAAATACTTTTCTTCAGGGAATGCTTGAGCTTCCAAATATGAAAAACTAACCCTGACATATGTCACTGTTGAAACAAATGCATTTCAAATACTGTAAAAATAAAGCTGGTTGATTTATACCTTGTTTCTTGCTTCGATATTTGCATCATGTAAAAGCAGCTTTGTTGCTACTGACATGTCCTCATTATAGACCGCATAGTGGAGAGCAGTGTTGCCATGGACATCAGCAAGATTTGGATCAGCCCCATGTTCTAGCAGAATAGTTGCACATTCCTCTTCCTGGCATTGGACAGCCTGCCAGTATTAGACCAAGAAACAGATCGTAAATTCTAGGAATGCAAAATAAACAATCCACAGGTTTCACCAGTTAGTTATATTTTAATGAGATAAATTCATTTTCATTCTATATATTTAAATCAAATTCATCTCATGCTGAAAGAGCTGGCTACTATATACCTTCATCAGAGCTGTCCTGTTTTCATTGTCACAGACATTGAGCTGGCATTTTCTGTCCACCAGGAGAGTTACTACTTCTGGATGACCACTTGCACAGGCCAAATGCAGAGCTGTCCTATGAGAGTGACAGGACTTTTTATAAACTGTAGTGCACTGTCTCAAAACATACAATGATTCACAAACTTATAAACATTAAATAGCATGTTGATACAGTTTGGCTGTGTCCCCACCCAAATCTCATCTTGAATTATAGTTCCCATGATCCCTACGTATGGTGAGAGGGACTCCGTGGGGGGTAAGTGAATCATGGTGGTGGTTCCCCCATGCTGCCGCTCTTGTGATAGTGAGAGAGTTCTCACGAGATCTGATGGTTTTATAAAGGGACCCCTTTTGGCTGGCACTTCTCCTTGCTGCTGCCAGTTAAAGACATGTTTTCTTCTCCTTCTGCCATGATTGTAAGTTTCCTCAGGCCGCCGCAGCCATGCTGAACTGTGAGTTAATTAAACCTCTTTCCTGTACAAATTACCCATATATTAACAGGTATGTCTTTATTAGCAGCATGAGAACTAATACACGTTATTCTTCTGCCTTCAAAACAAGTATTTAATTTTCTTCTGAAAGAAGTACTATATTTATTAGCTCTAATTACTCACCACATTAATGAAAGAGCAACCTATTAGAATAGAAAAGGCTTAGCCTTTGGATTCACTTCAACTTGGGACTTGAATCCTACTTTAGGCTCTTGTCATTTTTGGCTTAGTAAGTGCCTCAGTTTCCTCATCAATAAAATGAGGATCAACACAATAGCTATCTCATTAGACACCACTGAGATGCTTAAATGAGAATCTACGCAAAATGTTTAGAACAGCTGCTAGCACAAATAACAGCTCAATAATTGTTAGATATAATTATTATTACTACTATTTAACAAAGATGTTTTAATTAAATAAAATGATAAAACTATACCTAGTTGGCAGTATGTTTTAAAGATCAGAGATAAGACCAGGCATGGTGGCTCATGCCTGAATGCCAGCACTTTCAGAAGCTGAGGTGGAATGACTGCTTGAGTCCAACAGTTTGAGACCAGCCTGGGCAACATATTAAGACTCCATCTCTACAAAAAAATTTAAAAATTAGCCAGGTATGGTGGTGCACTCTTGTGGTCCCAGCTCCTTGGGAGGCTAAGGCCAAAGAATTGCTTGAGCCCAGAAGGATGAGGCTGCAGTGAGCTGTGATCGTGCCATTGTATTCTAGCCTGGGCAACAGAGAGAGATCCTGTCCATCAAAAAAAAAAAAAAAAAAAAAAAAAAGGCCGGGCACGGTGGCTCAAGCTTGTAATCCCAGCACTTTGGGAGGCCGAGGCAGGTGGATCACGAGGTCAAGAGATCAAGACCATCCTGGTCAACATGGTGAAACCCCGTCTCTACTAAAAAAAAAAAAAAAAATACAAAAATTTAGCTGGGCATGGTGGTGCAGGCCTGTAATCCCAGCTACTCAGGAGGTTGAGGCAGGAGAATTGCCTGAACCCAGGAGGCGGAGGTTGCAGTGAGCCTAGATCGCGCCATTGCACTCCAGCCTGGGTAACAAGAGCAAAACTCCGTTTAAAAAAAAAAAAAAATTACAGATAACACTGTACTTCAGTTTTTCTAAGATGCTCATTTTCTCACATTTTAACGTCCCTGACGTTGGAATGCCACTTATGATTCATGATTTATTACAACTCTAATTGGGAGCATTTTTAAAATTCAAAAACAAATTTTTAAACAAAGTAATTCCTAATGTGTTTTCAAAAACTTTAAGCCAAAGGAAACTCTGGATTCAAATGAAGAGGTTGGCTCATTTTATTCAATATTTATATTTATAGAATATATGCAGATATTTCCAATGACTAATATCAGTATTTAAGACATAAAATTTCCAAAAAGGAGTTAAAGGTTATCTCTTACAATTTTCTACCTTCAGAAACACTTTTGTTTAAAAGGAGGGGCTTGACATGGTGGCTCATACCTGTAATCCCAGCACTTTGGGAGGCCCAGGCTGGCAGATCACTTGAGGTCAGGAATTCAAGACCAGCCTGGCCAATATGGTGAAACCCCATCTGTACTAAAAATACAAAAATTAGCCGGACATGGTGGCTCAGGCCTGTAATCCCAGCTACTGAGGGGCTGAGGGAGGAGAATCTCTGAACCTGGGAGGCAGAGTTGCAGTGAGCCAAGATCACACCACTGCACTCCAGCCTGGGTGGCAGAGCAAGACTCCATCTCAAAAAAACAAGTAAGAGGAGGGAGGAAAAGCTTCAACTGAGATTGTTCTAACAGTCTAATTTTGAATCTCTCAACTTGCTCAGGCTGGACAGGTATGTAAACATGAAGTTTTTGAGGATGGAAAGGTCTTGAGAGACAGCAGACTATGTTGCTGGGCGCGGTGGCTCATGCCTGTAATCTCAGCACTTTGGGAGGCCGAGGCAGTCGGATCACTTGAGGTCTGGAGTTTGAGACCAGCCTGGCCAACATGGTAGAACCCCATCTCTACTAAAAATACAAAAATTAGCTGGGCATGGTGGCATGTGCCTATAATCCCAGCTACTGGGGAGCTGAGGCAGGAGAATTGCTTGAAGCCTGGAGGTCGAGGTTGCAGTGGGCCAAGATCACATCACTGCACTCCAGCCTGGGCAAAGAAGGGAGACTCCATTCAAAAAAAAAAAAGCAACGGACTATGTCTGCTACAAAACAGATATTCAGGTTATGTTTGATGAATAAATGGATTGAAAGAATGGAAAAATCATTAGGGAGTTCAATAAAATTTTTATAAAGTAGAGCAATTCTTGGCCAGGAGTGGTGGCTCACGCCTATAATACAAGCACTTAGGAGGCCAAGGCAGGCGGATCACCTGAGGTCAGGAGTTCAAGACCAGCCTGACCAACATGGTGAAACCCCGTTTTTATAAAAAAGAAAAAAATATTAAAAATAAATAAAGTAGAGCAATTCTTTTATTCTTTTGCAATAATATTTATCTTTTTTTTTTTTTTTGAGATATAGTCCCACTCTGTCGCCCAGGGTAGATGGCAGTGGGTGCAATCTCGGCTCACTGTAGCCTCCCCTCCCAGGTTGACACTTTTCTACTGCCTCAGTCTCCCAAGCAGCTGGGATTACAGGTGTACACCACTATGCCCGGCTAATTTTTGTATTTTTAGTACAGACAGGGTTTCAAGATGTTGGCCAGGCTGGTCTCGAACTCCTGGACTCAAGGGATCTGCCTTCCTCAGCCCCCACCAAGTGCTGAGATTACAGGCATGAGCCAGCACATCCAGCCTAAATATCATTTATATTTGGTATTTTTATTGTCATAAGGACACAACTAAAATAACCGTACTTATTTGAATATAATAAATCTATAAAACGTATATAATAAAATGTATACATAAAATATATAAATACAGATAAAAAGATTCCCTCTATTTATTTATTTATTTATTTATTTTATTTTTTTTTTTTGAGACAGAGTTTCGCTCTTGTTACCCAGGCTGGAGTGCAATGGCGCGATCTCGGCTCACCGCAACCTCCGTCTCCTGGGTTCAGGCAATTCTCCTGCCTCAGCCTCCTGAGTAGCTGGGATTACAGGCACGCGCCACCATGCCCAGCTAATTTTTTGTATTTCTAGTAGAGACGGGGTTTCACCATGTTGACCAGGTTGGTCTCGATCTCTCGACCTTGTGATCCACCCGCCTCAGCCTCCCAAAGTGCTGGGATTACAGGCTTGAGCCACCGCGCCCGGCTATTTTGTTTTTTATCTTCTTACTTTTCAGTGTGCGAATAAAAATCTGCTTTACCTTTAATTTTAATTTTTATTTTTTAATAGAGACAGTGTCTTGCTATGTTGCCTGGTGTAGTTTCAAACTCCTGGGCTCACGCAATTCTCCTGCCTCAGCCTCCCAAAATGCTGGGATTACAGTCGTTAGCCACCATGCCCAGCCAAGATTCCCTTTACTTCTGAAAAGGATAAAAGTTGTTTATTTGGATAGCAATCCACGAAAGTTAAGAAAGAAAGAGAGACAGAGAGAGAGAGAGAGAGAAGAAATTATATTTATCTGTGTGAGATTCATATTCCTGCTCTTCCCAAGGATTATTTCATTAATAATAAACTTTCACTAGAACTTTTATATATACTCATTGCAGAAATCATAGAAAAGAAAAAGGGAAAAGTTTGACTTACTATACAAATGCCCAGAAGTAACAAATTTTATCATGTTTCATACATATTTTCAGCTAACACAAGACCACAGTCTGTTTGCATGGGTAATCAAACTCATTTTTTTCTCACTTGAGATACCAAAGTATATCCTCATAAGCCAACATCTGTATCTATTGCCACTTCTTTTTTTTTTTTTTTTGAGACAGAGTTTCACTCTGTCTCTGAGTTGCCCGGTCCTGGCTCACTGTAACCTCTGCCTCTCAGGTTCAAGCGATTCTCCTGCCTCAGCCTCCCGAGTAGCTGGGATTACAGGTTCCTGCCACCATGCCTGACTAATTTTTATATTTTTAGTAGAGATGGGGTTTCACCACGTTGGCCAAGCTAATCTCGGAACTTCTGACCTCAGGATATCTGCCCACCTTGGCCTCCCAAAGTGCTGGGATTACAGGCGTGAGACACCACGCAAGGCCACTATTTCAATGGTCACATATTATCATGTACTGACATTTATTTATAAAATCCATTCTATGGGTTCTTCTTAATACATTGCTTCAACAATGCTGAAAAAAAATTACGTGTATAACTACTCCCTAAAGGCATTTTATTTTCTTTTTGAAAAATAAGGTCTTGCTATGTTGTCACTAACATAGCTCACTGCAGCCTAGAACTCCTGGGCTCAAGTGATGCTCCTGCCTCAGCCTTCTAAGTAGCTGGGACTATTAGAGATGGGGGAGTCTCGCTAGAACGCCCACAGGCTGTCCTCGAACTCCTGGCCTCAAGCGATCCTCCCACCTTAGCCTCCCAAAGTGTTGCGAATACAGGTGCGAGTCACCGCGCCTGAAGGATAATAGATTTAATAGAAATAATTTTGAACCCAGAAGTTGCTATATTACGGAAACTACTTATCTCATTATGCACCTTTCCATAAAGTATATGACACTATCTTAAATGTGTACTTTAAAAATAAAACGCTGGCCAGGCGCGGTGGCTCAAGCCTGTAATCCCAGCACTTTGGGAGGCCGAGGCGGGTGGATCACGAGGTCAAGAGATCGAGACCATCCTGATCAACATGGTGAAACCCCGTCTCTACTAAAAATACAAAAAATTAGCTGGGCATGGTGACGCGTGCCTGTAATCCCAGCTACTCAGGAGGCTGAGGCAGGAGAATTGCCTGAACCCAGGAGGGGGAGGTTGTGGTAAGCGGAGATCGCGCCATTGCACTCCAGCCTGGGTAACAAGAGCGAAACTCCGTCTCAAAAAAAATACATATAAAAAATAAAATAAAACGCTGTACGTGCTTTTGTTTATTAATTCACTTTAAAATTGTCAATGAAGTCCTCTCTAAGGGGAATTGGGGGTATCGGAAACCAGCTAGAATTCTGTTTTTGCTTTGCTGCTCAGAAAGGCAGCCTGAGCGCTGGAGCCCTGCAAGGTGTCCCGGTCCCAGGGGCTGCGGAGCCCGCGTGAATCCGACCCAGGCCCCGGGTGCCGGGGCGGGGAGGGTCCCACAGACTGCGCTCCTCTTCCTGCCCGCCTGCTCCCGCGGAACCCACGCCGGGCTTATGGTTCCTATTACCTGTTCATCTTGTCTCTATCATTCAAGCCATTCTTCCTGAGCAGAAGAATCTGCTGCACTTTCGCCACATTGCCCGCGCTGGCGGCTTTGTGTATCTTGCCGAGATCTCGGTCTCGGACAGGGTACCCGGGCTGCGAGTAGGCGCCGTCCCCGGGCTCGCCCCCGCCGCCCGAGTTGCTCCTCCGCCGCCGCGCGAAGGAACCCAAGGGCGAGTCGCCCTTCTTACTAAAAATCCTCTTCATGGTCCAGGCGACCGGGCTTCAGAGACACTTCATCTCTCTCTCGGCTCTTAACGCCCTCCGGAGCCCAACATAGCAAGTCAGTCCCTGCTAGCCGCAGATTCCACACGGAAACTCCGCGGTTTCCAATCTCTCCCTCCGGGTTACCAAGCTAGCGGTGCCGCTAGACACAAGTGCGCGTGCGCGTCTCGGACGGCACGGTCCCTGCGCGTGCGCAGGAAGGCCCGGTGGCCTAGGGTGCTCCGTGCGCATGTGCAAGGCCCAGTCCTCGCCAATCTCGGTGACTGTTTGGGACTAGTCCCGCGTTCCCGTCAAACAAATGTCGGTGGGAGTTTGGCTGAGCGCTCAGGAGGTTTGCAAAAAGAAGCCTCGCGCCTGTGGGGACGCAACCTTTACGCATGAGTGGGGCTGGAGTAGCGTGGAGTTTTAAGATGCTGAAGGTACCTCGTTTCTGAGAAAACTCCAGGAAACTCCCTCAATCTCCGTATCTCAGTTTATTTCCTTTCCACGTCCCTTTGGGTCCCAGCCGGTCTCCGTCAGAACTTAACAGATGCAACAACAGAAGGCACAGGATTTCGGAGATCGTGGCAGTGTGTGTCAAGTGCAAACTTACGAGGAGAAACCAATGCACATTCTCCAGAAGAAATGAAAAAGCATTTCTGCGTGCCTCCTTCTCCCACCCCCTCTGCCTTTGGCCCAACCTTACTTTTTATTTTTTGCTTTTAATTTTCCAAGATTACATCTTTTTTTTTTTTTCCCCCCCAGACGGTCTCGCTCTGTCGCCCAGACTGTAGTGCAGTGGTGCAATCACAGCTCACTGCAGCCTCCACCTCCTGGACTCAACGATCCTCCCACCTCAGTCTCCCGAGTAGGCAACTACAGACGCGCCACCACGCCCAGCTATTTTTGCATTTTCTATAGAGACAGGTCTCGCCATGTTGCCCAGGCTGGTCTCCACCTCCAAGGCTCAAACGATTCTCCCATCTCAGCCTCCCAAAGTGTTGGGATTACAGTTGTAAGCCGCCATGCCCAGCCTAGATTGAATAATTTGACAACAAATTGGAATTAGCAACGCAGATGCCAAGTGTCTGGAGCCTCAGCAGAAATTGCTGCTGGAATGCACCTCCATAGCTCAGGACAGCTCTAGGGTCCCTGCGGAGGAGGTGGCTGGCCCTAGGGCAGGTGTCTTTATTGGCAAGAGAGAAATTAGCAAAAACAAAACACTTCTCAGGCCTCTCCATCTTAGCTAGATCAAATGATTTTAATGTGGGAGAGTGTTTCCCATTATGATCACCAAGAATTTTCCTCCTACACTAGCCTAGCTAGAAAGTTATGTTTTCTCCTCAACATTCCCCAATGTGATCTATGAAATTAGTCAAGTCCCAGCATTTTGGGAGGCTGAGGCAGGTAGATCACCTGAGGTCAGGAGTTCAAGACCAGCCTGGCCAACATGGTGAAACCCCATCTCTACTAGAAATACAAAAATTAGCTGAGTGTGGTGGCACATACCTGTAGTCCTAGCTACTTGGGAGGCTGAGGCAGGGGAATCACTTGAACCAGGGAGGTGGAGGTTGCAGTGAGCTAAGGTCACGCCACTGCACTCCAGTGTGGCGCCTGGTGACAGAGTAAGACTCTGTCTCAAAAAAAAAAAAAAAAAAAAAAAATTTATCCAGGATCAGTGGCACACACCTGTAGTTCCAGCCTCTTGGAAGGCTAAGGCAAGAGGATCACTTAAGCACGGGAGTTTGAGACTAGCCTGGGCAATATAGCAAGACCCCCATCTCAAAGAGAAAGAATTATTAACTGTAACAGTAGTATAAAAGTGAAAAGAGAAATCTAAAGACTCTCTTAGGGCAAGATTGTAGCCAAAGTAGGAACAACCTAAAATGAGTGGCTCCACAAGGCTGAGGATTCAGTGTTTTTGGAGAAGGTGTGGTTGCCATGGCCAGAGCTGGTCCACAGTCACCCAGCAAGCAGGAAGCACCTTTCTGGAGTACCAGGGGCCTAATCTGATAGATGGGTGCATAGATGGTGTGAGGAGGCGGGAAGCCCTCTTCCCCACAGAGCAGTGCAAGGCCTAGGGGGAGGAAGTTGTCACAAGCCTGCTCACAAGCTCTGACTGGGGCCAGAGCTCAGGGTAGTCAAGGAACTGCATGCTCTAGGAATGCAGAGCCTGAGCAGAGCACTACACAGTTCCTCCGTGTAGAAGGAACATGAAGCAGCAGCCCAGCAGCACACCAGAACCCAGGCCAGGGCCACCCCTCCATCTCTGGGCAGGCAGAAACAACCTACTGGGATGCAGATGAAATGAGGCTGGTAATCAGATATAAGGAGTCAAACATGCAAATGTAGTCAAACTTCTCTGCCACCTAGCAGGTTGCAATCCCACCTCATTTATCAATGTTTGAACCCCCCTCCCAAATTAACCCTTTCTTGAGTACTCTCCTTCACCTCTAAGGTACCCTTTAGACTTCTCTTTCCATCTTTATAATTACTCTCGTCCCATAGCTTAGTAATTCTTTATATTAAACCACACTAAATTGCTCTGTGGTTTCTGTGTTGTCACTGGACCCAGATTGACACAGTTTGATACAGAGGCTGGGAGTTGCACTGTTCAGATCTGTCTTCAGGAGACCGTATTGTGGAGAGCACAACTGAACCGTAGCCTACAGCTGGTGCTTTCACCAGGACCTTGATTCAGCCAGGCTGCTTCCAGCCCATGACTGAGCACAAAGAGGATACAAAGCCTAGCCATTTCTGTCAGGCACAGGACTCCTCTACAGGCAATCCCCTGACAGAGACGCACTGTCAGAACCCTGGGAGCCTGCTCTATGATTCTCCCACTGGGGCCTACCCTAAGATCACTCTGCCAACTTTCCCCACCACTGATACCACTAACACCCTAATGTCTACTGGATCCTTTGGCCAAAGTGGCAGGGCTTTGTGAACACATCTGGACCTACTACAGAGTTCTTGCGTGCTCTGGGCCCACTCAAATCCTGCAGGCTTTAGTGTCACCACACATATGACCTAAGGGGTACTCCTAAGTATAGGACAGAGGATATAAAGAAAAACTCTCCCCAAACCATGTTTCTCCTCTACTCTCACATCACAACAATCCTCAACACAGAAGACTTAGGAGACCAAATGTGGTAGGAGGGAGGGAGGTTTCCCCACACACCAAGGAGCAGACACCAGCTGGGTATCCTCAGCTTCAGTTCCAACACTGTCTACATGGAGATAGTATCAGATCCCACAGATTGAGGGCTCCATACCCAAGACTGCTCCCAACACACACCAGTCACAAGTCTGGGCCTCTGGAACTTCTGATCAACCAGCTTCAAGCTGGGGTTCCCACAACCCCCTCTTTGGGTTTGATTATTTTCCAGGAGCAGCTCACAGAACTCAGGGAAACACTTACTTATGTTTACTGGTTTATTATAAAGGATATAACAACAGATGCAGATGAAGAGATGCATAGGGTGAGGTATAGGGGAAGGGATGTGGAGTTACCATGCTCTCCCTGGTTGTGCCACCCTCCAGGAACCTCCATGTGTTCATCTATTGGGAAGCTCCCTGAAACTGGTCCTCTTGGGTTTTTACACAAGCTTTATGACATCAGCATTCCTTACCCAGGGTATAGAATGGGACTCTGAATTAGAAAGGTGGGGGAACATTAGAGAAGGTCACAGACCTGACCCTGAGGCTTAACACCCTCGGTCTTCTAACAAAAGATTGTAACAAGGGTTATGGGAGTTGTGAGCCAGAAAATGTGAATGAAAACCAATATACATCAAAACATTATCTAGGGTTTCTCAAGTTTGGCACTATTGACCTATTGGGTTGGATAATTTTGTGTTGTGGAGGTAGAGGGGGTTTCCCTGTGTATGATATAATGTTTAGCAGTGTTTCTGGCCTCTACTCACTAGATTTCAGTGACATACTCAGTTATGACAATAAAAAATGTCTCCAAATATTGCCAGATGTTCCCTGGGGACCCAAATTGCTCCCCTGCCCCTGCACATTGAGAATCACTGGTGTAAAATATGCTGCCTCTAGAACCCAGTGGGGCCTACCAGTTGCTATGTTTTCTTCTTTATAAAAACGTATTCAGGATGCAGCAATTTGTCCTCACTTTTGAGGGATTATCCTGACAGGCCCCTGACCACTGGATTTCTAGAAACTTCACCAAAGTAACAGCTCATGTGTCTTACCAAGGCCTCCAGCACTGCAGCCACTTGTTGATCATCTTGTTTAATCAGCATGATGCTATCAACATAACAAATCAGTGAGATCTTCTAGGGACGTTCAGGTGGTCCAGATATTTTTGCAGTATCATATGACAGAAGGTGAAATAGTTAATAAAATCATGAGGCATCAAAGCCTGTAAGACAGCAAACTAATATATTAAAAACTTAATAATCGTGAGGCAAAACTATACATGAAAGAAGAGTTTGTCCATACTATGTGAATGTAAATTGCTTCTCATCTTTTATCATTGGAATATAAAAGAATGCATTTGTAGCTGGGTGCGGTGGCTAATGCCAGTAACTAGCACTTTGGGAGGCCAAAATAAGCAGATTGCTTGAACCCAGGAGTTTGAAACCAGCCTGGGTAACATGGTGAGACCCTATCTTTACAAAAAATACAAATATTTGTCTGCCATGGTGGCATGCACCTATGGTCCTAGCTACTCGGGAGGCTGAGCTGAGAGGACTGCTTGACCCTGGGAGGTAAAGGCTGCAGTGAGCTACGATCACACCACTACACTCCAGCCTTGGTGACAGAGTGAGACCTCATCTCAAAAAATAAAAATAAAAACAAAAAAACAATGCATTTGCTAAATCGATGGTCATAGACCATGTACATATATATACCATGTACTAATCTGTTCTGGCAGCAATACTACACCAGAACTGCAGCTATGATTGAGGTTACCATTTGATTGAGTTTACAATAGTCTTCAGACATACTTCAACAGTTGCTGAAGGAACCAGCCTAGTGAATCAAATAGAAATATGATAGAGATCACCATCCCTGCATCTTGAGTGGTAGCACCATGCCCACTATCTCTCCTGTAATGCTATTTTTTTTGTTTTGAGATGGAGTCCTGTTGTCACCCAGGCTGGAGTGCAGTGGCATGATCTTGGCTCAATGCAAACTCCACCTCCCGGG